GGATATTTATTGACTATTTTTATCGAAGTTCAAAAAAAAAAATAGTTTTACTACGTTTGTGTAAAGGGAAATCAGTTGCGGAAGTTCCGTAATCCCTATTCTCTCGATTTTTTTTTCGCATTTTGAACCAGGAACCGTTTTTTAGCTGATTTTTTCACATAGAAAGGATCATTCATTAGTATATTATTGATTTAATTTTTCAATTTTTTTACATTTAAAAAAAGTTAAAAAAAGGGTTTTAGGAACGTAGGGAAGCGGTAGAAAGGCTGAAAAATTTGCCTTGAAATTAGTGATTTTTTTCCAAAAAAATACTGATAAAAGCTTATTTACAAAAATAAAATTTACAGAAAAATGCAGCTTTGAAAAAAAGAATAGTTATCATTGAAACCTTTAAAAAAATAAATAAAAAAAGCAATTGAGTTTTTAAACAATTTTAAAAAATTCGGTCTTTTTATAAAGGTACGTCATTTTTGATCAGGAACCTTTTTCCCTTTCGAAAAAAACAGTTTTTTTCCATTGTTGTTTGAACCATCTGTGGTAGTTAGTTTGGGTAATTTGTGAGTGGGCCCGATCTTGATGGGAAAAGGCCGATTAGACAGGAAGAAGTGTTGTTGGGAGGGTTGGACACCGTGTTTGGCCTGTTGCTTGACCTCCTTTCCAACACTCTTTTCCCTTCTTTTCGTCATGCTTTTTCCCTTTTTTTCTGTCGTTGTGATCCTTATCAGTCGGTCGGTCAGAGTTACGGTATCAGATGATAGAGTCCTCTTGGTCTTCAGTGGTTTTTTGGTCTCTGATTTTTTTTTTATAGTTCATCCTACGTTTTCTCAGCGGTAATGCAGTTGATTAGTAATCTTCATGACAGAAGTTATCGATTTTTCTAAGCTTATCAGTTATCAATCGAAGATGTAGTTTCTGTCTCTGCAGCTGATTTGCCTATGGAATTGATAAATTTTCGGTGATAAGCCACAAAAACAGGAAATGATGCTCCAGTCCTTCCTTTATATGTCCTTATTTTTACATTTTGAGCTTCTGCTGTGCCTAAAATACAAGGAAGCTTCAAAAAATAGCTCCAGAATCAGTTTATCAATGAGTTCTGCCACTTGGAATTTTGAAAAATGGCCAAAAATCGACCTGAACATTTAGATCTCATTTTTCAGGTTTTGGGAAGTTTTTCAACATTTTTGACCGAAAATGAAGCTTTTTTTGTTCTTAAAGTATTATTAGCATGATTTTTGAACCTGTTGAAGTTCAAGAAGGACCAAAAACAGTCGTTAAAAGTGTCCTGAATATATTTTCCGATTTTTCGTTCCAAAATGAATCTCAAAAGCCTTTTTGAAGATGTTAGCCCCATTTTTTAGCTTTTTAGAACTTCAAAAAATTCCAAAAATCCCGACCAAACGTTTCTCAATGAAATTCGCCCCAATAGCAAGCAACAAAGTCTTGTAGAAGTACCGAAAAGAGCATTTTTGCCTCGATACAAACAATAAAATCTCTTGATGAAGTGCGAAAATAATCCCCCAAATAACGGGGCCAAAAAAGGACGCTGAGGCGACCTGGTTAACCTAGGCAGAAACGAGGTGTGATCTGCTTTATGGTGCTCCTGGGACCGAGGGGGTGCACCTTTTTGCCCCCCTCCCGCTTAGCCATTCCAAGACAACAACGCCGTTCGCCCGCCCGTCGCAATTTGTTGTTTTTGGGAAGCGTCGTCTTCCTCGTCGCCGTCGACGTCGACCCAAGACGACGTTTTGTTGTCATCTGAGTGGGCGGAGCCTTGTTTTGGGGGAGAGAGCCACGCCCCCAATCGGGCTTTTTTTCCTTTCTCATCCTCACCCCACCTCGCGTCTGTTTACTTTGTTGACGCTTTCCTATTTTTTTTATTATATTTTGCTCGATTTGTAGCATTTTCCAGCTGGATTCATGTTTGTTAAAAAAACTTTTTTTCTGATTTTATACATTTTTAAAAAAATTTTTTTAAAGTTAAAAACGGTTATAATTTGTTTTAATATTTCTTTTTTTGGGTTCTTGTGACATTTAATTTTGTGATTATTTTCATTTTAAAGCATTTTTCTTCGAATTTTACTTCAAAAATATCTCAAGCTTCATTTTAGCTATTTCTTTCAACGTATTAAGGTCCAAAAATTTGTTTTTTATTCTCATTAGTACCTTAGTTTTGAACTGTTTCTAGTTTTTATATTATACAACCTGAACGTTTTTTTAATGCAAATATTCAATTCAAAAACCATTTTTTTTATTTTTTTAATTTATTAACATTTTCAAGCTCTAGGGGGTTATTTTTACAACATTTTTCTGTTTTTTTAGTTGAATTTTTCTACTTTTTTTCCTTGAAGGTTGGAGCTTGTAAATTGAGCAAAAGTATAACTTTTTTTCACTTTTTCAATTTCTCGAAGAATATTCTATTTTTTTGGATTCAATTTTGGATATACTTCATTGAAAAATAATTCTCAAGAGGATCTGCTTTCTGATTTAACAGCTTTATTTGGTGGAATATTCATTTTCAAAAGTCGAAATGTCGAAATTATTATAAGATAATCATTTCGTACGGTTAGGTGGACAATGGGAAAGGGATATGATTTATCAATTTGTTATCAAAGTTCATTCAAATTCAATTTGAATTTTTTTTGGAGCGATTTTTTTAACGCTCTTAATTTTTCTGAAAAAAAGGGTACCTATACTCCTTTTTTTGACCATTTTTGGAATTTTTTTCGCTTAGTGTTCTTGTATAAATTGAATTTAATCATAAAATCATTATTTTTTTAGCTCTGAATTTCAAACTTTCCAGCTATTTTGTTTTTTTGATAATTTTAATAATGAATAACTATATGAATAGCTTATGAATGAAAATTCAGAAAGTGAATATCCTTCATACTGATCCAACTATTCTAAGTAAAGAACTCGATTTTGGTCTGTAATGGCCAATTAAAGGTATCCTAAAACCAGCTAATGAGAAGTTTTGCTTGCGTCAAAATGAGAGAGAAAAAACAACAAAATAATCCAGGCGGAAGTCTTTTTTCTTCTGTTGTTTTGGCGGCTCTTGTTGTTTTTTGGTGGGACCGTATATTTTTGCGTCAAAACTTGGTGATCTTTGCCATTATTTTAAATGTCTTGTTGGAACTTGGTTTTCCGGAAAAAAATTAGTTTTGGTAACTTTTTTCTTCTTTTAGGTGGTCTCGTTTTTTGTGGTCAAGTATGGGTTTTTTTAATCTTTTTTTAGATTTTTTTAAAAACCTGAAAAAAATTTTTTTCATTTAATATTTTTTTCAAAAAAATTGGAGAGTATTTTGATCAATTTTTTTCAGAAAAAAATCTGAACTTATATGTTCATTGGCCTCATTTTAAAGCAGAAAATCAAATTTTTGAAGAGGATTTTTTAAAAATAACCGATCTGATAATCATTATAATGACCCAAATTATCAGGTAAATTCAGAATGACCATTTTTCTGTTCCCTTTTAGAACCTATAAGATGACTTTTTTCATCAGCAACCTCAATTTGATTAATTCTTGTTCACTGGGACTTTCATAGATTATCTGTGACATTATTCTGAAGCTTAAAGCCGTTTTGAAACTTATCAATCAACCCGAAATTAAATATTTTCACTCTTTTGGAAGCTTTGAAATGCGATAGTTTCCATTTTTGAAGTCTAAATTTTACTGAACTTTAATTTCTCATCACTTATACGTTAATTGACTATTAGGCTATTTATTATAATATTCTTGATGGCTTTCGATTTTGAAATCTGAATTTCGAAAAATCATCTTTGTAATCATCGTGAGATCATTCTAGGATTGAAATTCCTTATCATCCAACCTCAAATTTACTACTTTTTTGAGGCTATGAGGCGATTTCCTCGTCTTGGACTGAATGTCTTTCGATGGCTGACGATTTTGGAATCTTACTTTGGAATTTGAATGCATTTCGAAACTTATCATTAAATCTAAAATTAACTTATTTCCTATATGGCTACCTTGTCTTGAGCCCGATATCTTTCGATGGCTTACAATTTTGAAATTCTACTTTCATCAGTTTGAGAACTTCATTATAATGACACAACTTATCACCGAACCTAATATAGACAGCTTTCCTGTTCCTTTTATGAGCGGGGGGCCTTTCGGCTTCGACGTGTGCGCCTTGTTAGTCAACAACATTCGTCTCTCGGGCTGTTTACCTCGTGGGGGAGACTGACTCGCCTCACATATCGTCCCACTTTTTCTTCGTCCCTTTTCATTCTGAGCATTTCACAATTTTTTTTTCATTGACGATTTGATAGATGTTTGTTGAAAAAAATCAATTAGGAAAAAAATTCAGTTTCGAGGGGGGTTGAAATGAACTTTCAGCCTCGATCTGTTTCAGAAAAATCAAGAAAAATTGGAACTTGGATCTTTGGTTATCATAAGAAGTCAAGAAAAATTGATTTTAGGGATCTGCTGGTCTTAAATTTTTCATGAAAAAAATCTTTATGCCAATTTTTTTAAGTTTTTTTCTTCTCATAAAAATCCATAAAAGTTGAGTTTCATGGCTTGGATTTTTCTCAGAAAAAAATCCTGTTTTTTTAGCTTCATCTTTCCTGAAATTTGTCAATCAATTTTTTTTCATTTTTCAATTTGAATTTTCTCCAGTTATCATCAAAATCTTTATCATTTTTCCACACAAAATCTTCAAATTTCCTCCATTTTCCAACAACTTTTTTTCCCATTCGACAGACCTTGAAAAATAGTATTCGAAGTTTCGATTTGAACAAAATTCGATTCTCCCATTGTTCAATTTCTTTTCCGATGATTGCGGGGGACGTTTTCTGATCAAATTTTCTATAATTGGACTGAATTGAAATCGAATTTTCTTTCTTTTTTCTCAGCCACTACAGTTTTTTTGAAGGTGTAGTGTCATTTCTTCATTTTTTTATAGATATTTTTAACTAGGAATTTGGATTTTTAATTTTTTTTTTACCAAAAAAAATCTAATTTTTTGATTTTTATTTTTTTAATGAAGGTTTGATCATATCGCTTCTTGAAAATCCTCCTTATATTTCTTGAAAAAAACAAAAATTTTTTTAGATTTTTTTAAAGGCGCATATGTTCAAAAATATTGTAGAATTTTTTTCAAAAGAAAGGTCAACTTTTTATAATTTTTTTTCTGATTTTTTTCCTTTCTCGTCTCTCCTCACCGGCGAGAGAAAAAGAGAGCGCAGACAGGTCAGACTGTTTCGAAAATGAAAAATTGCATCTTCATCGAACATTTTTTTATGTTTAATTGAAATTAAAATTTATTTTTTTATCATGGAGATCATTATTCATTTTTTTGAAATCTCAGAAAATCTGATTTTTTTGAGCTTTTTCTTGTATCAAAATACGAACAAAAAAATATCAGTTTCCCTTTTTTTCTTTTTTTGGCTTAAGTTGGATTTTATCTCAATCCTTGTCAACACCATCTTCTCAAGATTGAAGTCATTTTTATTTTCGACTTTTTTGAAATTCGCGTAAGCCAACCCCTTTTTTGGACTGATTCACTTCTTCGACTTGCCTCTGAAAAAAAAAAATAAGTACATTTTTGCAGGAAGAAGGCACCACGCAGCCGTCTTCGCCGTCCTCCTCCTCCAAGTCGATGCTGTCGGAATCAACGGCGCGACCACAGGCGACGCCGACCCACCACCTCCACCACCAGATCTCGCAATCGCAGCAGCCCCCGCCGCCCAACCTCGACGCCGCCAACGTCCAGATCCCCGAAGGGCTCCTCCTTTTGGCCCTCCAGGAGCTCCAACGGTCCACCTCGGCTCCTCAGCCGCTCAGACCCCCGCCGCCAGCTCCTCTCCCTAGCACACCTTCTTTACCGAACTTCGGAGGGGCCAACAATGATGCGGCGCGGATCTTCCAGCAGATGCTCCTCAGCCAGATGCTCATATCGCCTCAGCTCCCGGCGGCCCTCGATCTGGCGTCGACCCTGACGTCGGTGACGACGCCGCTGTCGACGACGATCCCGTCGGCCGTGACGGCGCCGCAGAATGCCCTCTGGCAACACAACATGTGCGGCTGGCCGGCCTGCGAATTTCCCTGCGACTCGTTGGCCGCCCTCCTCAGGCATCTTCATGAGTATCATCCCTTCTCGGAAAGGTGAGGGGTGATTTTGAGCAGAAAATGAGCAGCTTATAGTTATATTTTTATCAAGAAATAGGTTCGCTAGGTCTTTTTCGAAATAATTTAGTTTTTGTCTCTTCGAAAAAAATCTATAGAAATGTATATGAATTTCACGGTTTCCTGTGAATTTGAGCGGAAAGAAGCACTTTTTTCGTCAAGAAACAGTTTTAAAGCTTATTTCTGATTTTAAAAAAAATATAGGGACACCTTTAGGGTATCATCCTTCTTCGGAGAGGCTTGGGTTGATTTTTTCAGAAAATTTTAGATTCGGCTTGATTTTGAGCAAAAATAAGGTTTTTTATAGATTGTTAGTCATATTTTTGATGTAAAATAGCTTTCTAGACCTCGAGATTTGAGAAAATTTGAAAGTTTCAGTTCTATTTTTGCTTATAAAGGTTAGTTCTGGATTTTAAAGACAGTTAGGGGCAGCTCTAGGGAATCGTCCTTTTTTTGGACTGGTTTGGCTTGATTTTGAGCAAAAATTTAGCATCTTTAAACGTTTTTTAGTCTTTCCTTTGTTTGAAAAAAAAATTTTTCTCCATTTTTTTTAAGTAATTCAAGTTCTGACTCGTAAAAAAAATGTAGAAACACGTCTTTTTTCAGAAATTCATTCACTTAGGCCTCAACAAGGTTTTCACTGAATTTCGAATTTTTCTCGTTTTCCAGAACTGTAGAAGAGATGCGGGCGCAGATCGAGAAAGTCGAGACGCTGGAACATCGGCTGACCGTGGAGCGCAATCGGTTACAAGGCATGATGCAGCATCTGAGGATGAAGCCGTCGCCCGACACGACGACGCCGTCTCTTGGAAAGGTTTGGAAACGCTTCCAAGAAGGAAAAAGCCTTCTTTCCATGAAGTTGGAGAAAGAATTCGAAGTCTAAAGATTTTTGAGGTCGCATTGGAGGAACAGAAAAAAAAATCCACAGCGGAAAATCTTAGAGTTCATGTCTTATTGAAGAAGTGGGAGAAACAATTCAAATTGTAAAAAATCTGAGATTCCATGTTTCCTTGAAGAATTTCAAATGGAAACATCTAAATTTTTTTGTTTCACCAAGAAAAAAAGTGGTTATTAAACTTTGTACTGGAAAAATCTGAAGAATTTATGTTTAATCCTGAAAATAGAGGCAAGGAAAATTATCCAAATACTCTTTGATATTCCAGATGAAGATTCTGAAACCCTTAGCCAACAAAATTTACTAGTTTTCTGAGAAATCAGGGCTCAAATTCGAACAGTTTTGGCTGTGTTGAACAGTTTTCGATAGTTTTCTCCGACTTTGAGATTTTCTGGAGAATATTTCATAGTGCAGCTTGAGCCTTTCGGAATCTAGGGCATCAAGAAAAATTTTGACGGATTTTTAAAGATTTCCCAACCACAGAGCAAGAAAGCCTTTATAATGAGAAAAATTTTTCTCTTTTTTTTTTTCTCATTTTTCATTATTTTTCGAGCTTCTAGTCCTCAAAATGCATTTCAAAATCATTCATGACTAAAACTACGACATTTTGAATCTCAGGCCGAGCCTCAATCGCCAATTCGATCGCCAAAACACGAACCCTGCGCCCTCAGTTACCCGGTTATATCCCAGCCGACCTCGAACTTCAATCCGGAAGCTCCAGCGTCGACGTCACCTGCGCAGGTGTGTTTTTTCTACTCAAACTCGTGGAAATTCGATATATTTAACTGGAGTTTTATTGAAAAGATTTTTTTGTCGAGGAGTCCGCGTGATCAAGAAGCTCAACTGATTCCGATAAGACTCCTTAAGTGGCCACTAAGAGTTTAAGAATGGTAGATTCCTACAAAAGCTACTTGAAGTCTGAACAAGCCAAATTAATCAGATCAGACCCTTATAGTGGTCACTAAGACTTCTAGAGAACTATAGCTTTAGTAATATCACTAAAATGATCACTTGTAGTTTTACTTCGCTTGTCAGTTTCATCATATCGCTAGGACGCACTATCAACTCTAGAGAAAGCCCTAAAGTATCCACTGGGAGTTTAGAAAGTCTAACGGGCTATTTGAGGACCTAGTAGTGGTTATGGATACATATAGGCGCTTTGGAAGTTTCAATGAAGTCCCTAAAGTGATCACCTAACGTTCAATGGGGTCTGGAAGGCTCAGACTCCAAAAGTAGCCACTTACTGATCTTAGAACTCTCATTAGACTCCCAAAGTGACCACTCGGGCAAACTCTAACTTGCTTCTGTACAAGTACTTTAGAGCTAAGCGGTTGGGAAGTTGCAATTAGTTTAATAAAGGGACCAATTAACTTTTAATGAGGTCTAGAAGTTTCAGACTACTTGAGTAGCCACTGGCTGAACTAGGAAGTCTCAGAGCTCCTATTAGACTCCTTAAATGACCACTCTAGCCGAGCCTAACTTGCTCCTTTCCAAGTACATTGAAGAAAGGTCGAGACGACCATCTCCTGTTGCCCTGTCTATTTGTACTGCTGCTGGTGTTGCTGTTGCTTCTATGTCTCCCTATTCCTCTCACTCTCTCGCCGTTGTTTTTGCGGCGGAGCGCGATTGCGCAACACACAGACACACACGCAAACGGACCCGTGGCTTATAGTCCAGCCCGACAATTGTTTACACATACAAATCGATATCGTCGGCCCCGTATAAACAACGTGCGTGGCCTGATGCGAGTTTTGACGGACGGACGCGGGGGAAAAAGTTTTGCTGTGGTCGAAATTGATGGAGATGTTGGGAAAATTTTATGAAATTTTCATTTTTTGAGCTTTTTCATAGGGAAAGGGCTGAGAGAACGGTTTTAGTAAGAACAATGACGTCAAAATGTTAATTTGAAATAAATTTACTAGAGATTGAGATTGATCTCTCTAGAAAGTGAGAGAGCGCGTAAAAAGGAGGAGAGAATAGACAGATTGATTCTTAGAGAAAATTTTTGCTGGTCGAAGTACAGGAGAAGTTGGGAAAAGTTTATGAAATTTTATTTTTTTTTTTGAGCTTTTTGATAGGGAAAGAGCTTGGAAAACGGTTTACTCGAAAAAATGACGTCAGAATCATTTTTGAAATCAAATTAATTCGATAACTAGAGATTGACGTTACTTGGAAGTTAGAGAGCGCGTAAAAGGAGGAGAGAACCGACAGATTGATTCTTAGGGTAACAGTTTGCTGGTCGAAGTACAGGAGAAGTTGGGAAAAGCTCATAAAAATTCCTTTTTTTGAGTTTTTTTTGACAGGGAAAGCGCTTGGAGAACCGTTTTAGTCTAAAAAATGACATTAGAATCATATTTTGAAATCAAATTACTAGAGACCTCACTTGGAAGCTAGAGAGCGCGTAAAAGGAGGAGAGAACAGACATATCGACTATCTGTTCTCTCTAAATTTTCTGTAGTCTTTCTGTATGAACAGGAATTTTTTTTTGGTCCCAATCGTAATTTCGAACCGATTGACTTCACTCTAAAGTTAGAGAGCGTGAAAAAAGAGGAGAAAACAGACAAATTGACAGCCTGCTGTCTCCAAGATTTCCGTCGTCTTGAGATCACGTTTTTATGGAGAAAAATTTTCGATCTTAAAAGCTGAACATTTTGGAGTTTGCAATTGAAAATAAGTTTTTTACATAGTTTAAATTCGAAATCCTAGGAAATTTCCACAGACGTTGAAAATTTTTTTGACATCTTCTAGACATTGTGGGAACCTCAAGAGACGCAGAGAAGCCAGAGTAAACTATGATTCTTTCCGTCTCTTCGCTTTCTCACGGTCTTCCAACTTTCACCTTTTCATAACAATTTTTTTCCTGAGAAATCACTTTTTTCTATAATTATTGAGTGTAGTTAGGGACCGCAGACGAATTTTCAAAAATTTTTTTTCAGCATCGAGCTTTGTATGGTTCGATAGCTGTTTCGATTCAAAACTCAGAACCGTTTAGTTTTTCAAAAAAGATTGAGGATGAAAAAAGTTATGACGGAAAATGTGGCGCGCCGCGCACCATTTTTTTAGTACTGAAATTTTTGGTATTATCCATTTTTTTGACATTTTTTTCTCGATTTTTTTCTTCTAGAACAAGTTTTTGATACTGGTCTATTATGATGTAACAAATCATAATAGAGTGCTAAAATGATGCTAATCAGCTAGTTTGCCGAAAAAAAGTCGGTATTTTCCAGAAAAACAAAAAAACTGCCGCTTGCGGGCATCGAACTCGCGACCTCAAAATGAAAAAAATCGCAGCGCACGCGCTGCGCCAAGCTGTTAAGTCTAGCGATGGGAGCTTCCATCCGCCATACCCTTTGAGCCGTTTGAATAGCACAGATTGCCTATTTCAAAAAGAAAAATCTTAAAGTAATTAAGATATTTTTTTATCAGAATATGTTCGCAAATCTTTACTCAAACTTTCCGTGAAAAATTCACTTCGAAAAAAACTGTTTTTTTAGTGCTTTTTGGCCTCGTTTAACGATCGCTGCCTTAAAAACGGCCCCGTAAATTTTTTTGGCAAAGACGAATTTTTTTATTTTATTCTTTTAATTGAAAGATTTTTTTACTAATAAATGTATATAATCGTTTGAAAAACCTGCGTTCGACCGCTTTCTGTGTGATAAACGCCGCTAATTTTTTTCTCTAGTTTCAAGAGCATTTTTGCGTATTAAACAACTTTTTCAAGCAAAGATGCTGTAGAGAAATATTTAAGTAAGCTCATGATCTAAATTTTGAAAAAACAAAAACTCGATTATATTCGCTTATTAACGATATTTTTGAATTATGACTTTCGGCACTCCCTAAAAATTTTTTTGGCAAAGACGAATTTTTTTATTTTATTGTTTTAAAATTACCGTTACTTGAATCAAAAATCATTATTTAAAAAAAGAAAGAGTGCGTTCGACCTAAAAAAACACATGAAAAAAAGCAAAAAAACGACAAAAATTTTTTTAGTTCCATTCACGTTTTTGTACGACATTCCGCGCGAACGCATCAAAAAAGCGTGAAATATTTTTTAAACGAAAGAGGAAGCTTTTCTGTACAAGTGTGTCAAATTTTATTTGCCAGTTCCACATATTTTACAACTACAGCAAAAAGAAAGTTGAAAACCAAAAAAAAGCCACTTTTTCTATCGCGAAAAGGGGCGTGGCTTTGCGGTCCCTAAGTGTAGTATGTATTTATGCTCACATGGGGAAAAGAACTTTGATTTTTTTTAGCTTTATTTTTTTCTTGTTTTGGTGTGATAATGAAAGAGCAAGGTTCTCAGGAAATTGCGTACTTTTTTTGGCGCTACGAGGTTTTTTTCTTTGCTTTTTGCAGTGAAAAGCATGGAAAATAGGGGAAATGAGGGGTTTTTTGAATTTTTTAAGTTCCTTTTTTTTGAAAATCTATATTAGTTGAGATCAGCTAGGGATGACTATTTAAATCGATCTGTAAATATAATTTTTGACTTTAACTCTCTATAATCAGGTCCAATGGAATTTAAAAAAAAATCGAATTTCGAGTTTTAATCTTGAAATAGTTCCCCTTCACATCTTCTCATCCATTTACTGTCCGTAAAAGCCCGTAAATCCCTATTTTTTATCGAAAAATCAAATTTTCTCAACAAATACCATTTTGATGTGAGATTTGTATAGATGTGTGTCTGTTTGTGTGTGTGTGTGTGGACAAACTATCAATATTTATCAATTTTCTTGGAGATTCCGTCTGTATTTGTCCGTCGACGTGTGTATTTGTATATTTGGGCGCTTAAAATGCAATTGTGCATTTGTTGGCCAAATGGCGAATGTTTGTCAAAACGGCACGTAAATTGTATACAATATGTGTGGATTTTCGGGCGCCCCTGGCATTTCGAGAGAAGGGATTTTTTGAAGTTTGGAGAGTTTTTTGGATTTTTGGAGCTTTTTTTTGAAACATAATCGGGAAAATTATCTATGGAGCTCAAAATTTTCATTAGAAACTTGTCGGAAAGTGTGAAAAATCGATGTTTTTTCGGTTTTCTTGAAGAATCAGTGAGAGAGTGGGCAAAAATGAGAGAGTTTTACAGAAGCCCTTGATTTTTAATCAAATGAAGGTATATTGAAGATAAATTGGAGGTATTTTTTTCAAGTATATTCACTCATTTTCTCCAGTTTTTTTCAATGATTCTTGCGGATTTTCGTAAATTTTCGCATTTTTTTCAAATCGTCGATTTTTAATTTTTTTTTTTGAAGGTGTATTTCGAAAATTTTAAAAATGATATTTCGCTTAAAAATGCTCCGAAGCATGGTTTTTTTGCGCCAACTACTTGAATAACTCAGCGATTTCGGTTTTTTTGAGATCAAATTTTGAAAAAAATGGTTCTGAAAAAGTTGAAAAAAATTTCGAGAAATCTTCATTATTTTCAGGTTTTCAAGCTAAATTCCTAGTTTTTATAGCTTTAAAGTGTTCCGAAACACTTGATTCGTACTTTTTTGGCGCTTTTTTCATCGGAGGGACTAAAATAACTCTGATTTACAGCCAAAAAATGTGGAAAAAATGTTCAATAAAATGCACGATTTTTCATTTTCCATGCCAAATTTGTTTCGAAATAACCAAATCATGCTTTTTTGTTCTGACGCCTCTCAATCTGATGGCCTATAAAACTTTGATTCTCAGCCAAAAAACAATGAATGGAGGTCATTCTGTTGTCATCCTCCGGCTTGGATATTCGGTTCTCAGACGTCAAAAAATCAAAAAGAAAAAAAAAGTCGCAGCTGACCAACTGCGCGAAAAAGCGAGAGTATTTGTGTCATGCGCGCAGTGCTTTCCCGTGCCTCTTGTTTTTGGTTTTCTCCGGGATCAACAACAAATTTTTCGGGATGTTGTGCGGATTGGGGAGTTGAGATTCGTCTTCTTTGGAATTCTTAGGAAATCCGCGAGTCAAAAAAGCTTAAAAATGGACAAGAAGGGCTGTGAAATAGTGCGGGCTATTTTTTGGAAGCAAATGCGCTCCATGGCTAAATTGTCACTTTTCGCTCTTTTTACAATTTTTTTCGTGGATTTTCGTCTTTAAACAAGCGTGATTTGGAGTTTTAGTATTTATTTTTGAGATATAAGGATTTTATTTAGTATTTATTTTTGAGATATAAGGATTTTTTTGAAAACTCAAATCTGATTTCAAATTTAAGTCCGACTTTGATATTTTTGAGATTTTTTTCTTTGATTTTTTTGGCCGAATTTTTTTATTTTCTCTTGAATTTTTTTCGAAGAATCAGAAGTTTAAAAAGCTTGAAAAATAGGAAAAAAATATTTTTTTCTGGCTAATTTTTTTGAAAAATGCGCTCCGTGGCTAATTTGTTATTTCTTGCCCAATTTTCTAATTTTTTTATTTTTTTTCGTGAGCTTTCAGCCTTAAAACTTGTTGAAAGTCAAATTTTGAAAGAATTGGAAAAATTTATTTTATGGAAATCTCGGCTCTTCTTCATTATTGGAACTCAAAAAAACCTTTTAATATCACGAAATTCTTCTGCAAATGAGTAATTTTTTTTTTCGAAAAAAATCGTTTTTCGTCTCCTGGAAAAATAATTAGGCGGCGGCCGTTTTTGCTGTTTACTCCGTCGAGAGTGTCATCACGTGGGTATTGATCCAAATAAAAAGTTTTCTCCTTGTTTTCAAACTAAATTTCCGGTTGGACTAGAAAAAAATACTGGCCTTTTTTTACTCATTGTGAGAAGATAAAATGAGTATTTTTTTGTTGAATTTTTCAAAGTAATTTTTTTGAAATTCTTTTTAAATAATTTAGTCGAACTAGTCATTCTATGTAGAGTTTTTGTATTAGATTGTTTTTTGGCGATAGCATTTTTTTTCGAGTGGAAAAACATGGATAATTTGCCTGGTTCATCTTCTTCAATAATTTGATGTCGAGGCGACGTAAATACGCCACAACACAACTATTGAGAGTCGGGGTAAACACTTGAAAAAGGAAGAAGAATGAGGAACTTCTGAACGTCTAAATGTCCATATTTGGAGTGGAAATGGATTTTTCCAAGGTGAACTTAGAGAAAGTTCGATTTTTTGAAATGTAAAGTCAAGGATGAAGGGGGGCTTAAAAGCGAGGCTCTGAGTCGAAAAAATAGAATTGGACAAAACTCGGATTTTTGTAAATCGGAAAAGTCAATAATGAAGATCGAAATCAGAAAAATCAGATTTCAAGTGTGTTTTGAACAAGGAAAAGAGGATTTGGACGAAATTTGGACTCCTTTGAAATTTAAAAAAATCAAGGAAAATGATCAAAATTAGAAAAATTATGATTTTTTTACCATTTTCCTAACGATAAATTCAATTTTCCCGACTCCGACTTTTTATTTTTTTTTTTGAAATTTTTCTTCCAAATCCTCTTTTTCTTGTTTGGATAATACTTGAAATCTGATTTTCATGGTTCCAAATTTCCTAACTAGCCATTTGACTCGAAAGTTTGGATTTTTTTGAAAATTGATTCCATCAAGGTACTGAAAATCTCAGACTATACATTTTTCCAGTTTCAGGAAAAATTAGGGCTCAAAATATCAGAGAATCTTCTATCTTTTTATGGTATTTTTTGAATTCAACCCTTCTTTTTTTTTCATTTTTTAGTTTTTGGCAAGGAAATTCAATAAATTCTCAATCGCTCATTTTTTTGAAAGGTCTGTCTTTGAAAAAAAGAATAACTGGATTTTGGAATCGTTTTGAAACACGGTTTGAAATAGGTACGAAGAGGATGGTTCAAAAATTTTTTTTCCTAAAAAAATTTTTTTCTCAAAAACCAGTCAAAAAAATTGATAAGAATTTTTTTAGTTTTTTTGGCAAGGAAATTCAAGAATTTCTCAATCGCTCATTTTCGAAAGGTCTATTTTAAAAAAAAAAACTGGATTTTGGAATCGTTTTGAAACCCGGTTTGAAGAGGATGGTTCGAATTTTTCCTCAAAAAACCATGCAAAAATTGGTAGGAATTCCCGATTTTCCCTAGAATCTTCATTAATTGAACTTTTGTAGTGTAGCTCCAGACCACAGAATATGAATGGCATGTTTTTTGTTGATTGGAAAGAGAGAAGGGAAAGTGTTCGGTTTTTTTTTCTCGGGAGCGACGTCTATCTGTGGGCACGACGCCAACAAACAAACGAGAAGCAAACATGTAGTCATATTACTCTCCCGCCGGACTCCCCACTCTCTCCCTTTGCAGTTTGTTTACAACTTTTACCACTGAAAAGAGAGTTTTTTTCCTCCTTTTTCCCCCACAAACAAGGATGATTTTCTTTCGGGGGACCTTTGAAGATGAGCATTTCGATATCATTGCATGATTATAGAAAGGTAGAAGTGGGGTCCTTTTATGCTTTGGGTGAAGCTTATTGTCTCCTTGAACTGGTAGTGACCGCTTTAGGGGTCTCAATAAAGCTTCAGGACCAGGAAAATCATTAGAGGTCACTCAAGGGTTCTTAGAAGTTTAAAGAACAAGTATCGGATGTGCAGTGACCCTTCTTGGATAAAGCTTAAGGACGTCTTGAACTAGTGGTGACCGCTCTAAGAGTCTCAATAAGGCTTCAAGAGCTCTTGATAACTATTAGTGGTCACTCAAGGGGTCTTAGAAGTTTAGAAGTTTAAAAATCAAAGGTCTGAAACGTAGTGATCTTTTTAGGGTCTAGGTGAAGCTCATACACTTCTTTGACTGTTAGTGACCGCTTTAGGAGTCTCAAGGAGGTTCCCAGACCTCTTTGAAATCATTAGTGGTCACTCAAGAGTTCTTAGAAGTTTAAAGAACAAATATGGGATGTGCAGTGATCCTTCTAGGGTCTGGGTGAAGCTTATCGTCTCCTTGAACTGGTAGGGACCGCTTTAGGGGTCTCAAGGAGGTTTCAAGACCTCTTTAAAATTATTAGTGGTCACTCAAGAATTCTTAGAAGTTTAACGATCAAAGATTTGAAGTTTAGTGATCCTTCTAGGGTCTAGGGGAAGCTTAATAACTTCTTGAACTGGTAGTGACCGTTTTAGGGGTCTCAATGAGGTTTCAAGACCTCTTTAAAATTATTAGTGGTCACTCAAGAGGTCTCAAGAGGTAAATTTTGAAGAAGTTGAGATAAGTGATCATTTAAGGGAAAACGTTAAGCTTAAGGCTTCTTAAACTGGTAGTGACCGCTTTAGGAGATTAAAATAAGCTTTTAGACTTCTAGAATTGTAAGTGGTCACTCCAGGAGATAAAATAGCTAAAAAGAAGTGATCTTTCTAGGTCTAGGTGAAGCTTAGGGCTCCTTGGACTGTTAGTGACTGCTTTAGGTGTTTGAAAGAAGGGTTCGAGCTCCTAGAGTGACAATTTTAAGAGTGTGTAAGAATATTTTATATTCATCTGCAACTGTAGATAGTCATATAAAAGTCATATATCTACACATTTCGGGCTCTTATTGGTAACTTAAGGGGTCGAGCTTCACTCAAGGGATCACTAATTCGGGAAGGTTTGAGAGATGACTAAAGAGTTTTTTCTCGAGGTGAAACTCAAGTGGCCAGTTTAGGAGCTGTAGGAGACATACTGAAGGGATCTCTTCAAGTTTTTTTCGGCTGAAGATAAAATGAGTCATTCGGAAGCAAGAGAAGAGAAGACTGATGTCGCTTTTAAGAGGCTACTAAATTATTCTTCGAGGAGAAGTGTGGATGACTCATTGGCAAGGAAGATATCAGAAAGAAGATGAAATGCCTCAAGGGATCACTAAAAGGATTCTTGAAGACTTAAGTCGTCACTGTAGGGGTCACAAGCTCTGAGTGGTCACTCAAGGGTATGTCTTCTTCCACGAACGAAGAACATTCCTTAGTGGCTACTCTAGGGATCTGAGGGAGCAAATGATTCAGTGATACTTTTTTTTGTACAAAAACCAACTTCGAAAAGTCAATTTTTGGTGTCTTCTTTCAAATATTTGAGCTTACGATGCTGTCATTCCGATTTATGGTCTTTATTTGAACTTGTCCAAGTTACAGTAAGATCAGACATGTTTCTTTGGGCTATTTCGGTTGGTTTTGTTTGCACTGGAGTTTTGGAAATGTAAAAAATTGCGCAAAAATTGGATTGAAATAAAAAATTGTAGATTTCTCTTTAAATTTTGAATCTCCGGCAAAAATTTTTTTCTTAAGGCTTTTTACACATTTTTCAATTTTTAAGTTTCGAAAGCTGGGTTTCAATAATCATGACGCAATACTTTATTAAAGTTCTTGAGCCCAAAAAGCCGTGTTTCTATAATTATGTCGCATTATTTTTCTTCATTTTTTGAGTCCCAAATTCTGTGTTTCAATAATTATGACGCAACATTTTTTTCTTCTAATTTTTCGAGTCCAAAATCTGCGTTTCAGTAATTATGAAGCAATATTTTTCTTCATTTTTTGAGTCCCTAAAAGCTGTGTTTCAATAATTATGTCGCAATATTTTATTCCAATTTTTGAGCTCAAAAAGCCGTGTTTCAATATTTATGACGCAATGTTTTTTTTTTCAAAATTTTTTGAGCCCTGAAAGTTCGTGTTTCAATAATTATGTCGCAATATTTTTGTTCTAACTTTGAGTCCTAAAAGCTGTGTTTCAACAATTATGACGCAATATTTTTCTTGATTTTTCGAATCTCAAAAGCCTTGTTTCAGTAATTATGTCGCAATATTTTTCTTTATCCTCGCAACCCCAAAATCTGTGTTTCAATAATCATCACGCACCATGTCACTCAGCAAAAAAAAACTGGCTCTTTTGGCTGTTCATCATGACGATTGAAATGAAAATTGGCTTGTTGTTTACTTTTTTCCCAATTTCTGACGTTTTTCCTGTGCTGGCCAGTGTCAGTCACATGTTCGTTTTGCGTTCCCAACATGATGACACGCGATTAAATGATCTAATCAAATCAATTCTCCCGATTGGTTCTGGTTTCGGCTAGAGAAGGAAGATTTGTTTTGGGGTGATTTGGATAGAGGAAAGTTGAAATTCAGGTCTGATTACTGTAGTTTTGTAGAGAGAAAAGTTGGAGGATTCCACAGAAGTTTGGTATATTGGTTCTGTAGTGATATGGGTACTATAGTCGGTATTTTATATGTATATATATGGGTACTGTAGTCGGTATTTTTCACCGTAACCTGCAAGAATTTGTCGTTTTTGAACCAGGCCATGATAGATTTCAGTTTTTTAAGATTAAAAACAAAAATTAAGATTTTTCAGTGTTGTTGATGGTGAAAAAACCGGTTTTGCTGGTTTTGGTTCGATTGAAATGGGTACTGTAGTTAGTTTAATTGTAGTACAGTAATCTGCTGAAGTTTTGCTGAAAGTACAATAACCTGCTGAAGGTTACTGTATCTAAAACATGGAATAATTGAACTTGGATTCTTTTTACTGTATTTTAAGCCTAGAATGATTGGATTTTGGCTCTTTTTTCAATTTTCAAAGGTTTGAATTTTTTTTTAAATGCTTTTATTAGTTGAAAAGCGATTTTGAATCTAGTGAATTCGATGAAAATTACTGTACCTTTGCCTGGGTTACAGTGAACCAACGGCAAGATTGAGAATTTTTCAGCACTCTTGTCGTGACTTTTTTCTTTTTCCGAAAATAAAATAGGCTATTTTTTCTCTAGATCCTATGAAGCTTAACTTTTCCTTTTTTGGTCAGTAATAACCTTGGAAAGTTGATTCTGAATTCTTCCATTGAAAAATCGGGTCAATCGTCAAGATTTCCTCAATAAAGTTCTTCCAGATGTCGCCGCCGACGTCGATGGCCGCCGACTCCTCGGTCCAGCAGCCCTCGTCAACGTCATCGACCTCGTTCCTGACGGTGCCGGCGACGCCGAGCGTCAGCCACTCGGCTTCTGTCACCGTCGCCGCGCCGCTGACCCCACAGCCGCCGAAGCACTCGCTGAACACCATGCCGCCGTTGATCACCCACTCCCACTCAGTCGGACCCGTCTGCGGGCTGACCCCGCTGCAGAGAGCCGCCAGCATCGCCTCGACGGAGACGTCGCCCAACCCCGACCTCAAGCCGTTTGTCCCGCGTCGGAGTCGCATCTCCGACAAGACCGTTCAGCCGATCTCGTCGGATATCGCCAAGAATCGGTGAGTTTTTGGGAACCTTTGCTTCGGAAGTTGAGCTTGGACTCCGAAACTCGCAAATATTATTTTTTCGATATCGCTGGAATTCTGTAGGATTTAGAAGCACAGAAACTAGGAAAGACAAGAAAAATTCTATAAACTTGACATTTGAAGCTTAGAAACATCGAATATAAGGCAATTTTGAAGGGAATGCTTCAGCACTTCTTCATGCATTATTTCAAATTATCCTTCTCTAAACTCGTAATTTTCTAGGGATTTCTACCGATCAAACGACGTCCGACCTCCCTACACCTATGCGTCGTTGATCCGGCAGGCGATCATGGAATCGCCGGATTGTCAATTAACACTTAATGAGATCTACACCTGGTTCACCGACACCTTTGCCTACTTCCGAAGGAACGCGGCTACTTGGAAGGTTCCTTTTTCTACCTTTTTTAAAGAAAACAGTCTTGATAAGGCTTGATATGAATTTTCTGAAAAGCTCTTATTTTTTTAAAAAAATCTGAAAAAAATGATAATTTGGAGTTTATGGGTCTCCAAAGTGGTGGTCTGAAAAAAATGGCTATTTCTTAAAAAGCTTTTTGCGCTCCATAGATAACTTTTTCAAAAAAATCTGTTTTCAAAATAAGGATAAAAAAACGTTTGAAACGAACTTATACACAGTAGAACTGCTCAGAAAAAAATATCAAAGCTTTTTTCTATGAGTATGTGCGCTCCACTGACAAAAATTCAATTTTTTTGAGTTAAAGCATTTTTTTTCAAGCTTACGTATTTTTTGGATGAACATAGTGAGTCTCTTGATTTTATTGATTTTCTGAGAAAAAAACCGTGTTACCAGTAAAATTTCCCACAATGGCTTTTTCAGTTAGCTTGTGCGCTCCATTGACAAAATGTCAATTTTAGGAAGTTTTTTGCCTTTTTTTGATCCACAGCTTTTTTACAATGCAAGGATGAACATGTGCCTTTTTTTCATATTACTAATTAATGGAGTAGTTTTTTTACTCCCCACTGAAGTCAATCCTATTTTTGGGACACGCACAAAAAACAAAAAACAAAACACACAAAAACAAGCTGCTGAGGCGAGCCGAGTAAACTTGTTTTTGCTGTCGGAATACGGCAACACAAGCAAAAAACAACCTATTTTCTTTTTCTCCCTTGTTGATTTTGACAAGGAAGAGACGGAAAATTGAATGATGAGTTGATGAAAAAAGAGGAAAAATGGATTTTTTTAAGGATGGGGCCACTTTAGTGTTCGTTCCAAGCTCTATAGTGGCCACTTGAAATTTTTCGACCATTACAAATAAATCAGTAATTATTTCATGAACAAGACTTGTATGGAAAAAAAAATTTTTTTCTCAAAAAACTCGTGAAAATCACGTATTTGTCCATGGAGCGTAGAAAACTTATAAAAAAATAGCCTCAAACGTTTTTCTCTGATTATTCAAACATATATACAAAATTTAAATTAAAAAAACCCGTAAATTTCACTATTTGTCAATGGAGCACAAGAAACAAATTAGAAATGGCCTGGGATTTTTTTTTGAATTTTTTTTTCAAACGCATTATAACCTTGTCGAAAATCTAAAGGATTGGTCGATTTTTCAAGAAACGGCTCCTGGAACGAAAAAATAAGCTTATAGTGAGTTCGAAAAGAAGCTTTTACAGTATTACCCAAAAAATTCGTGAATTTCCCTATATGTCCATGGAGCATAATAAACACATCAGAAATAGCCGAAAGTTTTTTTTTTCATTTTTTTTCGAACGTATCGTATTCTTATCGAAAATTTGAAGCATTGGTTGATTATTAAAGGAACCAGTCGTGGAACAAAAAAGAGGGAATAGTGGTTTCGAAAAGGTTTTTACAGTAGTCTACGGATTTTTTTGAAAATTTTGTAAACCTCCAGTTTTTCTGAGCCGACTTTCATCACTCTCTCCCAAAAAAAACCTGTTTTTTTCGAATAATAATTTTTTTCTTCCAATTTTTCGTTTCCAATTCTTCAAACTGAGCCAAACGCAACTGTCAACAACACACGCGATGTCGCGGCCAATATATTTTCTTTTTCTATTTTCTCGCTATCTCTCTCTCCATCGCTTATTTTTCGTTCGTCGCCCCAAACTCGTGAGAAAGCAGTCGTCAACAAAAACATACACACAAAGTGGCGTACACAAAACAAATCGAATTTTTGATCCGAGGGGTCCTTTTAATGAAATTTTTGAAGTTTTTGGCCGTGGAGCGCACTTGGGTGTTCATAAAAAGCCGGTACATAAATATTTGGGCTGAGAAGTCCTTTTGGGGAATTTTTCGAAGTTTTCGGCCGTGGAGCGCACTTGGGTGTTTATAAAAAGCCGGTATATAACTATTCGGTCTGAGGGGTCTTTTCAGGGAAATTTTTGAAGGTTTTATCCGTCGAGCGCAACCAGGTGTTCTTAAAAAGCCTGTACATAAATATTCGGTCTGAGGGGTCATTTTAGTGAAATTTTAGAAATTTTTTGCAGTAGAGCGCTTTTGCGTGCTCGTAAAAAGCCGGTATAAGAACATTTGGTCTGAGAGGTTTATTAAGTAAAAATTTTGAATAGTTTGGCCTTGGAGCGCACTTAGATTTTCGTAAAAGGCCGGTATTTAAATATTCGGTCTGAGGGGTTTTTTAAGTGATTTTTTCTGAAGTTTTTGCCGTAGAGCAAACTTGTGTGGGCTTAAAAGCCGATGCATCGTTGAAGCAAGGACTTGTACTCGAAAAAGTTCCAATCTTCTGATCTGAGGGATCCTTAAAGTTAATTTTTGAAAATTAGACATCAAGAAGTTGAATTTTCTCATTTTTCGTGGTTTCAGAACGCGGTGCGGCACAACCTGTCGCTGCACAAATGTTTCCAAAGAGTTGAGCAAAACGTGAAGGGCGCCGTTTGGACCGTCGACGACTCGGAATTCTACCGGCGGCGGCCCCAAAGAGCCAACGCCACCAGAAGTCAGCCCCAAACTCCGTTGCCTGAAGAGGTAGGGAAAGTTTATTCATTAAAATTTATAAGACTCTGGTCGCATGTGGAATGGCTCAATGCGTCGCGGTTGTCTTTCATATTCAAAATATTCTGACAGAAGCGCGCAACTCGGTTCAAAGTCGGATGCATCTTCATACTACCCGTTTAACGCTGAGCCATTCCCCGTGCGGCCAAAATTTTCCAAACCTGTTGGCATGAATTGTCTTGTTTCACAGCTGCGAACCTTGAATTCGTGAAAACCCATCGATCTCTAAAAAATTTCGAAGTTTCACGGAAGAAAAAGAAGAATTTAAGGTTGCGCAGCGGTTTATGGACCATGGTCTTGGCTCAATTTTTGACGTCCAGAGCTACGATCCCTCGTCGTCGTCGGCTGAAGGGTTCGGCATCAATGGCGGCCTCGACAGCGTCCTCTCCTTCCTGGGTGAGGATTTTTCTAGATTTTTGTAAAAAAAAAATGTTCAAATGGTCGAAAACGACAGGAAATACGGCTTTGATTTTGAATCGAAAATGCAGGATTTGGCTGATTTCAAATAGTCTTTGAAAGTCATCGAGAAAACTTTGCAAACCCGCTTTTTTTAATCTCAAACTTATATTCTTACTGTCTTAAAGCTTCAAGTATGCTCGTCTGAAAATATGCCTTTTCAGCAACCCAAGCCGACGTCCACAATCCGTTGTCGCTGCTGTCGGCGGCGGCGGCGGCGTCGGAGCACGGCTCTGGCGTGACCACACCCCGACCCACTATTTCCATCAAAGACGAGTCCAGCGACCAGGAGCAGCAGTCCATCAGCAGCATTGTCTGCAACGGCGCCAGATGTTTGTTTCTTTTTTTTCTGGGATATCGCTGGCGGTCCATCGGCGACATCGCGAAAGGGCTGCTTTGTGGCCACACCGGACTTGTATTTTTCTTGACGCGATATCGCACTTTGAAAACGCGATGGCGCACTTTGAAACTTTTCTTAGACGCAAGAGAAATGCGATGTCGCGTCTAAAAAAAAATATCTGGCAAAGCGGTCTATTAGCGATGTTTTAAACATTACGCGATATCGCTCTTCTCTCGCGCTTCAAAAAAACGAGATATAGTCGAGACTTGAAACTTTTCTCTGCCTCTCTTTGTCCCCTCACAGGCGGGGTCAGATAAACTTGAAAATAGCACGTCAAAATGAGAGAGTTCCTGAGAGACGAGGAGGGCGCAGAGAAGTCGCATTTCTTTCCAAGTAGTGAAGAACTATATGCGTAAAACTACTTTCTGAGAGAAAATATCTGAAAATAAGAAGCGAGAAAGAAGCGAATAAATGAAGGGACGCCAGAGAAAGAGAGAAAATCCACCTCTCTCGCGTCTCTTACAGCTGTTTATCTCTCGCTTTTGTCAATTTTTGGCGTTTTTACTGTATCTAAGTCATCCAGGGAGAGTATCATAATTTATCCTGAGGAGTTCTGAATAAATTTTTCGAAACATTTCAGCCTTAACCGTCGAAAATCCGACCCCAGCCAAGCGGCCGGCCTCCGCAAATCCAGTCATCAACGCCGTTACGTCCTGTTAATCTCCAACTTTTCCCCCTCTTTTTTTTCTTTCTTGTACACTGTTCACTTATATCCAAGCAGAAAGTCTCCTTATTGCATGTTCCTCAGATATTTCTATTTATTGTTTCCTCCTCTTCGAAAAGGGCCAAGCTCGATCCTCACACGCGTCCCTTTCTTTCCATTCAATGTTGATTCGATTTGACTCGTTAGTGATATGATTTTTCTTCCATTCGTGACCCTTATAGAGGTCTCTTCGAATATTTATCAGTAAGAAATTGTGATTTCTTCTCCTCATGATAGAAATGACAGGGTTTTTGGATGATTTTTTTTTGTTGGGTTGGCTGATTTTTTTGCATCTGGATTTAGTTTGAAGCGAGATTTAAGTCTCAGAGAAACCAAAAGTTGGAATTTGGTTAAGAAAAGTCATGGCCGCATTTAGAATGGCTTTGGAAGCGTCGCGGTCGCGTTGCGGCTGGCTCGATGCCATTCTGCGTGAACCGTTTCAGGTCGGCTGCATTTTGGAGGTTCCGCTGCGCATAAAGTTCTCCGGTTCGGGGCTGCTTCGAAATTGCGCCCGACCGGAAGCGATTTGCGCTTTGGGGTCTTGGAAATGATGAAGACCTAACTGCAATGTATCGAGTCCTACGAAAATTTTGAAAAAAAAAAATTTTCTTTTCGCTTTTTTTTTTTTGAAATTAGGACTCTAGCCGCAGCGCAACCGCAACGCGTCGAGCCATTCCAAACGCAATCAAATAAAGTCCCAAAAATCTCAGCCAACCTAATAATGATTGAATTGTATTACCTAGGGTGATAATCATCATTTTTTTTTCGATTTTTCAAAATTTTTATTCCTCATTTGGATGTTGCCTTAACATTCCTCCCTTGAAAATTTACCATTTTCTCAAGATTTTAATACCTTTACAGTTTTGTTCTTTCATTTTGCCTCACTCATCATATTCCTCGCATTTTTTTCTCTCAGATTGTTTTCCTGGTATCGAAAAATGGATAATCAAGAACCGAAGCCGGTTTTTTCGATTTTTTGTTTTCGAACTTTCTCAGATGTTTCCGGGTCTTAAAATGTGCACTGGGCACTCATTTTTTCCTCCTCTTTGATATTTACCCTTTTTGTTGATGCCTTGTTGAACCTCAGAACAAAATAAAAATTTATTGATATTTTTCACGGAAAAGGTGTTGGAGAACGTCGAAAGCTCAGCTTGATATTCGTTGAAAAAAAAAATGAAAGCTTAATTTGGGGAACATTTTTAGATTTTATATTTTTCTGAAGCTATTGATCATTTTTTTGGGAGTTCTACTCAATTTAAATCTTCCTTGGAGGTACTCGAAGTAACTTTGAGCATTATTTAAAATATCCAAACGAATTTAAAGAAATTTTTCAACTTCACACTGAATTACCTCCTTTTCGAGGGCTTTATAGTCTATTCCACGCCAGCTTGTCACATTTTTCTTCCCGCCAAAATGACCGTATACCAAATCAGATCAAATGTCTGCTTTCATAACGACAAGAAACAAAGGTCTTGAAGCGAAAGTTGGCTGAATTTGACCTGGCCTTTTGGCGGAAAGAAAAACGTGACAAGCTAGCGTGGAATGGCCTATACAGGTTTTTTTGAAGGTACGCTTGAATTATTAACTCTTGATGTTACTAATAATTATTTTTCATAATTAAAGTTTTTTTGCCCGACTGTTATGGGTCAAAAATCTTGAAAAAAATACGAAGATGCCCGAAAAAAACACAATTTTTTTATGGTTCAGAAGCTTCCAAATCAAAGAGTTTTTCATTTATATTAATTGAGGTATTTTTTTAAAGTTCTGGTGAAATTTTAGCGACTACTCAGAACTTTATTTGGTTCATTTTTACTTCGGAAAAAAAGCCAGTTTGAGCCTTTTTTTTGGATGAATATCGTAAATGCGTTTACCAAGGACAGTAAATAATACAGAATTTCAAAAATAATTTGGAAATTTTTTTGATTGAAAGGATATTACGAAGGTTTTTCATGAGGAAAAGCTAATTTTTACTCGAAAAAAATTTGAGCCATTTACCATTTTTCGGACAAAGACGGTAAATTCCGTTAACCAAGACACTGGTAAATGGTCTTATTTCACTCAATAATTTGCAAAATGTGTGAAGCCCTGTATGAAGTCTCTCAGTAATGATTTCGTATGAGGAAAAGCTCATAAAAAAGCAAGTTTGGACCATTTACCGTTCTTGGGGGAGTACGGCAAACGAATTTACCGACTTCTTACCTTCCATAAAACCTTTATTTATTTTTGATTCCGTTATTCGAAGCGATTCAAAGGCTCTAGGGAATTTCAAGGAATTTCAACTGACCACGAGCCTCTACTATCGATTTTTGGAAACAAGGATGGAATTCCAGTGCATTCTCAGAATCGGCTTGTGCGTTGGGCGATCATCTTGCTTGGCTACCACTTCAAAATTGAATACATCAACATCGAAAAATTCGGACAAGCCGATGCCTTGTCGCGAATGATGCAACAAGGAGAAAATCTTCAAGATGACGACGTTGTCATCGCGAAAGTTGAAGTGGAAGTGCAAGAAGTGCTGAAAAACAGCCTTCGTCGACTACCTTTGACCAGCGCGGACGTCCGAACTGAAACTAGTAAGGACAAGGATCTTCAGAAACTCACCAAATTTGTGAACTCTGGAAGTTTTCCGCAGAAGGTACCCGAAAAACTGAGATCTTTCTCCTCAAAACGAGAAGAATTGAACGTAGTCGACGGCTGTTTGATGGTTGGCGATCGAGTCGTCATCCCTGAAAAGTTGAGAGGAGAAGTCCTCAGGGAGCTCCACTCTTCTCATGCTGGAATGGATCATATGAAAAGAATTGCCAGATCAATCGCTTCTTGGCCTGGAATCGATATGGATTGCGAGAACTTTGTACGAAGTTGCAGGACTTGCAGCTTGAACAGCAAAACTCCTCGAAAAGTTCCTTTGCAACCATGGCCAACACCAGAACGGGTTTGGCAAAGAATTCACATCGATTATGCTGGTCCAGACCAAGGACAATGGTATTTGGTGGTGGTGGACGCGAAGAGCAAATTTCCTGAAGTGAAGATTTGCCAGTCAATTTCAGCTACCAATACTGTCAAAGTTCTGAAAGAAATTTTCGCCAGAAACGGTTTCCCGGAAACCTTCGTATCTGACAACGGTACGCAGTTCACGTCCCAACTGTTCGTCGAAATGTGCCAAAGTGGAAACATTCAGCACATCAGAACTGCTCCATATTGTCCGCAATCTAACGGCCAAGCCGAAAGATTCGTCTATACGCTGAAAAGAGCTTTGAAGAAGCTTCAAAAGGGGGAGGAGAAGATATCGGAAGAAATTCTGAACGAATTCCTCATGCGGTATCGCCGCACTCCATTGGAAGTATTGAAAGGGAAGTCAGCCGCCGAAATGCAGATTGGGCGACAAATAAGAACGAAAATCGATTCCCTGAAACCTCGAGATCCAGAAACTCCTTCTTGGTCAAACGACCAAAGGAAAATGAAGAATTGGTTCGACGAAAAGTATAGCACGAGATCTCGTGATTGTTGGTCAGCAGGTGATGGCAAAATGTCACACTGCCAACTCATGGACGTGGGAGCCAGGCTTTATTCTGAAAAAGTCAGGAAAAGTCAACTACGAAGTTGACTTGGGTGGTTCGACATGGCGTTTTCATGCGAACCAGCTGAGACGCGACTGTTCTGAACGAGAACAAGAAAATCAGCTCGATTCGTGACTAGATGTTCTGCTAGACACCTACGAAGTTCTTCCAACGACTGTGCTCCCGCCGACGATTGTTCCGATGCCGCCGTGCACAGCTCCAGCAGCACCAGCCGCAACAACAACAGCAGCTCAGTCAACAACGACTACGGTGCCACTGAACGTCTCCGCACAGCAGCCACTCGCAGCCGTACCTATGGGTCCAGTCAATCCGCCAGCAGCGCCGAGAAGATCTTCACGACAGCCGAAGCCTATTAATCGTTTTGACCCTACTCCGTGAATTAGGCTCAACGATTTGAATTGCTCGATTTTAAAGAGTCTCTTTTAACATTGTTTTATAATGTTTATGTTTGTCCCTAACTGGTCCCTTTATCTTTAAAAGAAGGGAGGTGTTGTGGAATGCGGAATCCCCGTAAACCTACACACAACTCATGTGCGCGCTAGCGTACATTGTTCTGCGTAGAACCCATTTTTTTGGCCTAAAAATGTTTTTTTACCCCAATATTTGGTTGGTAATCAATAGTTGTTCTAGATATTTTTGTATAGTAGTTAAGTGTATATATTTGTAAGATAAATATATACTACAAGGAGTGTTAAAGATCGTTTCTACACTATACAACAGTTACTTTTTTCCATTAATTCTTTGATTTCAGACATGACGGTGATCACAATTCGGTTGGTTGGAGAACAAGAAGATCGTTTATTCGAAGGAATTGACGTGGATAATAAGGTTTTACTTTGATTATTTATTCTGATTGACTTATTTTATTTGTATCTTTTCAGATTCTATACGTTGACCTAAAGAAGCGTATTGAGACTATTACGAAGATTCCCCTCGACTTCCAAGAAGTCCGATTCCGTGGTGAAAAACTATCCGTTGTGGAGTATCTTATTCGAGACATCAAGTTTGGCGAAGAGCTTGTAGTGGTAAGTCGAATGTATATGTTTAGAATGTACTGTTTATTGCTAGGATGTATAATTTTATTTATGACATATAGACAGCATTATAAATTATTATTGTTTCAGAAACACGCATCACTTCCTCAATGGCAGAATTACTTAACGATAGTGCAAAAGTATCGTGAAGACAAGAAAAATCGTTCAAGGCAGGAAAAAGCTGTTGAAGCTAATGAGCAAGCGAAACAATCATACGATATGAAGTTTTTCTCTGCTTATGCGACATTCTATTCGGATTTGCTTCGTATGCGAGAGGAGTATGCCGTTTTTCTGGACAATATTCCTGATTTCATCAGAGAAGCAGCCAAAACGTTCTTCACGCGCAAGTTTCATGACAAGTTGATCGGTGTCCAATTCAAGGATAAAGCCTCTGGTATGCTGAGTTTATTAATCATTGATTTGATTTTAAAAATATTTAGGTTCACGGTCTGGCACTGTCTGTACTGTTAGTTATGATGATTGTCGCCACGTCTATTATATCAAGACTAATCATAACGCATCTAGTATATCGAGTAAGCTCAATTGTAGTGAATCAATTTAATCAACAAAATCTAAAATTTAGCTACTCATCGTGAGCCTCTAAACATGATTGAGTTGTTCGTGTACAAACTTTTGGAAGTCATGAATATTGGGGCCATGATTTATTTTATCCCAAATCTGGTTGCGTCAAACAAAATTGTTTATATTTGTAGCAGAGAGATTTGTGGATTCAAAACTTTGGCGATGCTGGAGAAACATTGGTAAGTGCTTTCAAAATATTATGATTGATTTCGAGTTTCAATATTTTTTTTCCACTGTGTGTGTTTAGTGATGTTTATGAACGTGAAACTGTCAAGCACAAAGAAGATCATGCTAAAGCCATCATCCAGATATCTTTACTGGTACAAATTCTTGGGATAGGCGATCTGAATGCAGAAAACATTCATCGGAAACAGTTCCTGCTTAAATGTTGTGGATTTTCGATCAGGATTCATCGATAGCTCAATTGCATTTGGAGGGATTAATCGTCCAAAATCAGCATTAAGTTTGGTTGCCCAGCTGCGAATGAACCTGGGAAGATTTTCGGATTTTTTTCAGGTTTGTGTTTTTGCATTGATGAAAATCATGAATCTTTGCTTTCAGAGAATGACGTACGAGGAACAGCTCAGAATCGCAAAGGAGTTTATTGATCAATGTGGAATCAGTTTGAAGTTGGATGAAGCGCTTGCTAAGCTGGACGAAGATAAGGAAGTGTTCCGTCGATCAGATTTACTGTTTAGCAAAGGAACAGAAGCTCTAGGAGAATACATAACTATTGTTCGAGAGAAGATAACTCAAATTTGTAATTTATGTTTTTGCTGTTGTTGAACAATTGTCGAATAATTTAATTTCAACACCATCCCAGCACTCTTCTAACATCTCATTCCCACATACATTCTCCGGAAGAATTGAGCCGTTAATTACGAGTACTGTATTTGTATTTGTAGTGTATTTCTGTGTTTTTCATAAAAATTTCTTGAAAGTTCTTGATTCCTAATGAGTTTACTAATTCTAGGATATCAAGGTCGGTTAAAGGCTTTAGATCTTTTGAAAAGCGCATTTATTAAGCATTATTTTTATTCAAATTCGTTAGCGCATTTTTCTCGACCATCTCGACCACTGGATTTCGACCACATTTTTTTATAACGCACTTTTCGACCTTTTGACCATTTTTAAAAATAGTTGAAAATGACACATTTTTGATGAGTTAAGACTTGTTTATGTTAAAAATATGCCTTAAAATGGCTTAAAAGTGTAGAAAATCGAAGGTGGTCGAAAAGGTGCGCTGGAACGGTATTTTATCTATTATTTCCATTCAATGTTGATTCGATTTGACTCTTTAGTGATATGATTTTCTTTCAATCGTGACCCTTATAGAGGTCTCTTCCGAAATTTTCAAATTGAATTTTCTCTGAACCTCTCCCTTTCCCGCACTCTCTACTCATCAAAACGATAATTTTCGAAGCTTGTTCAGAATGAGGCTCAAATTAGGGCCAAGAAGAACCCATAGTCGCGTCCTTTTCGGCATCGTCATGGCAACCTCCATTCCCGCCACGCCGATTCACCTTTTATACCTGTTTAACTCACGCTAAAAAGCCTGTTTCAATCAGAACAATGTCGGATGTTGAGGTGGATGACGATAAAGACGACGAGAAGATTTTGAAGGTTTGCTTTATTTTTGTTTTATGACTGTTGGTCTTTTTCAAGCATTTTGAAGGCTTTTAAAGGTTTTTAGAGTATTTTGAATTTATTTGAAGGTTTTTAGAGACACGGCGTTCTGCGTAGTCGAAGAAAATGTAAAATTTTTGAAAATGTGGAGCGGCTTGGAAGGGTTGCTCCACCTAGATTTACGGTAGACAGCTTGCGCGCGAACATTTGAATTTCTTGTTGCTCAAGTGCTTCAGGTGATTTTTCATTTTTATTTCAGTTTTATCTTCATCTGTTTGGTTCTGATTTACGGTAATTATTTTTCATTGCGACAGCAAAATGCGAAGGAATTTTTGTTTTTTAATTGTCAATATTAACTGCTCGGTTTTGACAAAATTTCCCCTTTAAGCAAAAAAAAAACCCTTTCAGCAACATTTTCTGTGTCAAATTAAATTTTTTATTTGAATCAATCAATCTCTTCATTTTCGCAACATCAGAATGGTATGGCGATGATGCAGGGGAGAAAAAAATACCACTAGGTGGATGAAATAAAAGCAAACCTGTAAAGAAAAACTTTTTTTATTTTTTTTAGTGAGTGGGGAAAGACGCATAGAACCACATTAAGTCATTTTCGGCATAAAATTCCACGTTTTTTTACTGAAAAAAAGGACTTTAACTAATTTTTGAGGGTGAAAAGGAAAAAAAGTGTTAAAAAAATAAGAAAAAAACTTTCACCCAAATGTTTTTTTCGTCAACTAGAAAAAGGAATTGTGAAAGGATCAATTTTTTTCACGTCTATAGTTTTGAAAAAACGCTATTTTTTGAAGAAAAAAATTATTTTTGAATTTAATGAGTATGCGAGTTAGCGTCGTTCTGTGTATGCACAAAAGACGTCAAATATTACGGAAATTGTGGGAGGGACGTCGTCAAAAGAACGCCGTGGAGAACTTTAAAATGATTTTGAAGATATTAAAAAGTATAATTATTTTCGATCGTTTCTAGGTTTTTTTTTCATCAATAACTATGTTTTTCAGTAAAATATAACATTATACGTACAATTTATTTTTTCCAATTATTTTCTAGGTTTTCGTAAACCTTTTCACTTTCTTGATAAGACCTTTCCAACCAAAAATCTGAAAAATGTCCCTAGAAAAGCCTTTTTCAAACCCTTCATCACGTTTTTAGTGTTAGGGAGTTTTCTCGTTTTAATTTGCTTTTTTTTCTAACAATATTCAGAAAACTTGGACTTTCAAGTAAAATGAGTCGGTTTTTTTTTCTTTTTCAGAACCTGTCTATCTTCTTGCTGAGTCTTCTAAAAATCTGAATAAGTGGCTTTTTCAAAAATTTTGTTATTGTTTTCTTGGTATTTTTTCTAGTTTTAAAAGTTTCATACGGTTTTTAGAAACGTTGAAAATAAATTTTAGAATATCTGTGATTTTTTTCGAAAAAAACTAGCGATGAATTCGTGTCGAGTTTTTTTAAAGACGGTAATTTTTCTTGGATTTACTGTGAATGTTTTTTTACAGATTGTCGTTGTTGGAGACGGCGCCAGTGGAAAGACTTCAATATGTCAGCGTTTCGCCAAAGAAACTTTCGATAAATCTTATCATCAGGTATGATTTTATCGTACAGTATTACATAGTTACCTAAAAGAAGCTAATTTTATTAACTGACTTAAAAAAGAAGTTTATTCATTTTTTTCAATCTTTAATGATTTGTTTTCGTTTTCCGTTATTTTTTTTTATCCTTTTGTCTTCCCTCTTCATTTAACAAGCTTTTTTAATGTCATTTGTTCCTTTTTCATTTTTGGAGTCTTTTCCTATGTGACATTGCTATTGAACAGCGTTTCAAGATGTTTAAAGGTGCATACGCGAATTTAATGATGGTTTCGAAGAGAAAATCAACTTTTCGTGATATATTCAGGCATCGTGCGCCTTTAAACACCTTAAAACGCGTTTGGACCAGCTATGACCTTTTAAAGTATTTTTGTTTACTTCATGAAACGTTTTTCTGATTTTTTCAGACGCTTGGCCTGGACTTTTTCTCGAGAAGATTGATCCTTCCCGGTGATGTTCAAGTACAAGTTCAGGTTGGTTTCTTTTTGGGATTTTTATATAATTTGTTTGATTTTTTTCAAGTCCTTTTTAGTCTATACCACGCTTTAAAAGGAAAAATGTCTTCTAGCATTAAATTTCAGCATTTTTAGGCTGGCGAGCCAATCAGAAGGCTGTTTCCTAGCTTGAAAAGGTGAAATGAACCAATTTATCATGAAATCTTCAGGTCTGGGACATTGGCGGGCAAAGTATCGCCGGCGAAATGGTGGACAAGTACGTGGCCGGGACAGATATCGCCTTCATCGTCTATGACGTCACGAATGTCAAATCCTTCGACAATGTTCAAGATTGGCTCTCTGTTGTCAAACGCGTCACAAAGAACCAGGAAAAGGTTGAAATTTGGTTTTCTTTGGGGCGATCTGATTGATTTGTAGAGTTTTATTTCTCTTTTTTGAAATTATTTTTCATTTTTCTTATTTTTCACAGCGATACTCTAGGGCCTCCTAGTTCCATAAAGAAGATTTTTACCTTCTAGACATGGTGAAACGTTTTAGAATCTGAAAACTACACACATTTTGAAAAAAGGGGTTATTTGAAGCTTAAGAAGCGTTGACTCGACTGGCAAACAGAATTTTAAAAATTCTTCATTTTTTGAAATCTGGAGGCGCTGCAGTACATTTCAGAAATATTTTACCAAAAGTTCAATCAAAGAGCGTAAATAATTAAGGTGTGCGTGAGAGAAGTTTTGAAACAAAAGAGAATAACTTCCGAAAAAATCTTTATGATTATTTTCTTGATACGAACTGTTTTCAGCTTCCTCAAATCATCCTCGTCGCGAACAAAACCGACCTGGAGGAGAAAAGAGTCGTTCCCATTGATCAGCACAACACTTTGGCCAAGAAATACGATATGAAAGCGATTTATGTTTCGGCAAAGACCGGCGATTCAGTTCTGCTCATGTTCAAGTAAAATTTTCATTCAAAACTACAAAAATTATCATTATTTCAAGACAAGCGGTCGCTGACGTTCTCAAAATTGTTCTCACCAAAGCCGACCAAGAAGCCGATATTTTAATCGTTCAAGGAACTGTCGCAGATGCAGCAAAGGTATTCAAAGAAAAATATTTTTTTCAAAAAAGTACAAGTTTAAACGTTTTGCAGGTTCACGAAGGCGCGAATCTTCGGAGGACAGATCGCAGCAAAAATACGGCTGTTTGTCTTGTTATGTGATTGTAATAAACGTTACTATCAAATTTTTCCATGGAAATGGCATGAAAAAGCTTCGAAATTTATTTTAGCAGGTTACGGTATCTCCAATGGACGCTTGCACTCCCGCAAAAATGCATACTCCCAACTTTTTTTTCACTTTTTTTTTCGCGCGCGCTTTCGCTTCAATCCATGCAAATTTGTTCTCTCTTTTCTCTTTCTCCGTTCTCTTTGTTTTCCAATCCATTGTATTAGTTCTTCCGCGTCTGGTACAATTTTCGCTCCGAAGAATTTTGAGTTGAGAAGAAAAAAAAATTCTGCCGTAAATTCCATCTTTTCTCTGTTCGTTTCCTTGACCAGTATACTTTTTTACAACTGCTAAAAACTTTACTTGTTTTGCAGAAATGTCAGAGTTATTCCTTGGCCATTCATATTGAGTTGAGAGGTGTGTAATAACGGCGGAGATGTCACGTTTTGACGATTCGTTTGACCCGACGTTCCAATCGACGTCAAAAGTTTGTCACTTTCTGTTTTTTGTGAGAGAAAATGGAGTAATTGTAGAAAATAAACATGTATTCGGCGTCGGAACGGGATAAACGATTAGACGAGACTTCCTATGACAATTATCCGGACGATCATCACGTCGCCCAGGATTTTAGTAAAGAGGAGTTGGTCCGGCTGATCGTTTTGATGGAGGGAGAATTGGAAGGTCGCGAACAGGTCATCGACCACTTGAAGGTTAGATTTTGGTATTTTTCATGGGTTTTGTTGCGAAAAAATCCCTGGAGATTCATTAAAATATTTTATTTTGAGCTTCTTAATGCGTCAGATTTTTTTATCAATTTGCTTGAAAAAGGCGTCAGAGAGTTCCCTTTGGTCTAAATAGCTTTTTTTCTCAAATGTGTAAAAAAATCTTTATATATAAAGATGTGACTGCACTTGAAAAAAATTTTTACAGTTAGAAAAAAATTTTTCGGCTCAGTTTCCTTATAATAATTCAATACATACAAAAAAATGAATCAAAGAATTGTTCATTATGAAAAAATTACCGAAATGGATAAAAAAATGTTTCTCTCTTCAATTTTCACTGAACTTTTTTTAAAGAATCTTTTTTTCCAACCTTTGAAGAATTTTTTTCAGAAAAAAAGTCTTTTGAGGGGTTTTTTTCAGTGAGAAATTCAAAAAATATTGAGTTCATTTTAGAAAAAATCCAAATTGTTTCCAGAAAGAACGAACGAAAATTCTATTGGCCGAGGCGAAATACGGCAAACTCAGCGTAAATGATCCATTTTCGGCTTTGAGACGAGATTCGGCGGTAACCGAGGAGTACTTCGACGAGCAGCAAATCGGTCAAATGTACGAATCTCAGGTGATTTTTATAAATTCGTCCATAGTTTTGAGGTAAAAATTTTTTTTTAAGGTTGCCCAGCTTGATCGGCTCATCGCCACGCAGAGGAAGCTTCAGAACAAATCGAAATTGGTAAATATTGTTCATTTTTTTTATATTTTGTGCAAAATTATAGGTTTTTTTTTACGGTTTTGACTAGTTTTCAGGGTTTTTCATAATTATTCGAAACTTTGAGTTTTTTTCAAAAAGTTTTTTTAAATTTTGATATCTTTTTTTCTTTCTTAATTTTTTTACTTTCATTTTCTAATACTTTTTTTAAAAAAACTGTTCTTTTTTTCAACAAAAAAATTTGAATTTTTTTCTTCATTTTACCATCATTTTCAAACATTATATCAATTGATTTCCTGATTTTTTTACCTTTTATTTTATGGTAGTCTTGCAGGAAGACTTTTTTTCTTACAAAAATTTCTGAAATTTAAGCTCCTTTTTCCTTGTTTTTTTCGATTTTTTTAAATTTTAATCTATTCACCGATTTTCAACCTAACTTCACATTAGTTTTTTTCAAAAAAATTGTATTTTTTTACTCAAAATTTTCGAATTTCAGCTCCTTTCTGCCACTGAAAAAAACGGCATTTGAAAGCGATGCGAGAGTTGGAAGCCGAAATGGACAGAAAAAAAGCAGGTAAGAATTTATCTTTTTTTCAAGTTAGATATTATTGAATAAGACCCTAATTAAACATTTTAAAAAAATTAAATAAACATTTTTTTAACGGCTTTAAAAAAAGCTTGTAGCTTGTAGATAACGTTATATGAATGGAAATTTTAAAATTGATCAGTTTATAAATATTAGATTATTCCTGAACCATACTTGGGATAATAAAAGATTTTTAAAGATTCCATTAAATTTTAAAAACCGACATTTTTTTTTGCGCTTTTCCGGAGAAATTTAGAGAAAGCGACTTCTTGATTAATTTTTTTCTGTTTTTTCTTTTTTCATTTTTTTCCGCTTTTTTATTTTGATTTGATTCAGTTAGGTTATTGGTGGAGAACATGGGTAAAATTAAACAGAAACTTGAGGCAGTTGAAAGAAAAATAACTGAGAAACTTTGAAGGGTTCCTATAGGCGGTCTCATAGGGGCCCTATCAGCCTTATTTCCCTTATCAAAGCGTTTTTGACTTATTTTCCGCAAGTTTTAGCTTCTGAAAACTCAGCAGTTTGACGCAGGTTTTCGCACAAAAAAAATTGTTTTTTTTTGCTCAGAATTTGATTTTTTTTAAGAACAAAGTGTTACCAAAAATTTTTGGCGTTTTTTCATAAGCCTGTTTCTGGTGTTTTTTCTTTGAGAGAGAAATGAAAGGGTTTAGAACGAAAAAATCTTTAAAAAAAATAATGACTTTTGGCTTCTGAGTAGTTCCATTTAAAGGTATGCCGACCAAGGCGACGACGTTCTCGCGCTTCTCGAAAAGGAACGAAACAAGTTGACTCAACAGGTTAGAAAAAAAAAAGTAGCTATAAAATAGTTGTCAATTTCAGGTTGAATATCACATCGAAGAGGCGAAAAAGCGACAAGGGGAACGAGACGCCGCCGAAAACAAGTTGGCCGCCGAGAAAAAACGCCACGAGGCGATCGTCCTCTACTTGATCCAGGAACGGAAACATATGCTGCTCAAAATCCACGAGTTGCGGTGCAAAACTGAAAACGGTCAGTACAGGCATAGAAAAGGGTCTGAAAATAATGGATTTGAGAGAAAAAATCAAAAAAATTAGCCTCGGAACGAAAAAAATAAAAAAAGCGGTTAAAAGTGGATCGGCAAATAGTTTATTTGAAAAAAAAAATCAGTCAAAATCAGTAAAATTGATCCCCTCCCACCCCCAAAAAAACACAAATCCAAAAAAGATAGAAGAAGGGGCCTAAAAATAATGGATTGCAAAAAGAAGCAAGAGAATTGATCCACGAATAAGGGAAACTCAAAAAAAAAAACAGAAAAAAAGTCTGCGATCTGTAAAAAAGCGAAAAAAACGAAGCCCTCAAAACAAAAAAATCCCAGAAAAAAAAGCCAGGAAGAAGGTGCATAAAAGTAAAAGCTCTCAGAAAAAAAAAAGAAAAAATTGAGTCGCAGAAAGAAGATATCCACAAGGCAGAAAAAATATGCAAAAAACAAAATAATGGTTTAAAAAATACCGACAAAGCTGAGCCCCCCTAAATTTGAAAAAAATTTATGGAAGAACTAGCCGGAAAAATTTTTAACCGGACTTTCTTTGAAAAAAATAGCCGCCAACGATACATTTCCTAAAAAGAGGCTAGGATAAATCAGCGGCTACAAGGAAAAAAACCTTGAAAAAAAGTTTACACAGCCTTTTTTTCGATGAATTGTGTTCTGCGGCTACTTTCGAGCGTTTATGTCCTCAAATAATTTTTTTTTTTAAAAAAATAACGCCAACGAGAAATCTCTCAAGAAGAAGCTAGGAAAAAGATTTAGCCTTGAAAAAAAATACTACAGAAAAAAGAGCTACAAATGGAAGGATTGGAAGAAAAAAATAGCCGCGTAAAAAGGACTGTTGCAATGTTCTGCGACTATTTTTGAGTGTCCTAAAATAAATTTTTTTTTTTTTCCAGAATACTCATTATATTTTTCTCTTTCAGCTCAACCTTCGGCTTCTACGGTCGCTGATCGGGAACTTATTGAGGAACTGAAAAAAGAAGTGACTTTTTTGAGAGGCGAAAGAGAATCTTTGAAAAATACGCAGAAGATGTTGAAGGTATAATACACAGTTTCGACAAAAACAAAAAAAAAGTTCAGTCCGAGAATTTGAACCTGAAAGAAGTCGTCAAGGGCCAGGAAGCCGATCTACTCCTCCTGAGGAAGAATCTGATTTCTACAGCGAAAATTACGATGGAAAAGCCGGTTACGGTAAGTAAACATAAAAAATAAAAAGATGATGAAATTTCGTACTAAAAAAGACTAAATTAGTTACAAAAAGCCAATTAGTTGAATAATTTTGAGAATCTTAGAAATTAGTCGAAGATATGAATCGAAATTGGAAGAAATGGATTTTTGAGGTGCCTTGAAAGGACCAAAAATCGAAAAAAAGAAAAATTTTTGTAGTGGTAGCTGATTCACGTAGCTTGAGCAATCGAAAAATGGCTCCTGACACGATAAGAAAAGAGAGATAGTGCCTGATTTGGTGGAGAGCGCAGACAGGCCACGCCCCTCAGCGTGTCAAGCTGGTCGTGAATTTTCGTCTTGACAGAGCTCTCTTGGATGTACTAGGGCGAAATAATAGGTTTTATGAAAACCTAAACCACCTCAATACTTTTCGAACCTTTGAGTGGCCTCTTGAAACGGAGTCATTAAAAAAGGGTCCTGACACGATAAAGTAGGAGACATTGTCTGGTTGGTGGAGGGCGCAGACAGGCCACGCTCCTTGGAGTCCCAAGCTAGCCGTTATTTTTGGTTTGGAGGAACTTTCTTTGATGTAAGAGGGTAAAATCATGCTTTTTATGAAACCTGGACCACCTCAATTTTTTCCGGGGCTTCTTGAAACTGAATCTTAGAAAAAAGGTGCCAGTTTCTTAAAGAAAAACGACTTTTGTATGGTCTAGGACATGGAAATTTTCAAATTCGGGTAGAATGACTTGATTGTCAAGAAAAATGTAGAAGTTTCAACGATTTTTCTCAAATTTTAGGGCATTTTAAGACATTATAAGGAAGGTTATTCTACTAATCGGTTGGGCAAGAAACACCTTGATGTACTAGAAGTAGATTTTGAAAGTCTCAACCTGCAAAACTTTCTAATTTTCGAGAAATAAGGGTCCTAAAATAGCCTTTTCCAACGTATTTCTAGGATTTTTTCGACTTCGGAGTGTCCTTTTTTTTTAACGGAAAATGGGGCATTTTCAAGGTTAAGACGGTCAGGATCTTGTAATGGAACATCAAGGAGTGTTCTGGACAATTTTCAGTATAATCCCAACCGCACAGTAAAATTACTTTCCTTGAGAGAAACGAACAATGACTGTACTTTGAAAGATGTTAGGAAAAGCCATTTGCAGCTGCCGCAACTGGCCGACGACCGCGCGTTGGTCGTCGCCAACCGTGGCGTCACGTCTGGAAGGCTCTCTTCGTCGACGACGTCACGGCTGTCCACGTCGAGCTCCTTCCCGATGGAGAAGAGCCGCTTGCCGCGGGCGCCCATCACCTCCGTCTCCACCACGAATTCCTCCACCATCCCCCGCCATTCTTCCATTGTCTCCCCGAGGTTTGTTTAATCGGAAATATAGTCGCGACCCTCTCATTTTGAAGTGCTGTTTTCATGTTCTCAGACCTCAACGCTGAGGGACAGAGAGACGCAGACACTCAAGAACTGTCAAGTCATCCCAAAATGACTATTAAATTTGTGTTTGTGGATAGAAATGGGCGGCGGCTATAACCTAAGCGCGTACTTTGGCTGGATCCAACCCCAGGGTGGAAAAAAGTTTTTTCGTTGCGACTTACTAACCGTAGAACGCGGTCTGTTTCAGTACATCTTCGAATTTTTTTTTGGCGCGCAAAAGACTGGGATGGGATCCAGCTCGCGTATGAATCCGCGGTAGCTTATCAAAAAAAATTTTCCCCTGTTTCAAAACCCTTTTCATCGATGCGCGGACTTTCTATATGCATGCGCCTTTAAAATACCCAAACTTTTTGATTAAATTAAAGGCGCATACACAGGGAAACGCCGTGCGTATCGAAGAAAATGGTTCAGCAGATTGGAGGAAAGAAGATCAATTTTTTTTTTAAACTGTCTCCAAATTTGTGTACCTAATCACAATATTTTGCATTGACAGAAAAATTCGCGTAAAAGCTAAAACCAGTTATAAAATGCTTGTAAACTTTCGCTCTACTGAAGGTATTTTGATAATAATCAACCGGGAAAGTTCAAAATAGCAAAATGAAAATTTAAAAAAGGAATTTCAACTTAAGATATGTCGTATCGGTTTTTCAAAATTCACTCGAAGTGAGTTTTGGCGCTTTAATTGAAGAAGAAAATAAAGCGATAAAAGAAAATATTGCTTCGAGAAAAAAACTTCCCTTTCTGTGCTTTCAAGCTACCCCGTGTAAAGTTTTCTACTGGAAATATCATTTTTTCGTTTTCTTCCATTCCCTCTGTCGCTTGCAGGACCATTGGATCGCCGACAAAGAAAACGCCGATCATGGGAGTTTCCTCGGCCCGACGCCCGCAGTCCGCCCAACAGCACCTTCCTGCCCCAACTCCGCCTAATGAGCCGGAGTTTGACGAACTCGAGGCGGCGATTCAGTCGATGAACGGTTGGTGATCATATTAAAGGGGTCAATGTGGAGATATTCCTGTCGTAATTGATTTTTGTGTTTTCTAAAACTTCTGATCACTAGGACCTTGGTAAGACGCGCCTTCCTAGTGGTCACTTTAGTATTTTATAGAGTCTTTTCTGATCCTTCAAGTGTTCCCTACGAAGTTGAATTATCAAATTTTGAGCTTCTAGTAATCCCTGTAGGGTAAAAGTTCAGGCCCTTGGTAACGCGAACGTGTATGCGTTTCTAGTGACCACTTCAGTAGCGTCAGCTCTCTTAAGAGATCCCTAGAATTGCTCAGAAACGTCCGGCTTTGTTACCGAGGTCCTAAAGAATCTTATTGATGAGAAAAACCTCAAAAAAGATTCAAAGAGACGTTAAAAAGATGATAAAGCCCGAAGAGACGCCAGACAATGAGAGAGATTCTAACTTCTCTGGCGTTTCTTCGGCCGCCTCTGATCTCTCGTTTTGGAGCTTCAGAAGCCTACGGTTTTGCGTGATATGTGTATCATTATGAATTGAATTTTAAGTTTTTTAAAGTTTTTGCTTGATCGATCGATTAGATCGATTGGGTTACGGAACAATGAAACTATGAAAAATGCGGCTTAATTTCCTCTAATTTTGCCCAAGAGGTCACTTGGATACTTTTCAAAAAAAGTTCTAGGATTTCCAGCAAAACTTTACTTTGCGTTTATTTCGTCTATTTTAAAAGGGGCTTAATCAATAGTTCTGACATGGTTATTTTGGCGCAACTTGAAATTATTTTTTTAAGAGTTTGAATGTTTAGGGAAATAGTGTACAAAAACGAGAGGGTTATATTTTTCGTTATCTTTTTTCTGGCAAGCCATCGACCAATTGATGCAATAATACATAATTTCAAAAAACCAAAAGGACAAGGAATATCTCCATATTGGTTACTGTACCTGCACATCTTGTGTGCATGTGATCCTTTGTTATCGTGAAACCTCTGTAGTGACGGCGACGTCTTCAACCTCTTCATCATCGACGACGTCAACAACGACGACGACGGTGAAACGGAGCTCCAGCCTGCCCAGGGACCGCCCGACGTCCTCCCTGACTCAGCTGAAAAGGCCCGACGTCCCACCGCCGCCCTACAAACTCACCTCGACCAAGAGCCTTGTCACGTGTATGTTCTGCTATAGCCCATTCCGCGTCACGTTTCGCTTCAAGACCCTTTTTTCGCATTTTTGTTAAAAACAGCTTTACGGTAGTTTTTCGTTCTGCGGTTTATAGACGTCCAGAATCGCACTATATAGTCTGTTCAGATTTCGTCCCCCGTGATTACGGTACCTTTCGCGTCGATGTTTTATCATGCGCAACGATGATCCTTTAATAGCGCTAATTTTTTTTTTCTAAGGCAGCCCTACTAAAGGATCATTTCATTGAGCTGGTGGATCAAAAATGGGTCAAAAAAGGCAGCGCTATCAAAGGATCATCGTCTCGTGTAACAGATAATAAACGCGACAAGGTACTGTAGACGCGCGGGGGCGGAGTCGAGCTTGATGGTCAAAAGCTGACCAAGAGTACATGCCTGTGTAGCCGTCCCAATCAGAATATTTGAATAGAACGGATTTTTTTAGGGATTTTGCTGTTCAAAAGAAAAAAAGACTCGGAAATTTTTGATAAAAAGGCTGAAAAATGCTTCATTTAGCATTTTTTTCAATTTTTTTCTATCCAAAAATTTTTTTTAAATCAATTTTTTTACTGCTTCAAGTTGTGTGCGAAGCGGTCGCGCACCGTTTTTAGTTTGAAAAATTTTTCTCGCGCTTTTTTTGGATTTTTTTTCTCACTTTTTTTCTGTTGAAGATTTGATTTTAATTATGTAGACAATATCCTTGAAAAACTCCATTAATGCGATTATTTTTTTGAATTGGCGCCAAAACCGCAACGCACCCGCCTCGCATAAAAACTTACACTTTTTTTCAAATTTCATTTTAATAATTTAAATTTTTGCAGCTTTTGAATGAAAAAAATCAGAAAAAAATTTTTAATATGTTAAAAATACCACGTTCAAAGTCATTCCACGTATACCACGTTCAAAGTCATTCCGGCAAAAAACTAAAAACTATCTCTGACTCTCCGAAATTTAGTTATCCTTTTCTTTCTCTGATGGCTATTTTGAATTTTGCGGCATCAAAATTACCTTTTTTTTGAAAATTCCTTTAAGAAGCATCGTTTTTTATTATTTACCACTATGGAAATGCATTTTCGTTGTAACAATGCCACTTCTTCCATTTTCAAGAGTAAAATCGCTCATTTTTTCCATTTTTCAGCCTCTCCGACGACGTCAAGGGCCGCTGAAACTCGAAAATTGTCGGGGACCGTCAAAAGGAATGGGATCCTGGCCAAAGCCTTCGGAAAGTAGTCATCTTAAGACATAGAAATCCGCGAATTTACGCGTCGAAATATATTTTCCCGTGGACCAGATGCGCCTTTAAACTTTTCACCTTTTTTTTTTTTGAATTTTTCCATTTTCCTATCATTTCTCTTTCACGTGTAAATAAGTTCATTTTTGACGATTTTTGTAATTTTAAGGCACAACTCATTCCCGAGATAGCAGTGGATGAACTATAACTTTTTTTCCTTTATATTCAGTTCCTTATAGTTTTTCTCACTTTTGGTGCTTCAACCTTGATTAAAATCTCATTGTTTTCTTCAGTTCAGTTTTATTTTTGTTACTCACTTCTCCTTCATATTGAATAATAATAATAATATTGCGCATAATTAACGTGTATTGCAAAGAATCACTAACCGATTGTTTCTAATATATATTGTTTGTTGATTTTTGTTTTTCAATATTTTATTTCTATGTTTTTTTGGTGTCGACCACATGATTCGTATGTACATGATGTGTTTATTAAGAAAAAAACTTTTATCACTTTCAGGTTTTTTTTTCTGTTCAAATGTTTCACGAGGAAAAGGACCGTTCATGATGGGATGGGAAGACAAGATTGAAAGGAGACGAGACCCGGAAAATGGCGAAAAAACTAAAAAGTGGTAGGCAATGTGAAAAGAAAAGAAAAATAAACTAGTTGGGGGTAAAAATGAATCGGTTAGATGTTCAGGTGGGAATGACCGAGCTGAGCGAGTTTCTGAGTATCCGACGGACGACTTGAGCTTCTTTCATAGCGGATAATGTCGATCAGGGGCACCTAGAAGAGTCATTTTTTTAAATAATTTCAGGCGGTTTTTCATTTAGAAAAAAACTCTCGGTGTTTTTTTCAAAAAAATTATTGAAGGTTCAAGGAGCTAGGAAAAGTAATTATTGAAAATGAAGTTAAATAAACCCTTTTTCAGGAAAAAGTCCTCGAAAATTGGAAAAAAAAAACTTGTGGTGATTTTTCCAGTGAAACTGTCATAGAAATTCAAAGTACTGTTTTGACAATTAAAAATGCTTTGGAAAAAATTTTTTCGACAGAAACGTATTTAATGATCTTTCTTCAACCTTCTCAATCAAATTTCGATAAAACTATGGAAAAGTTGATAATTTTTAATCAAAAAAACTAGCGGTACATTTTTTTCAAAGATTCGTGAAGAGTTTTTCATAAAAAAAGTGAACAATTTTTTTATGAAAAATATATATCCAAACCTTGAAAAATGCCTTATTCTCTGTCTTTCCTAGAAATAAATATTTTCAATTGATTCAAAAGTTTCTAAATAAGGAAAAGGCTGAATCCTATTCTTTTTTTTAAAGTTGCTTTCAAGGATAGTCAAAATTTAGTAGATTCTCACCTTATTCTTCGCATTGAGAACAATGTCCAACTCGGCACGCCAACAAGGTTCCCCATTATCATTGGCGTCGACTTGAGGACACCAACGTTCGTGATTTCGAACAGGATCGAAGTTCGTACTCGATCTGATAGAAAAATCTCGTTTCTTTGTTTCATATCAAATCAAGTTGTTCAATGACAATCTTTGTGTTATTTTGGCGCGTTTTCAGAGTAATTTCAGTAAAAGTGACCTTATTTTGTTTTGAATTATTAAGAAAAATTGGGTCCTTCCAAGCTAATTTAAAACTTTGTTCAATCTGAAAGGACAATACTTCATTTTTCACTTTACAAATCAGAAAACTTTTGAAAAACTTCAACTTTAGCTGTTCAGTGACTGACCATGTTCGTTACATTATAGGAACCGAAACTGCGTTTATTTATCTTTTAAAGCAAAAATTATTGAACTAATTTTGAAACGGTTATTTTATACCTTATTTCAGTTAATTTGATAAAATTATTGTGCTGCGAAATGAACATTTTTGATTATTCGGGAAAAAAATCTTCCGACTTCAGCTTTTACGCAACATTATCGATAGAGAAGCTCTCTTTATCCTCCAAAAATGTTTAACTTTGAGCTAGAAGTATATAGGAATCTTCAAAATTACAAAAAGAATTAAATTTATGAGTATTTTCGCTCAAAGTTTGAAAAAAAAACCTGAAAATCATTTCGCGGGCGCAAAATTCGCAGTTAATCTGCAGAAGGCCTCGGCGAGATTTGGACATTTTCCAGCCAAGAGTCGAAATGAAAACGAGGCCTGGCGGATATTTATCAATGACGGGGATCGGCGCGTCTTTCGGAATGTCCTGTAAGCAAAAAAATTAAACTTCAGCCCAGATTTTTTTGCTTTTTTTGGCCTAAATATTTTTTTTGTCTTTTTCAAAAATGGTCAAAAATCTGTCTGAAGTTCTGAAATGACTGAAAATCGTTTAAGACTAGAACAAAAAAATAACTAAATTTTTTGAAAATTGGACTTTTTTTGAAAAAAATTTTTAAAGGTATTTTTTAAATCTTTCGCTTCTCTATGCATTATAGCTCATTACGCGCCGGCTTGTCAATATTTTTTCCGCTGAGGTACAATAATTCATTCTTCAGAACGCACTGCGCCTTCAATATATCGAAAATTCAAAGGCGCATCGAAGAAAGAGGGATATGTAACAGAGGGAAAAAATATTGATAAGCTGGCCTATAATAAATCAAAAACGGACAACGATAAGCTCCTCGGGAGCGACAGAAGAAGCGGTGGAAAGGCGTTCCTCGATACCGGCCAGGACTTCTTTGGCCGTGGGGTCGACGATCCGGAAAGGCGGCGCGCGGACGCGATGCTTGCACGTGGGCCGGTGCGCCGAAATCATGTTGTCGTGGACTTTCCTCAAAATTTGCATTCATATTCATTTTTCACGCGCTTAAAGACTTAAGGCAGATGTTGTAGACGTTGACGCTGACTTTGGAGATGGGCGGCAGGGAGGTGGAAAGATGTTGCTCACACTCGACGCACTTGACAAGGTCTCGCTTCTCGTATTCCCAGCCGTAGTCGGCCAGGTCCCGCGGCGTTACACCGCATCCCGACCAGTTCGGGGACTGAAAATTTTCGAAATCATCGTTTTGAAAGCATTATCTGTGAAGTTCTAAAGCAAAAAATTCTTTGGTACCTTCAAAAATGTTCCTTTGGAGCGCAAAATGTTGAAAGACCGGTATTTTCTTTCATAAAACCCTCAGAGATTAACACTCAATCGGAATTTGTACGGCTGACAGTTTTTGCGCAGCAATATTCACCACTTTGACGCGGAATCTTTCGAAAACTCCAAACAGCGCAATTTAGTTTCATTTTTTAACTTGTGATAATCTTCACAGAAGCTTTTAAGAAAAAAAAAAATCCTTCACCTTGTAAGTCTTAATTATCTTCTTGTAGAGATTGAGATCACGAAGCTGAGTCAGCTGGCTTTTTCTGTAATTTAATATGATCCCGGTATTAAAAAAGGCTTTTTAGAACCTCTTTGCAGCGGAAAGTGTGTCGAAGATATCCGTGAGGCTTTCATTGGCCTTCCGTTTATTTGATTTTTCTGCACTCATTGGCAGTAGCAACCGAGTTATCAGCGAGTAAAGTCTGAAAATGTTAATGAAGATTAAAAAATACACGTTTTTATCGAAAAATATTTCACGTGAGCGCGTTCTAAAGGCGACCTTCCATGAAACCATTGAATTTTGGGACTTTCGCGGAGAGATAAGTTATCGAACGACTGTTCATACAGAATGTAGGCGCATCGACAAAACACCATGACCGTAGCCCTCTGCAGAGGAAGGCGGAGTTATTAAAGGCGCAGAGGGGGTATGCCGTCGGCGGACACCGTCACGACGCTCTCTCTTCTCTGGTGTCTCTGCTATTGAGCCGTCCATCAATACTGGGTCTCTGAGGAAAGGCTCCGCTGCGCCTGGGGGCACGTTCTGCATCAGTTTCTGCGTTATTCCGGACCGGAACAACCGTTTATTGAGCCGATTGGCGAAAGAATTGGAAAAAGAGCTGGAATGGCCAAAAAAACCTCAAATTTTTATTTTATTTTTTCTAATTTTAAGTTTTTCTCCCATCATGTGACTACTATTATTCCTTGTTTCACTCAAAGAAAAAACGTGAAGTTTAAATTTGGAGAGCTTTAAATTTCTTTCGTGAAAATATGAAAAAAAAAAACAGTTCGTGAGAGCGACACCTCGTGACACCACGAACGGCAGTCCCCTTTTATCGATTCCCCAATCTTGTTTTTCTCCTTTTTTCATTGATTTCTAAAAAGTTTCTGGTTCTTTCTTCTCTTTTGGCTAGTTCAAAGTGATTTTCAAGCTTGGAAAGTCTCTAAAGTGAACCCCCAACTCGATGGTTTCCTCACTTGAAAATAATTTTGAACGCTTTTCAACTTTCCAAGGTTTTTTTTTCTCATATTAGTGTTTAGACAACTTCCCAGTCTTCCCTTAAAACCAATCGCCATGTCGTGCAGTAGTGACGATCAATCCGACAAGGAGGTAAAGATTCCCAACAAATGATCAATGAAATACTTATCGATTTGTGTTCAAGTGCCCACTCTGCATGGAAACATTAGAGCTTGACGACGTCAACTTCTTCCCTTGTAAATGTGAATACCAAGTGAGTTTTTGTGTGGTGGAAAGGTTGAAAAATGGAAAAATAAAGTTGAAAGAAAATTATTGATTTTTACGGTGTTCACACGTGATTCAAAGAATGAAATGGCAAAATATGGAAAATATTAAAAAGATTTTTCGTGTTTTCATTAAAACTTTTAAGCGTGATTTTTTAAAACTTCCACTTTGAAATATTAAATTTTCACGGTTTTTCGAAATTAATTACTATTCGAAGTTAATTAATTATTCGAAGTTTAAAGGCTATTTTTTCGCATGGGAAGGAAGATCAGAAATTTAAGTCTCTGTGATATTTATTAAAGGTTTTTTTTCTGGATAAACAGTACTTTTTAAAGTTTTGCTGTACAAGTTTATCATCACACGCTTCAGAAAATTGACAGCCATCTTGTGATTTTTGAAAGTTGTCATAAAACTTCAATCATTTTAGCTTCCCTTTCAGTATTTTTGATTTAAAAATGATTTTTCTGGGTTATTTCTAGGCGCAGAAGTCTTGGATCACCTGGAAATTACTGAAAACGATTTTTTGATAAACTCTTCAAAGGAAAAATCTCAGGAATGATTTTTGCAAGGACTATCCTGGAAAACTTGCAGATTTGCCGCTTTTGCTGGCATCGTTTGCGTACCGATGAAAATGGGCTGTGCCCGGCATGTAGACAACCTTATCCGGAAGATCCCGTCAATTTCAAGGTTCCAGAAAACTTGAAATTGCACAAAAAAAAAGATAATTTAAGCCTTTGTCAAGTGCGGACGTGCAACGGCACAAAGATGAGAAGCGAATGAAGCAACAGGCGGAAAAAATACGAATTTCTGAGAGTCGGCAGCATCTTTCCAATTATCGCGTTCTGCAAAAAGTTCTTTTTCCCTTTAGGAAAAAGAAAATATTATTTTTAATCCCAGAATTTGGTCTACGTTGTTGGATTGTCGGCGAGGGTTACGGATCAAGAGACGTTGAGAAAACTTGAATTTTTCGGAAAATATGGCAAAATTTTGAAGGTTTGTTCGGGGATCTTTCATTTCTTTCTAGTAGAGTGATTGGAATGGTTATGGTTAATATAAATCATCTTTTTCTTTATAAAAAAATTTGAGTTTTTTTGAACGAAAAAAATTAGCTAGGTTTTTTTGATTTTCAATATCGCCTATCTATTGAAAAAAAGTTTTGGCTTTTAATTTTTTTCTAGTTTTGATAATCAATTTTTCAGCATAAATCTCAACTTTCTGTTACAGTTCAATTTCAATGTATTATTTTATAGAGAAAAAAATACAGAATAAAAAAAGTAAAAAAATTCAGTTTTCGTGAAAAATAATGAAACTTTCGAGACATGATCTAAAGAAAGGTACTAATTAAAAAAACTTGGAAATTTTTAAAAAAACTTCTCAATTTTTTTAGGCTCTCTCTATTGTCCCTCTATTGAGAGTCACCTTCGTAACTTTAATTTTCCGGAAAAATCATTAAATTTTTCCAAAAGTCATGTTTCGAAATGAAGAAAGATGGTGGGAAATTGAAAAGTACTCGGGTTTCCTTAATTTTCCAGATATAGAGACATTTTTCCGCTCGAATTTTGAACTAAACTTAGAAGTTTTCAAACCAAAAAAGATGAAATTTCAATTATTTGGCACTTCTCGTTATAGCTTCATTTAAAAGCTTCAATCTTTTGCAATTTTTATTCGAATTTTTTAAAAAGAAGCCAGTTTTGGAAAGAAGAAAGATGCTGGGAAGTGTCCAAACTTTGTGGAAAACTTTTTTGATAGTCGCTTTTTCTTGATGTTATTGAGTAAAGAAAATGGTATTTCATGAAAAAAGGTCCCAAAAAGTTCAAAATTGGCGGAAAGTTCTGGAAAAACCTGAAGCCTAGTTACCTTTTTTTAATTTTGATGTTTTTAGGTAGTGACCGGAACGGCGCCGAGTATGCACCCGAACGCCCAGCCGAGTCATTCCGCCTACGTAACTTATAGCAAAGTTGATGACGCATTAAGAGCTATTCAGGTGCTTTTGTCTCACCTTTTCTCATAGGCATCAAGTTGGAAGGGTCAAAAAAGGCTTCATAAAGATTTTCCTTTTAGGGTGATAAAGGTTCCTTTTTTGCGCCATTTCATCGGCTGTTATGCACCATTTTTGCTGCCTCTCCCGTTTCCCACCTTTTCTCGAGCCTTTAAAATCCTAGAAAAATTGGAAGGCTCAATAAAAGGACCCTTTTTGCTGCCGTTTTTGAGCCCTTTTAAGCCCTTTTAGTGGCCTTTCCAACTTAGCTTCTATCATGCGTAAAACCATCAATAATCAACTTTTTTGCAGAATGTGAATAATTCGTACTTGGATGGGCGGCTTGTGAAGGCCTCTTTAGGCACCACAAAGTATTGCTCATCGTTTTTGCAGAGTAAAAAGTGTTTCAAACCGGTGAGTTTCCAAGAAAAATTGAGTTTTTGTTGAGGGAATTTCAATTTATCGGATTTTTTGAACGGTTTCAACGAAATTTCAGGGAATCCACTTGTGGAAAAAAAAATGAATCCAAGGATTTTTCGCATAATTTTCAAAACGGTTTACAAAAGGACGACTTTTCATAATTTGCGAAATTAACGAAAAAATGTTGTTATTTTGGATTTTGAAAGTTTTAAGTAGTTTTGCGCGACGTCTTAAGCAAGATTATTTACTTTTCTTCATCAAGATGTTTTATTTGAGGTTTGAAGCGTACATAATAGGGGAAAAAGCGAAAATTCAAGCATTTCATTGATTTTTACCGTTAATGACGCTACAGATTTTTTTTTGTTGATAATCTCAAAATGCAGTGAAGGAAAAGTCGAAAATTCTCTTTTTTTAATGATAAAGTTGGATATATAAATTATTTTTCGCGAATTTTTCTAGAGAAACTTGGATTTTTCGCTTCGTTTTGAGCTCGAGCTCTTATTTTTCCTTAATTTTAATACTTTTTTTATACTTCAGGAATGTATGTACCTTCACGAAATTGCCGAACCCGAGATCAGTTTCACAAAAGAGGATATGCACGCGGGTAAACATACGGACTGCGAGAAGAGGTACCCGAAAAAATTCGATTTTCGAGAAAATTCATTTTTTACAGATTAATTGACGCAATGTTGAGCCAATGTCAAGCCAAAGCACTGTTGGCCGAGAAAACGAGGACAAGGTTTTTTTTTCGTTGTTTTTTTTTGGGAAAAAGAACAAGAATAGCTATGAAAAATCGCTTCTGAAAGTTCAATTTGACCGAAAAAAATTTTTTTCAACTTTTTGAAAAATTTGAGGGATTTCAGGCTTGAAAGGAAGGTTCTTCAATAATATTTTAACTTAGGAAAAAAAGTAAATTTTTAAAAATATTGGTAACGAAAAAGGTATTTTAGCACTTTGAACTCTTGGATCTTCCGGTTGATTTCGATTATTTTTCATTTTTTTTTTCTTTTTTTTTCGAAAGTTGATCGGATTTCGATTGTGGAACAGGAAATTTCAGCCTTAGAAGCTTGGAAATTATTTTTTCTTGTTCAAATATAAATATTTCGAGGCGTTACACTTGTAGATTCAACTGAAAATTTGAGTTCAGATGTGAAAAAAAAACGTGTTTTTCTCAGTTTTTTCAGGGACTTTCAATCCTTAAAAAAATTATGAGTTTAATGAATTTCTCAATATCAGAAAAAGTTCCAGGGAAATCTGTTTTCTAATCAATTTATCAATGAATTTTAGCCTTTTTCACGAAATTTATGACCTACCCATTTTCTTGCCTGAAAAAATTACAAAACCCGCGGAACTCCCCATAAATCAAGAACAGCCGTCGGCGAGAAGCAACAATAATAGAAAGAGGGATTTTGTTGCAGAGAAGCGATACGACAGGCACAGGAGGCGGCGAAACAAGAAGTTTCCCACTGGGACATGGCGAACGATGGCGGCGACGAGTGCGACGAGTTGGGCGCGAACGATGACGACGAGGACGACGACGACGACCAGAGGAGCAGCTCTGGCGACGGCGACGTCCAGGAAGAGTCGCCCGCGTCCGGCAGCTACAGCGACGCCAGTTCCAACGACGGGGTCAATCATTTGAAATTGTTGATTTGGTGGATTTTGCAACGATTAAATTATGACAAGGGAGAAAAATGTCGCTCATTTTTCTTTACATTAACTTGTGCGAAGAGTTCGCGCTCCTGGAAAAGTCGGTCGCTTTTCAAAATGGCCATTTTTCGATTTTTTTTTTAGTTCTAAATTGCTCCAAAATGCGAAGAATTCTCGATTTTACTTAACTTTCAAATATCGAAAAACCAAATATTGACAGCCCAGAGTAGGATATTTCTTGTTTTTTCAACTTATTTTAAGTCAAACTTGACCTTTTTCAAAAAGAATATTTTGGTCTTTGATAATAGATAAACGGAAATAAGGAGTACTGTACGTGCAAGTCCGCATTTGACGCGTGCACTTTGCGTGTTTGCACATTGCGCGTGGTCTTTCCAGTTTGGCTCGAAATTTTATGGAAATCGATTACAACTTAAGGAAAAAGTTGGATTGAACCAACTATTCAGTACTCGTATTGTGAAAAAAAAATGGTAAACGCACGTCCAATCTACAAACACGCAACGTGCACGTGTCAAATGCGGACTTCCACATACAGTACTCTTCGTAGAAAAAAAAAATCGCTCCTGTCGAAGCACCGAAAAAAAATCACCGCCAAAGGTTCATAATCGCAACCTGCAAATGGACTGCAAAAAGTAAAAGGCAATAAACACTTTTAAAAAAAGGACGAAAAAATTTGAGTGTAGTGTAAAAAAAAATTCTAGATAAATGACCTTAAAAGTTTGGCCGCCAAGCTCAAACAACTATGGTTTTTAATCTCAAGCTCTTTAAATATTATAACCATTGTCATAGAAAAATAATAACTTGCATGGAAAATGAAAGCGTTCACACATTTGGAAACGTTATTTTAATGTTAGCGAGTTGAGTTTCAATTTTTTTTTTCGAAAAATCGGTTCTCTCGGCTTCTCATTCACGAAACGGGCGCTAAATTCAATCTTTAGAAGAGTTTTAAAATATATTTTTGAATTTTTTTAAAGTTTTTTTCTGGTCAAGTCATCCTTGTTTATTCTTTTTTTCAGTCTTCTGTGGAAGACCCGGCACCTTCAAACGTACGGCAACACGAAGCACACGCGAAACGAATCAAATCGGCGGTCAAAAGAAGGGACGATTTATCGATTGCACAGGTTTCCAGTACCATCAGCACTATATTTGTTTCATGATGGTCAATTTTCAGAGTCATTCACCCCCTACGGATCCAGAAGCAAACGACAACGAGGTCGAGGACGCCTTGGAGGATGATCTTTTATCTTCGTGAGTTTATGAGGGAAAATATTGAGAAAGAAATTGGTAGAAAATAACATGGGAAGGTTTTGCAACGAAAAAAGTCACAGTATGAAGAATTTTTGGTTTTAATATTCGAAAAAAAAAACACGAAGCTTAACAGTTACAATGTTTGGAAGCTCCACGAGGAAATTCTCAGATCTAGAAGTAATTTTACGAAAATTTATGCCGGAGATGATGAAATTTGCAAGGAAGTGTTAATATCAAATCATTTATTTTGTTGTTTTAGTCTGACTAGGCGGTGAACAAGAACTTTTAAAGCTATAGCGAACAACCGCCTTTGGCGAGCTAGAAGTCCAAACGTGTAGTCGAAAGAGTTGAAAGCATGGTCTCACGGTCCTTCGCCTCGTTCTTCTGCGCGTAGTCCATCCAGTTGCGCCTTGACGAGCTCAGAATGTAGTGGATGTTGAGCTGGAGCCCGGAGACCGTGCTCTAGGTGGAAGCCTCAGAATGAGAGCGACCACTTCGAGTGAAGATTTTACACGGAATAGATTTTACACGGAATATTAGAAAGCTGACATCAAAAAATGTAGCTCAGAAAAAAAATATCAGCTTCCTGTTGAGTTTTAGTTTCGATACAATTTTTCTAAAAATTCTGTAAAAAACTTTGTCATTTTTTCGCTTTTGAATCACTCCTAAAAAACCCAAGTCGTTAGCTTTCGAGAAATCTCAAAAAATCGGTGAAATCTCAAGTAAATGGTCTTAAAACGATCAGCGGGATAGTGGGCTGGGACACAAGGTTTTAGATAATTTTATGCTATTTCCGAAAAAAAAAAATGTAACGGTTAGTTAGGCGCAACCCGGAAGAAATTCTGTAAACGTTTCCCATAATTAGCGAAACAGTGCGTAAATAGGAGGGTTTCAGATTTTTCTGTTTAATTTCTGGTCTTCAACTAATGAAGATAAGAACAGCGCAAGATAAAAATAATGACTTTTTTGTTTCAGATGCCTAGCAGAAAAGTTGCACTCAACGAAACTGCTCTGCGACGAGGAAGAGTCGACATTTGGCATCCCGGCGCCGGCGGAATTCGTCGAGGCGCCGGCGCCACTCGTCAACTGGCAGACGCTCCTTGGCCTGACGCCGCAGCCGACGCCGACGTTCCCCTCGATGCCGACCTCCTTGTTCGGCAACCTCGTCGAGCCCAAGCAGAACAGCATGACGTCGACGGCGACGACGACTTTGGGCTCCTCTTCTAGCTCCAACAACGTCACGACGACACGAAGGCTGGCCCCGAGCCCGCCTCCCAGGTATCCCCAACCTCCTCTAGCATATTTCACAGAGAGCTCAGGTCTCACTCGGTACGCCTCCGACGACGACGACCTCGGCTTTGATCCGTTCAAGGAGTCGGCGATCGGCCTGGCGGCGCTTCTGAAGGAGGAGGAAGAGCGGCTCCAGGCGCAGCAGTTGCAGCAACAGCAGCAGCAACAACAGCAACAACTGCAACAACAGCAACAGCAACAGCAGCATCACAACCACCTTTCACAGTGAGGATTTTTGAAGCTTTGAAAATCAGTTAGGACCTCGAGATTTTCCGAAAAATGAGCTTTATAATGAAGGATTTTCAGTTGAAGTTACACAGTGAGGATTTCAAAGGAAATGCTCTGAAAATGGGCATGAAGCTTTAATATTTTTCGAGAAAAGAACTTGGAAAAGTAGCCATCTTTAGGTAAAATGGAGGATTTTTCATAGTGAGATTTTTTAAGGAAAAGCTTTAGAAACCAGCTAGGAACACTGCGATCTTCCGAAAAATGAGCCATTTTTAAAAGTTATAAGAAGTACGATTTTTAATAGAGAAGCCCTGAAAAAAATCAGCTAGAAACCTGAGATTTTTCTGGAAATTGACTTTTTTTCTCTAAGTTAAAATGAAGGGTTTACCGTTGAAAAGTTGATATTTTGAAACTAAAGTCTCTAACAAGGATATTTGAGCTTACTCAAGGGGTTTCTGTAGAAAAAAATTTTTTTTTCAAGATTAAATCATTCTTAGGAAGAATGACGGATTTTTTTGGGTGAAATATTTAACTATCTTTAAAAGAGAGATTCAAAAAAAGAACTCTGGACATAGCCTAGGATCGTTATTATTTTTTGACTGAGAGCTGGGAAAATTTCTCTCAGCTCATTATTTTTAGTTGAAAATTTGAAACATCGTTCACAGGGAAAATACGCTTCAAAAGTTGGCGGAAATCTCTAAAATATTGATCAAGCCATTCTCAGTTTTAATGGGAAGCTCTGATAAGTAGCTAGAATTTGAAAGTTTTAATGACAGCTTTCAATTATTAGCCGAAAAGTTTAAGTTTTCGTCCATATAACTTTGAAAAGTACCTCAAAGATTCTTGCTTGTTCCAGATTGTCGATGCTCCATCAACACCAACAACAGCAAAAACAACAGCAGCAGCAACATCACGCTCAACAACTGAGCATGATGCAGCAGATGCAAGCGGCCGCCGCTGCTTACACTCAGCCACAGTCTTTGAGAAGTCTCTGGACGTCTCGGAACGCTTTCGGCTCCAGTGTTCAGCAACAACCCCAGCCTCAGCCTCAACAACATCAGCTCCACAATTCTCATATGCAACAGCAGCAGAATCATCACCTCCAGCAGCAGCAGCACCCACTCCATCAGTCCTACGATCCGTTCTCCTCGTCCTCCTCCAATAACTATCACTTCAATGCGCCTCACGGACTCCACCACGGACTTCACCATCAACAGCAGCCCCAACAACATCATCAAGTTCAGCAGCACCACCGGGAACCGATGCCGGGCATCTTCCAGGAGCTCGCCGCTCAGTACGCCGCCCAGATGTCCGGACCGTTTGCAGCGCCGCCTGGCCTCACTCCGCCCGTCTCCCGGCCACCTCAGCCTCAGCAGCCCCAACAGCAGCCACCACAACAGCAGCCGAACAAGACGATGACCGAGTGGCAGGAAGGCTTCAAGGCCCTCCTACCCAACGTCAACGTTCGCTTCATGGACGACTCGTCGATGACGCGCTGGTCGCACGAGAGCAGTCTGCGATCGGCCGTCCCTCCCCCGCCCGGCTTCTCATCCGTCTTGAACCGGTAGATCGGAAGCAAAGAGGGTGGCGACGTCGTTGTGATTTTTTTTTTCCCTTGGCGGAAAGGTCTAGAGAGGGTTTTGGCTAGGATTCTTGATGATTTTTATCGATTTTGAGATTTTTTGTAAGAAAAAAAAATGACATGCATTGAAATGGAAAATCGAATCGATTTTTTCGGTTTTGGACGGCATACATTTTGTTCAAATCATTGAAAAGACCATTCCAAAAAGTTTATAGAACTTGATTTTTGGAAAATGGTTCATAATTTGCAATGCTTTTTTTGCTCGAAATTTTGCAATTTTAGGTTATTTTCTGAAGTTTTGAAACTTCTAACGAACAAAAAATTACGAAAACAGAGAATTTGAAACATTTCTATAGCCAAAAATTTTGAACCGAATTTTTTTTCCTTCCAAAAAAAAGCGCCAAGGATGTTCAAATCAAACCTATCGCAGACCTTTCCGCCAAAACTAGCCGTTTTTTTCATCTTTCTTCACCAGTTTAGTTTGAATATAGTCGCTTTCTCGAAAACTTGGATTTCTCATAGATTCACACGGTGCGTGGTTTCGAAATGTTCTAATCTTTTTTTTTGCTGTGTTTTTCGCATTTTATCATTCATCTTTATTTTTCAACCAAAAAATGGGTAATCAAGAGCAATCCTTTGTCGATTCCTCTTGCTGGGTACCGATTTTTTTTAAAAGTTGTTTCTTCCATTTGCAGCGAGTTCCTTGGTCAATCGTGTGCTATTTTCGTATTCCCCTTCGTTTTCTAGTCGATTTTTCAATTCTGATCGATTTGAGGATCGCGACCTCGCTTTATCATTTTTCTCTTTTTCATTCGGTGATTAGAACATTTCCCCAAATTTTGATCTAAGCTGTTCATGTAGTGAAGAAAGTGTCTTTGGAAATTGCTTCAGACTTCTATGCTCCCCAAAGTGAATTGTTTTCTTTTTATTTTCATAGAAAATGGCTTGATTTTTGTTCTATTAATAACATTCTTGAAGGGCGGAGACTTGGGCCGGGGTAGTGTAGCGAACAGGCTGCACTATCGATCATGCCGGTTCCCTCGTTCTCCAGCGGCTTGACTTGAAAATTCCATCCGAAAAGATTGAATAGGCGGTTTTTCGGCGGGAAATTCAAAAAAGGGCAGCGATTTGAGAAAATTGCAGTCTTGGCTCTGCAGATTAGACAGGTTTTTCTATGGAGAACGCTTTCTTGAAGGCTTTTTTCGGAAGAAAACTTAAAAATTAATCTCTATAAAAATAAGGCCTAGGCTTCTAAAAAAATGAGAAGTCCATAGAAAAATTGCTATTTTGAGCCGTTTTTTTCAACGTGAAAGTCTGATTTTTAGCTCTAAAATGGTCGAAACTTGAAATTTATAGTGAAAATTACCAAAAACTTGGAAGAAAACATATTTTGAAACTCATCACAACGAGAAAGATGAATGTGAAAAAAATAAAAACTAAATTTTTTTGAATTTTTTTAAATTTCCCGCCAAAAAACGCTTCGAGGCAACGTTGAATCGACTTTAGTATTTTCAAATATCGATTTTCCAGTCAAGTCCCCTTCATCCTTCTCTTCATTTCCTAGTTGACTTCTTGTGACCTTTTTTCCTCGATCAGATAACGACGTCGCCTATAATTTATAGCTTCTCGAGATCCATTCCCTCTCTTTTTCATAAATATTTCTCTTTTTTTCGTATCGTCTTGTGCTCCCACCTTCTCTTAGTAGTGCGGCACTAGTCGCGCTCTCTTTTTATTTGGTCTGAATCGAATATTTCTGGAAAATGTTGGCCCACTTGTGTGTGCCGAAGCGATTGTGATGGCCAATAAATCGGTTGATTCGTTTAAAATTCTGTTTTTGTTTTTCGTGAAAGTCTTGTTGCGATAGCCGAAGGTATTATTGGATTGAAAAAATTCGAATTTCAGGTTCACCTTTTTAAAAAAGGAACTTTAAACTATAATGCCGTTGAATTTTGGATTTAGAAAATGAAAAAAATGACTCGGACATTGGTAACGCGAAACGGACGTGCTCCGGACGTTGGCGATTCTAGGGATCATTTAAGAGTTCTGAGGCTACTAAAGTGGTCACTAGAAATGCCCCGACACGTCCGATTTGCATCCCGTTCGCCTTGCCCAGGTCCGAGGAAAAAATTAGCTATTTTCGCACAAAACCGCTCTCAAAATGATAAAATCAAGCTGGTTTTGTGTTAACAAAGTCATTTCTAAAATTAAATCGATGTTTTTGCTTTTAATTTTCAAGAATGGAAGAATTCGACGCCGAAAAAGCCTTGGAGGAGAGCGCATCTGACGGTGATGACGTCAGTACCGAGGACCTGGACGAGTTCGAGCTCAAACTCGTCGAAAATCACCCCGAGTTGGCTCTCGCCGTGTGCTTGATCGACCAGGAGCTGGAGCAACAGGAACAGCAGGGTCCCAGCAAAAAGTTGGTCTTTTTTGTGATTTTGCTGTGATTTTTGTGATTTCTGTGGTGAAAGGTTGAAACAAGGTCGAGAGAAAATGTTCAAGTTTCGATTTTAAATATAAATTTTGAGGATCGTATCAACTGATAAGTTTTACGGAAAAGTCTGAAAATTGAGCTTTTATTCGTAGATTTTTCATTAGTGATTCTGTAATCTGGAACCCAATCTCAATAAGTTTTCCTATTAAAAACAAAAAATGACTTCAATTTAATGACATTCAAGAGACAGACTCAAAAATTATTCCGATCCTCGTGAATTTACCTCATTCTTTTTATCCGCCGTAAAAAGCTGTCGGGAATAAAGTTCACCTGAATTAAAATAGGAATTTCAAAAACTTGAAGTTAAAAAAATGGTTCCAAATTTAATTCGACGATGCGCAAGAACTTGATAGTTTTCCGGACGCTTTGAAGAATTCGATAAGGGATTTTTGGCAATAATGATCATTTCTCAAAGCAAAAAAACTTTGGTTTTAGTGAATTTTTTTGATTATAGACGTATTTTCACTATTTTTTTCACTTCTTTCGTCGTCGAATTGAAATTAAGTCAGGCAGCAGAAGCGAGAACGTGTCGAGCGAATAGTCGCGATGACTGAAGGAGGAGCGGAACTGTTGACGAAAAAGAAGGGAAAACGGAAAGAAGCTTGGTCTGTCAACTTATTTATTTATTTTCTATGGGATCGTGGCATTAGGGTAAAGTCGGAATGGTGGATAATGGCCGCTGAAAGGGAGAGGCTCAAATAGGCAAAAATGAAGCAAAAATAGTCCCTTCATTGAGCTTTTCATTTTTCTGGGCATTTATAGGCTCCAGAAATGGTAGAAAAAGGGAGAGGCAGCAAAAATGGTGCACAAGAACTGGCGCAAAAAGGCAGAAAATAAGAGCCTTTGTCACCCTAAAAGGAACATTTCTATGGAACCTTTTTCCACCCTTTCCGATTTTGCCCATATACGAGGATTTTTTCCCAGTTGAAGTTCATTATACTCTTTAGGACCGTGCTTTTCGAAGCACTTGCGGCGATTTCAGAAATCGGCCCTCTGGCACTTTTGCAAAAGGCGATCAAAAGTCAGAGGAAGGTCCAGGTACTCGGAAATTTATTAGGAAAGAAGAAATAGTGATGCAAATTTCGAGATACGGGTCCGAAGTGCGGTTCGAATCGATCGCGTTTTTCAAGGCGTTCCGGTACTTTTCGACGCTCACATCAACGTTTTACTGAAAGACGTGGTCGAAACGGTCCTTCTGGGCAGGTTTCCTGTTTCTTCTATTTTTTAAAACTTTTTCCGAAGTTTAGTCTTAACTTATATGAATGATGAAGGATTCTCAATTTTCAGAACTATCCCCACCAAGAAACTTAGGAACGCTAGAGAGGTTTCTGTAGGGGAAGGTGAAGTGGTCCCTAGAGGGCAACTTTCAAGGACCCTTAACGTTGCCCCTATAGTGACCACTTCTGCAAGCTTTAGCGTCCACTAAAGGGGAGGTGAAGGGATCCCTAGAGGGAAACCGTTAAGAGCTCCTAAGGTTGTCCCTATAGTGACCAATTCTGCAAGCTTTAGCGTCAACTAAAGGTCGGGTAAAGGGATCCCTAGAGGGAAACCGTTAAGAGCTCCTAAGGTTGTCCCTATAGTGACCAATTCTGCAAGCTTTAGCGTCCACTAAAGGGGAGGTAAAGTGGTCCCTAGATGGAAGTTCCTTTGAAGTTTAGTTTTAACTGATATGAACAATGAAAAGCTCGATAGCGCAAACCGGACGCGCTCCGATTATTTCTTATTTTTTAAGGATCACTTAAGAGTTTGACGCCGCTAAAGTGGTCACTTAAAATGCACAGAAACGTCCGAGGTCCTAGAGAGCTTGGAAACGCCAGAGTGGTTCCTATAGGGGGTGGTAAAAAGAACCCTATAGGGGAAACTTCAAGGAAATTTGAAAACGTGGCCACTTTGTTGGTCGGAATGCCCCACGGCACATTGCGGGGGCCTCCGGGCGACCTTAACCGCGAAGTCCGCACGGGCTGCCCGGGTTGCCCCGTCCCCTCGTCAACTACGGCCTAAAGGTATTGAAAGAAGAACAAAAATTCAGACAAGAACAACGACAAGTGTCCCAACGTCGTGACCTGAACAGCAGACTACCCCCGTTCCTCCGATGGAAAGACGGCGGAAATTGGCCGTTGCCCCGAGGTGCCCATCATCTCGTTCAGCACCGTCGAACCCCCACCGCCTTCATAAAAGGAGATTCAGTCGTTCTCATCTCCTTAATTTGATCTTTTACATGTTCTTTATTGCACGGACGTGGGATTTTTACGAAACATTTCAAAACCATACTTTATGGGGTTTTTTTTGGGTCGAAAAAAATTATAGTCCCTTTCTCGCAACTTGAAAGGGCTTGACTTCTCTGCGCCCTCCTCATCTCTCCACCTCTCTCTCTCTCTTTTTTACGTGCTATTTCCATGTTTCTCTGAACTCGCCGGTGAGGGAAAAAAGAGGCAAAAACTGTCAAGTTGCGGTGGATGGACTATAAAAGAATAATTTGTTTTGAGAACGAAACCTAAAAAAGACACTCACCATGCTAGGAAAAATTCCTGAGATTTTAAATCAACACAGCTTTGACTTTCCGTTGCGCAAAGATCTCACGTCCAACAATGGTTTTATTTTTTCCATGTTTTCATTCGTTTATTTATTTTACACAATCAGTTCAAAAATTTATCAGCACACAAAATTTGAATATCTCGTTGATATAATCGCTTGTTCAAAAAAAGTTTTTTTAAATGTTACGATCTAAATGAAGTTGATGAAAATTGGGAAAGGTCGGTCAAAAACTTCAAACTTTCCTCATAGATGGTTTTTTTTTGATTGCGAAATCTTCTCGATTCTTGTTCGGGCTGAAAACTTTAAAGTATCCATCAACTCGAACAATGTCACAGATTTTTCCAGCTTACATCTCAGATTTTCCCTCGAATAGGGTGTTATCACTATTGGTAAATAGAGCATCTTGAGACAGATCCAATGATATAACTCAAATTTTAAATACTTATCAGAACGATGACTTGTGAGCTGAGGCAAGTTTGAAGCTTTCAGAGGAACCTCAATCCGTTTATGACATATATTTCAATAGAAAGCCGACGACAAGACGAATCGATCTGTATGATCAGATAGTCTGTAGCTGCTCTAAGAATCGAGATATAAGCTTTCAAAGATCCGGCGAAAAATAAAATTGCGCGTGAGATGAAATGTTTCGTATGAGGTTGCGCGTCGGGTCAGGTGTCTGAGGCCTTCATCGGCGTGGTTTCTTCGCGCAAAAAAAGTTTGTTTTTTCGAATTGTTTTCTGATACAATCGATAGAGCTTCTTCCATATAGTAATGTTATCTTATCAGTTTCGAAAGAAAAGGTCAGAAGTCGGGTCAAAATTGAGGCTGAAAAATTGACTTATTTCCACACTTTCAAGCTCCATAACTCTGTTCTTTTTCAAGTTACAGATAAACTGATTACATCAATCGATTCGTCTCATTATGAGCTTTCCAATGGTGTATGACTTCAAGAGATGAAGAAAAAGGACAAACTTCAAAAAATCATAACTTTTTTTCTAGGGTCCTTGAGAGTTTCTGAGTTTGTTATATCTACTTCTGACGTCATTTCCTATCGATTGATCTAAAAATCTTGGAAAATTTGGTTTTCGGGAAAATCGAAAAAAGTAGTCTAACCCCTTAGCTTTTTTTCGAGCTTCTGAAGTCATGGAAGCCGATCCGGACGAAATGTATATCAATCGATAAATCTCGACGAGAAAATAACCGGAGGCCAGGTTTGACCTCCGTAGGTCAACTAGGAACTGAGTTATAGGCGATCAAACTTAGAGATCGAAAATCTCAATTTCCGTCAAAAATAGTATCAATCGATAGAGGAGATCACTGAGGTCAGGAAAAACTAGGTCTCGAAGTTCCTAGGTTCTTCGAAGTCGAGTTATGAACAATAATAAACTTTGAGAGATCATAACTTTTTTTCTAGGGGCCTAGAAATCCTCTAAGTTTGATATTTCCACTCCTGACGTCATTTCCTATCGATTGATATGGAAATCTCGGAAACTTTGGTTTTCGGGAAAATCGAAAAAAGTACAGTCTAACCCCTTAGCTTTTTTTCGAGCTTCTGAGGTCATGGAAGCCGATCTGGACAAAACTTATATCAGTCGATAGATCTCGACGAGAAAATAACCGGAGGCCAGGTTTGATCTCCGTAGGTCAAATAGGAACTTAGTTAGAGGCGATCAAACTTAGAGATCGAAAATCTCAATTTCCCTCAAAAGCGGTATCAATCGATAGAGAAGATCACGGAGGTCAGGAAAAACTAGATCTCTAAGTTCCTAGTTTCCTAGAAGTCGAGATATGATTTTTCAAAATTTTAAAAATGACCAATTTTGAATGGCTTAAACTCAGTTTCCAGGGATTTTTGAGAGATTCAGCTTTGATTTCTGGACACAGTACGTCTTTCTGCGTCGATTAATGTAAAAAACTTCAAATTTTTACAATTTCATGAATGGCGTAAATCTGAAGCTTCTGGATGAAGCTCAATTTGTTGATAACATACATCAATAGGAAGTTGACGACGAGACGAACCGATTGATATGATTGAATAAGCTGTAGCTGCTCTAAGAACCGAAATATAAGCCTCCAAAGATCTCGTAAAAAATTAACTTGCGCGTGAGATGAAATGTTTTGTATGAGGTTGGGCGTCGGGTCAGGCGCTAGTCTGAGGCCTTCTGCGGTGTGGTTTCCTCGCGAAAAAGGAAAAGCTCAAGAAAAAGTTGATATTTTTCAATTTTTTTCTAGTGCAATCGATAGAGCAGCGTCTATATAGTACTATTATCATATCAATTTCGAGAGAAAAGCCCGAAAATGAGGTCAAAAATAGGCCCGAAAAAATGGCACTTTTTGGACTTTCAAGCTTCATAACTCCGTTCGTTTTGAAGTGACAGAGGAACTTATTATACCAATCGATTCTTCTCATTATCAGCTTTCCAATGATATAGGACTTCAAAAGTTTCCATTAACGGTAATGACGTCACAGGTTTTTCCATCTTACATCTCACCTATTTCCTGAAATTGAGTGATATCATTATCAATCGATAGAGCGTCTTGAGAAGGACCCAATGAGATATATCAATCCTTGATAACTTATCAAAACAGTGACTTGTTAGCTGAGGCAAGTCTGAAGCTTCTAGATGAAGCTCAATCCCTTGATAACCAACATCATTAGAAAGCTGACAACGAGACAAATCGATTGATATAATCAGTTTATATGTAACTTGAAATAGAACGGAGTTATGAAGCTTGAAAGTCTGGAAATAAGTCATTTTTTCAACCTCATTTTTGACCCATTTTCTGAGCTTTTCCTTAAAAGCTGATATGATAAAAGTACTATATGGAAGCTGCTCTATCGATTGCACTTGAAAAAACTTGAAAAAGACAAACTTTTTTTTGAGCTTTTCCTTTTTCGCGAGGAAATCACATCGATGAAAGCCTCAGACTCGCACCTGACCCGACGCGCAACCTCATACGAAACATTTCATCTCACGCGCAAAATTATTTTCAACGAGATCTTTGAAGGCTTATATCTCGGCTCCCAGAGCAGCTACAGATTATCTAATCATATCAATCGATTCGTCTTGCCGTCAGCTCTCCAATGAAATAGGTCATCAACGGTTTGAGCTTCTGCCAGAAGCAAGTCATTTTTTGATAAGTAATCAGGGATTGAGTTATATCATTGGATTCGTCTCAAGACGCTCTATCGATCGATAATGATATCACCCTAATTGAAGGAAAAGCTGAGATGTAAGCTGGTAACTTCTATGACGTCATCCTAGTTGATTGAATTTTTATCAACCATTTTTTTTTATACCGGCTCTTAGAGCATCTTATTTTCCAAAAACATTCGGTTCTTTTGGATTTCAATATTTTCTTTCCATTTCAAAAGATACTCCAATTTCGGGTGATAAAACAAAGCCGCTCTCAAAATTACACGGACTTTTCGGAAAAATTAACATTTATCAGGCGCCGAGAAGAATAGAAATGACAAAAGTGTGAAAGAATGGTATGCCGGTTGCGAAAAAATGAAAGATACAATTTTTTTTTTCGACAAAGAAGAAACTTTTGAGTGGACTGAACCCGCTGAATACTTTTTCGTATCTCAATGATTTTGGAGGCACAAATGATAGATTTCTTGATTTCCAGTGGAAAGAACAACTGAGAGAGAATTGACCAAAGAAAGCACTTTTTTTCGAATTTTTTGAAAAAGGATGGGGACAAACAAAAACAATAAAAATAAGATTATCAACAGACAACAAACTTCTTGGAATATAACAAAAAAGAAGAAGAAGGCATTAGGGTGATGGAGGACCGTATAGAGAGCAAAGTTGTACTTGGAAATATTCGGGAAAGGGTTAACAAAAAACAAAAAAATGGAAAATAAAAACTAGAATCGATTCAGACAGAGATTACCGGGGTTTAACAAACGTTTTTGAGCAAGAAAAAAAAATAGTTGATTCACCACTCCCTTGGCGAAATAGTGTGCAAAAATAAGAGAGTTTAGACGTTTCTTTGAGCCAAGCCGGTGATGAATCAACTATGGATGAAAAATTTCAAAGGAATAAAAAATTGGTTAAGCAATTTGCTGCCGTTGCTGCTGCTGTCGGCTTTTCAGTTGGACGTACATGTTCATCACCTGGAAATCGACCTTTTCATTGATTTTTTCTGGTTATTGGATACCTCTTTGTCCAGATTCTTTCCCTTGAGGGTGGACAAGGCGTTGATCAGCTGGTCGCTGAACGGAGAAGGCAGAAGCTCGCGAACGGCCTGCGAAAAGCCGGTCGGATCGCTTCCGAACAAGGTCAGGAGGGTCGCGCAGGCCTCGTGGACAACCTGGAACAGTTTCGTACTTTTTTAAAGATCAGTTTGCAGAGAAAAACTCTATTTCCGGTTTCATTCCAACTTTATTTCCATTTTCGAACGATTTATTTTCGACTCACAGTCAGGTTTCCAAATATTTGTTTATCATCTAGTGGTCACTTGAGTGGATTTAGGCGTCTTTTGAGAAGGAATCGCCGCCCAAGGGACCCCAAAAAAGAATGAAAAAAAAGAATCTTCTTAGAAAATGTGCTTCTCTCAATCGTTCTAATCATCAATTTTTGACTATATGCTCTCACTAAAACTCCGAAAATCACCAATGTGCTGCCGGCGTCCGACGGCGTGATGTGCGGCAGGGCGGGCACCTCGAGGGCGACGCGCAGTGTTCGCTGGGACCAGGCCGGCGACTTCTGTGTCGCCCTCGCGAGCGTCGCCAGGGCGAGCTTCTGCGACGTCTGGTCTCCGGACATGGCCAGTCGCATCGTCGTCTCCAGGAGTCCGTCGAGGAGGCCGTTGGCTGGGAAGAGGTCAATTATCTCGGGGATATCATGAGAAAAGTACAATTCTGAAGGGCTGGCCAGCAGTCGTTGACGATGACCGCGTGTAGAAGTTGAACGAAGGAGCGCTGAACGTAGACGAGTGCCCTTTGACTGTCATCTGAGAAAGAAAAGTTGACATTTGGAAGCGAAGCTTTCATCCAAGATGGGGATTTTTAAAAAAAGTGAACTTCTCATGAAACTTTGCTGATATATACTTTAGGACCTCCTGATTGCCGCACGAAAAAAATATGTCTCGCGATAGATCTTTCTTTCGAGTTAAGAGGCTTTAAAAGCTTGAAATAGCGCTGTTTCGCATTTTGCATTTCTTTTTGGGCTCACTTTTGTACAGACGAAAAAAAGTGCAAAATGCAAAGCACTGATTTGCAAAATGCATGAAGCTTTTTTTGCAGAATGCCGGCATAGGCACTGCCTTCTCCAAAAATTCTGTAGAGTAGTATCTGTTTAGATTTTTCATTAAAAGTAAAATGACGTCATTCGAAAACGCCCTGTAGATGGGTCGCTCTCTGATTGGTGAATCGCCCCAGAAGGGGCGGAGTTTGAGCGAGCAATCGACAAAAAATGACCTTTTTTTGCAGAACAATTTGCATTTTCTTAATTTCATTCAAGTTTAAAATACATAATTTCTAATAAAACGCTCGGACACGGAACAATTTTTTTTTCGAAACTGATCACTTACATAGTGGCTTTGAAACGTAGGAAAAAGGGTTGAGAATCAAAATGTTGTACAAATCTCAAAATCGCTCCGAATATCGAATAAGAAGCTGTTTTTGAGCAAAAATTGATAGAAATGCGGCAAAATCTTCAGCAATTTTGAACAGGATTTCCCAATTTTTGAGGTCTTCGTTCAAAAAATCACAAAATTTGTTTCAAACTGAAGCTTCTCAAGAAATGGATTTACCCTTGGCCGGGACGATATTTTCCTGTTCTTGCATCGAAAAACGGGCGGCCGTCACCAGAACGTTGCCGATGTCAACCCCGCTCGTCAGAATGTCCTTCTGAATTCCCATTAATCCAGTAAAATCGCCCAAATTCCCTTCAAAACCTTATATTTTGCCACAGTTTGATGGCAGAAGATCATTAAGTGGTTCATCGTGTCCAAGTCGGTCGATGCCTGGCAAATATCATCCAGTGTCATTTTTTGATCATTTCTGATCGAAACCTCGGCAAGTTTCTCGAAAATCTCGCGAAGGTAGGGCAGAAGCTCGGCTTCGAGGCAAACGACAAGTCGGTGGGCAAATTGTCGGACCGATTCCAGAATAAATACGTTCGCAGCGTTCAAATTCGACAAGAACAACTGAATATTTCAGAATTGGACAAAAAATATTTGTTTCATTCCAAGTTGTATGAAACTTCGGAGCGCCAGAATGGTCCCTATAGTGGTTGGAAAAAAACAGCCCCTATAGGGACAAATAGTGCTCCCTAGAGGGATATAACTTTAAGGTCCCTGTGCTTCTCTACAGGGACCACTTTTGCAAGCTTCAGGGCCCTTATAGGAGGAGTTGAAGTGGTCCCTAGAGGGAAACCTCTGAGTGCCCTACGGTTGCCTCTTTAGGGACCACTTTCGCGTTCCTAAGTAGCAACAAAACAAAAATAAAAGAAATGCTTAACGGACAGTTAAAGGAGCATGAAAACTGTCTCAGAAACCACTTCAAGTATTAAAATTTTTTTTCCCATGTTTTTGGAAAATTTATTTGCTGTAAGAGCGCTATCTGCGCATGAAAAGAACTAAAGTGGTCACTTAAAAAATATTTAAGTGGTCTCTGAAGCACTCATAACCAAGTGACCCCTAGAGAAGTTTCAGAAAGACTCTTAGATATGCTTCCATAAGCGGAAACTCCTCCGAAAATAATCAATACTCTTTTCTTTTATAAAAAGAAGCCCTTGAGTGACCACTTAAATCATTCTCAGCTACAAGTTCTTCAGAGGCAAGGCGACTCCTTGAGTGGCCACTTGGCCCATATTTACAGGTTTCTGAAGGCTCTTGGTCAATTTTTACAGGATTCTGAATGCTTTTGGCTCCAAGGAACCGCTTGGTCTTCTCCCAACACACTCCCAGTAGTGATACCTTGAGGAGTTTCAAGTAGACGTCGACGCAATTGCACGACTTCATCGACTGGACGTTGTTGAACGCCTTGGACATTCGGCTAAAAATGAAACTCTTTGGAGGACGAGATTTCAATGAAAACCTGCAATAGGCTATGATATTGCTCATGAACTGGAGAATTTTCAGCTCTTCCTCCTTGGCCGACTGAGATCGGGCGACGGAAAGTTCCGTCACGGCGGCTTCGAATTTGATGGCGAGGGTCGAGGCGAGCTCCCCAAAGTATTGGGACTGAAAGTTGGGTTTCTATTGTAAAAATTCCGTCGACAGGCAAGCTTGTTTCAATTTTCTACTTCCCTCGAGCCACAGAATCCTTCTATCCGATACGAAAAGCCTACTCGTGTACATGCGCCTTTAAATTTTTCGGGCTAAATTGAAGGCGCATCATAGACGACACTTTTTTGATTTATAGTCGATTCACAGCTAGCTTGGGACGCTAAGAGGTGTGACCTGTCTGTGCTCTCCACCAACCAAACACTGTCTCTTTTCTCATCGTTTCAGGGCCCATTTTTTCGACGGCTCAAGCCAACCGTGAACCACCTAAACCACTTCTCGGCTTATATACAGCATTTTTCGTTTTCACGGATTCTCGATAGAGCGCGTTTGGGCGACCTTGGCTCCACGTTGCGGTTTGCGAAGCGGTCATTTCCCAAGTCTGGTACTTTTTGTCTCAAAAAGATGTTCAAAGGTTCCGAATGGTGGATCAAGTGATCAAAAAGTTGTATCTTTTTTCAAAAATATTTTTTGCAACTTTTTTTTTGCATTTTGCAGCAACCAAAATGTCGCAAAAAAAAACTTTCAGCTCAACTTTTATTATTTTTTTCTTGCTTCGCAAATTCTCCTTTTTTTTTTTACTAACTTTACAGTTCCCTTTGAACATTTTCAACCGCCCTCACCTTGAGCTCCACATCAAGCTCTCCAAAAACGATCAACGTCGCCGTGGCCTCGAAGATGTAAGCCTGGTCATCAGAGGACAACGCCGAGGAGTTTTCCGATTCTGGAGCGACAGCTAAGAGTGGCGCCAGTCGTTTCACAACCTGAACTTTTGATATTTGTTCGGTTTTCCACTTTTTCTGCATTTTTCGAGCTTCGTCTTTCTGTGAAGCTCCCAAAGCTTGAAAAAATTATGGTTCGCCTCTAAAAAACCTTGTTTTAAGGAAAATCAAAAAAAAGTTAAGGGGTCAATCCAGGTCTTCTTTCTACAGGTTTCAACGGTCCTACGTTGTAATTTTTTTATTTAATTAATAATTTGAAAAAAACCCCTGGTAAAACTGGTAGTAAAATTCAATAAAAACCTGAAACCAATAGATTCAAAAAAACGAATACCTCCGAAACCAGGGGACTCAGGACAACTTTATGAGCCTTGACGAAACGGCAGAACAGGTAGACGATACGGGTTCGGACGTTGACCGCCGGAATCGCGATTCCTCTGAAAAAAAAAAAACTAATTTTGTATTTCTTCAAATTCAAATGCTTGGAAACTTGCTCTAGCTGAGAATTATAGCTTATCCCGCGCTTACTTTTCTTTTTTTTGTGACAAAAAAGTGCATAAATCAAATTTGACCAGACATCGTTTCGAGACCATTGTTTTTGCTGTTTCTGCACGTTTTGCAGTATTTTGTGGCCTTTTTCGAATAAACCCCTATTTCTGTGCTTTCGAAACGTGGCAGCTTACTGTAACTTTCGTTCAGAAAGATAACTTTTTGAGAAAACAAGACTTTTTCCTTTCAAAAACCAAAAATATGAACCTTTCATCGAGGAAAGCGGCGGCAATGAGAGGAACGGCCGGTTGGGGATTCTGGGCGAGAAGTCGTTCATAACGGCAGGCCAACTGAAGAGAACTATATTAATTTGAAACTCGAAAACGCCTTTTTCTGATAATCAAACCTCTTTTTTTTCAAAGAGAGCAGGAGCAAAATCAAAAAAAAAAAATAATTTTTTGACTTTCCGCCTAAATACACGCTCTACGTACCTGACACCTAACTTTACGACACTTTTTTAAATTTCCCAGGAATTTTCCAGGCAATATTCAATTTTTTCATCTTCTATTGAAAGGCCTTTACAAAAAGCATTTTCAATCCTATTTGCCAGCTCAAAACTTTATTACGTCTGTTTTTCGGCTTTTTACCCCAATACACGCTCTACGTACTTGACATTTTAATTCACGACACTTTCACAATTTTTGCAAGCTCAAAATTTAAATTTTTTTTCTTTCTAATAACTTATACAAAAAGTACTTCCATTCCTACTTGATAGCTCAGAAAATTTTTTTTAAATCTATTTTACGACTTTTCGCCCCAATTACACCCTCTACGTACCTGACACCTTAATTTACGACAATTCCTCAATTTTGCAGGTTAATGACTTGAAATCCCCGTTTTCTTTCAGATAACTCATAAATGTTTTCCATCATCTCTACCTCAAAATAAACGACGTGAACAGTCGTCGACCTTCCATCCAGGACCAAATTTTCCAAAATCGCCAAGGGAAGTCGGCAGGCGCGTTCCGAAACCCCTTCTCTGGGAGATTGAAGCAAGTTGCTCTGAAATCTCTTTTTATTAAATTGCTGGCGGTTGTAACAAACCGGGATGATTTCATGGAGAGAGAAGACGATTTGTAGAAGGGCTTCGATTTGATTAATTGGAATCTGGGCTCCGCCAGAAGCCGTAGCCTTGGCGGTCCATGGTTCCAGTGCGAGGAGGACGAGCTCGGGACGCTGGAAAATAATCCAAGTTTTATTTTCCTTTCCCTTCTTCTTTCTTCTTGAAACTGCTATATATTCGAAAAAAAAAGAGCCTCAAAATAAGCTTTTTTTTTCCAAATTTCTATAGACCGATTTTCACAGTTTTTTGTGAATCATTCCTCATTTTCATGCAAAAAATTGTATTTTTCGAGCATTATCAGGAACAAAAACTTTATTTTTTAAAGTTAAGCCTTGAAATTAAAAAAATATTGAAAAAAATGAATGGAATCAGCCAAATAATGTTGAAAGTACTTTAACCAGAATGACTAGAAAAACATTTTCCCCCTTTTTTTTTTGAAATGAGAGAGGGGCTTTTTTTCGGATAAGCTCTAGGGGCTGCTACAAAGTAATGGAAGGGGGGCATTTTAAAAATACAGATTCGCCCCCCGCGTTTGATTCAACACCCCCCATGATTGACTTGGTGAAGGGTTTGTTGAAACGCAGAAGGTGAAAAATAGGGGGAAGGGCGACTTTGAAATTTTTCCCAAAAACTCCCTTTTTTTAAAAGCTAAGCCTTGAGGTTAAAATCACTAGAAACATAAATAAAATGAGCCAAAGTTAGAGTACTTCAACTAGAATAACTAGAAAAATCCTTTCCCCCTTTAAAAATCCTGTTTTCCCTCACCTTGGTTCCGATGACATTGAGCAGGCTTCTGAGGTCCTTGCGGTACTCGACGAACTCCGTCTCGTCTTCTCCGTCTCCGTCGATGTTCATTCCCTCGCCCATGATGTATTTCGAGAAGGCCAGCTCGATCACCCGACGGCTCAGCTGCTCGTTCTGACCAGATTAACTCATAAAAATGTTTTCTTGCTCTCAATTCTACTTCACTGCCGTTGCGGATCAGGAAAGAAAGATAGGCTTTGAGGACGTCGATCGATAATTCGCTGAGCTCCGGGTTCGAGTTGTTGAGGACGGCGAGTTCGGGCTCCGTCAGGGCCGCCAACTCGGCCAGCACCCGTTTTTGATCTTCTTCCAGGATCGAATTGGCGTTGAGCCTAAAAATCATTCCAATATGAAAAATTGAAGAAATCAGTAAGTTTTTGAGAAAAGACATGTCAAACATGATTATTAACTCATCTGACTTCTGATTTTTAAGGCTAAAAATCGAGCTCAAAACCAGCAAAGACGAGAGTCGCTGCAGCCTGAAGAGACGCCAGAGAAGCGTGTCATTTCTCTTTCTCTGTAGTCTCTTCAAGCCGCCGTTGATCTCCAACTTGTTCTCATTTTTGGCCATTTTTTTCTGATTTTTTTAACTGGTTTTTAGAACTTAGAACCCCCCTCTCCAAACGCTCAAGAGAAATTTAAATCTGTCAGTATCAATCTTTTTCCGTTTTTTTATATTTAATATGTTTCCCCGTACAAAATTTCCTTATTACCAGAAAAAACCACAGTAATAATCAAAAGCAACAAACTTTTCAGTTTTTGCGAAAATTCGCTTTTTGATCTTCCTCAATTTCATTTTACGTCTTCCTGACCCCATAAAATTTTTTCCATATGAAGTCGAAACCTCTGAAAAATCATCCAGTTACATTTTAAGCACACATTTTCCGTCAAAATTGTTCCAGAAAATCCACAAAAACCAGGAAAAACCACTAAAAACAACATCATCTGGCACGCATCCAGTTCTGCCGTCGTCGCCAAATTCTAGAATCTCCCCCGCGCCACAAAAGCCCGTCGAATTCGCAACGCACTAGGGGATATCGAGGTCGCCCCGTGTGTTCCGCTCATCCCAAAACCGACGTTCCCCCCTATCAACTTCACCTTCTTCTCTCTATCTCTTCTACTTACATCACTTTGTCAGACTTTGACAAAGGACAGGTTCTCCGATTCTCCGTTTCTCTTATCTTCAAAACAACCTCTCTTTCAGAGAATGTTCATCAATAAATTGATAACCCTTTGTCTCGTTTTATCATGGGATGGGGCAAATGTCGTGGCGCAGAGGAATTTTCTCACGAATCGACAAGAAGACTTGGCGTATCTTTGTGAATCACTCATTTGCGACCCGCCCAAGACTTGTATCATTTCTGAAGAGGTACTGTGTCAAAAACTGTGTTTAAGGCAGGTTTAAGTGGGGAAATCGGTGAAATACACAGAATCGAAGCCTTGAACTCATTTCAAGACCGTATACAGTACCGCTCAAAAGTATATTAAGTTTTGGTTTTTTGAGGATATCTCAGCGAGTACTTATCCGATTTATATATAACTTTCAGGGATTATGTAAAATATACTTTGAAACATATAAGGTATACAAATACATGTCCGCAATCACTGTGACGCTTTTTGGGAATTTTTTTTTGAATTCAATTTTTTTTGTTTTTTATGCTTTTAATTTTTATTAAATTTTATTAAATTTTTTAAGAGTAATAATGTTGCATTATGATTTTTTTCATGTTTTCAGACATGGGAAGAACCTCTGGAAAAAAGGATTTGACTGATAATGACAAAAGAGCCATCGTTGTGGGTCGTCAAAATGGACTGACCATGATGACGTTGGCAGGAATGTTCGGCGTGACAGAGGCGTTCATTTCTCAGTTCCTAAAACGTTGGAAAGCTCAAGATGGCTCTATTAAGAGTCAACGCACTGGAAGACCACGTGTCACGGATCTTAATGACGATAGAAACATTTTGAAGACGTCTAGAACCAATCCATGACTCCCCGCCCCTGCGATCAGACGGGAAGTTTTCTTGAATGTGGTCTTCCAGTGCGTTGACTCTTAATAGAGCCATCTTGAGCTTTCCAACGTTTTAGGAACTGAGAAATGAACGCCTCTGTCACGCCGAACATTCCTGCCAACGTTATCATGGTCAGTCCATTTTGACGACCCACAACGATGGCTCTTTTGTCGTTATCAGTCAAATCCTTTTTTCCAGAGGTTCTTCCCATGTCTGAAAACATGAAAAAAATCATAATGCAACATTATTACTTTCAAAAAATTTAATAAAAATAAATAAAAATAAAAGCATAAAAAACAAAAAAAATTGAATTCAAAAACAAATTCCTAAAAAGCGTCACAGTGATTGCGGACATGTATTTGTATACCTTATATGTTTCAAAGTATATTTTACATAATCCCTGAAAGTTATATATAAATCGGATAAGTACTCGCTGAGATATCCTCAAAAAACCAAAACTTAATATACTTTTGAGCGGTACTTTACATGTGTAAATCAGACTGAAGAAAAAAAAAATGAAATAATAAAAATCTGCTGAAACTCTGAAAAAGGTAAGAGTTCCAGGGGTACTTGTTCCTAGTTAAAGAGGTTCATTAAGTGATCATTTTTAGTGCGAGATGAGCTAAGTGGTCACTTTAGGAGACCAAAACTTATTATTTTTTGTAGTATCCCACATTTTCCATCTCTTCCAATGAACACTTATATTTCTGACGATCTAGGACTCTCCCCTGTTTCCAACTCGCTTAGGTGAAATTCGAAGAACCTCAGATAACTTGAATAAATTCTATTATGCCTAAAAATCTCCGGAATCCTGTAGTTTTAACCTTATTTTTCAAAGTATGAAATCAGTTTCCAATCTCTTCAAAACTTGAGCTTAGAATTAAAACTTCAACACATTTCCAGGTGGCCCAATGCCTCCAGCCGCCCGTCACCTCTCCACCACCATTCGGCACAATAAACGGTGGTCAGCCTTTGCCAGGTCCCAACTCGGCTTCTTCGAATTTCGGCGCTGCTATTCTACAGCCAGGACCACCGCCTCCACCAGCCGTACCACAAGGCGGTAAAAATCACTCTTAACATTTATCAACGGAGCGCAGATTTATCAAAGGAGCGTCAGCACTCTTAAGTGGTCCCTGGGAAAAAATACACAAAAAATGTTCCAGGATTCCCAAACATCGCCGTGACAGCACCTCCTACAACTACAACTCAATCTCCGTTTGCTCCACTTCTTTCCTTATTCGGGGCGGCTCCAGGTGGGACACCACCTTCGATTTTGCAGGTGAGATTGGAAAACATTCCCTTCTCGAAAACGTTCAAATTGTGAAATCTGAAATTTTCTCTAGGCGTTCACACTTCCACCATTTCCATCGCTTCCAACACTCCCACCACTTCCACCAGCTCCTGCAGCTCCAACAACAACGACACTTGCTCCAGTCGACGTCTGCTCCTTGCCGCCGCTCACAGGAACTTGCAGCAGGGCCAGAATCATGTGGTTGGTTTTTTTCAAACCCCCCGCATCTACTATCTCACAGGGCCTCATAGCCCAAGAAAAAGGTTATTATTATTTTTTTTCACTGAAATAAAACGAAAACTGTTGATTCAAACTCCTATGGAAAAAATTCTTCAAAAAACTAATTTTAACTTATGAAAGTCTTCCAAAGAAGCTCAGGACCTCATGAAATCTATTTTTGTTGGGGTAAATGTTCCTCTTAGGATGACAAAGGTTCATATTTTGCCGCCCTTTTGCGCCATTTTATCGGCTCTTATGCACCATTTTCGCTGCCTCTCCCTTTTTCCACCATTTCTTGAGCCTTCAAAACCCCAGAAAAAACGCTAATTTAAGGTAAGTACTACCTCCGTGAGGCTAAAAATTGAACTAATTTGGCCGAAACTACATTCCTGAGGTTGAAACTTGATTATAATCCTGACTTTCCGAAAAATTTTTCAAGTCACCCTCTCCTTCCGGACTGAATGAGTTCTGCACTTGCTCATCTACAATTCCAACTAGTGAATGTAAAATCACGTTTTTCCAGGTACTACGACGCGGAAACGCGCCGCTGCGAGCGGTTCAGCTACAGCGGCTGTGGCAACGAGAATCGCTTCCCTTCGAAAATGCAATGCGAGCAACGTTGCGGGTTCAGGAACTCCGCGAGGAGCTTGAAACTGTGAAAATAAATAATGGAGACCCACTTTGTATAAACATCGATCAGAACCAATCCAAGGGTGTTGACTAGAGATCCGACGCGCAAAACTTCGTCCTCGTCGCTGTCCTCAAAACAGAAAAGTCATTTTCATTTTGAGATAAACAATGAAAACCAAAAATCAATTGCACTAATGAAATATGACAAAATTCAGCATTATTTCCTCCTCTTCACTTTTTTTTATTCCAGCCATCATCATAAAGATATCGAAACTCTCAGTTTCGTGAGTTTTTTTGAATTGTACTTTGGCCTATTCGACATAAACAACATCAAAGATAAAAATTCTTCTCAAATTTTGTTTTTCGGGTCTCATTTCCGAAAAAAAGGTAATTTTCATTTTTTCAACATCAATTTATTAAAACTGCCACCTTTTAAGCACCTTCATCAGTAAATTTAAATTTGAAAAAAAAAATGGCTGTCGCAAGTCATGCTTATCCCATATATGTTGAAAAGTCCATAAACTTAAAAAAAAACCCCCAAAACATTTGGAAAAGCAATAAATTTTTCATTACCTCTATAGAGTGCTCTGAATAATCCTTTTTATATAGATTTTTTTCTCAATTTTTTTCGAGAATTATTTTCGCAATTCTTCATCAGATATTTTTTTGAGCTCACGGGAGAAGAGAAACAGTTCCAAGATAATTTAATTAAGACCAAACATGAGCAAAATTCGTACGAGAAAACGAACTTTTATAAAATTCCGCTAAAAATATTCTGCCAAAACTAACCTCAGTGACCGCCAACAGATTATTCCCACGCAGGACGTCCATCAAGGTGATTACGAGTTTGACCTTCTTCTCTGGCGGCATTCCCTTTTGCAAAAGGGCGCAAACCGCGTTCGAAGCAGCCTAAAAATGAAAATTCATAAAAACATCAAATTTTTAATCAATACAGCAACTTCCAGGCTCTGCAACCTTCTTTTTTTAGACTTAAAAAAATGAAAAAGCTCCTTCCAAATTTCATAAAAAATGTATGAAGTACTGTCTCAAACTATAACAAAGCTTTAGAACAAGGTCCAGGTTGAAAAATGTTTTCTCAAACTTTCAAAAGGGTCAGAATGCGCTTCTTGGACATTTTAAACTGAGAAAATTCCCTTTTTTTCAGGAAAAAATGTTTTTTTCTGCACAATTTCTCGATTTTTCGATCTTGTTCTATATCCAAAAATCGTGTTTCTTCCCGTCTATTAAAAATTATTGATTGAAAATTTGCATGCACCTATAAACCTTAATTTCGAGGCTTTTTCTATCATTTTTCCGCGTAAATTTTGTTCAAAAACTCGCTTTCCTGATTTCTAGACCATATATGGTCTTTTGAAAGGCCTTGGCAGAAAAAAAATCATTCTTCTAGAGAATAGAGAAAATTATACAAAATAAGCTTTCAACAAAGTAATTTCGCAAAGGAACATTTTTTACCCCCGATTAAACTCTAAATGAAACTTCGCTCTGAAATTTTCAAACCCTTTTTCTGCTGTTTTTACTCCGTTTTCAAAGTTCTGAAGCTCGAAAAACCTCAGAAGTGGCGGATTGTCCGAGCCGTTGGATGACAATCGACATGACCGTATCGTTGGCTATGAGATCCACGTCGATCCAATCAACATAGGCCGCGATGGCTTCCAGAACCAAGCACTGGACGCTGTCGTCGTTCACGTTGTTCTAGAAAAAATATATATATTATCAAACAATCAAAAAATCAATCAATATCCATGTTACTGTTTTAGCTATGGATTAAGCGGTATAATAACATTTAGAGCTATATCGTACCACTTTGGCGATCTAGAAGACCAAAGGAATGGTAGAAAAAGGGACATAATCACAGTGAAAACTGAAAAAAAGTCAAAAAATAATCTGACTTTACAAAAAATCTTAAACGACACAAAAACACCTACTTTTTACTCTCCCGAAAATTTTCCTTAATCTGAACCTACTATTCAAGGAAATATTCAGAAAATCTATAAAAATTTACTGTAAGAAAAAGTTGAAAAAAACATTTTGAAGTTATTTTGAGAAATTATAAACAATTTTTTTCTCCATTTTTTTGACTATTTTTTTCAAGTGAACCTATCTAGAAAAAAATTCCTCAAATGATCCTTTTTTTCAGCTTAAAAAAATAGCCTTTTTCTGATTCCGTTCGTGAAACCTTTTTAAATTGAGGGAGAAAATCGAAAAAAGAGACAATTTTTTGCCTTTTTGCGGCATTTTTTTCAACGTAAACTAGTTCGAAAAACCCCCCAAATGAACATTTTTTTCCGCTAGAAAAAAATAGCTTTTTACTTTTTTAGTGGTGAAATTTGAATAAAAACTTGCAAAGTTCAAAGAAGAGAACCAAAAAAGCTTCAAAAATTTTTTTGAAAAAAATTTTGTCGATTTCAAGAAATTTACCATGATAGTCGGCCAGCTTTGGGCGATTTTCTGGATGCAAATTTCGCGCATCGCATCTTTGATTTTGATGTTCCGGTCGGCCTCCTGAAAAAATTTTTCCTTTTTTTCTCTCTTGAGTGATAAGAAAACCTCCTTGCTTCTCTGAATATCCCGATCGACGACTTCGGAATCGATGGCAAGCAGAACTTTCATGTAGAAACGGACTACAGTCGGTTCGAGCAAGTTATTCGAGAAGAATCTAGAAAAAATTAATATATTCATCTTAAAAATTGTTCGAAAAAGCGTTGTTTTCAACAGTAATTCTAATAAAAAAATTCCCCTAGAGCTTTTTCATAGCTTTTAAGTAAAGAAAAATGTCTCAAAATTAAGCAAATTATCCAAAATGAGAAAAAAAACTTCTACATAGTGATATAAAGTTAACTAGGCGCACAAAAACGGTTATAAATGAAAAAAATTCCTACTTATTCCACATTATTTTCTATTTCGAACCAACTTCTTCGAATAAGTTTCATAAAATCAGGGGTTCAAATCAAAAAATAACGAAAAAACTCACAAATCCTCAAAAAACGAAGGCCATTTCATCGGAAAATCGACAGCGAAAACCATCGAGAAAATATGGGCCATTTTGTTGACGATAAATGGCAGTTTTTGTTGGCTCGGGTCCAAGATCACCTGCAGGATCAAGTTCAAATGATCAATCCATGTTTAAATGAGCTTCTCTATGCAATTTTATAACGTCTCTTTTTAATATTCAGATCAAAGGGACCTCTTAAGTGTTCTCACTTATTTCTTTATTAAAGGGTGAAAAAAAAACCCATAAGAGCAGTTATATAAGGAGCCTCTTATTCGTTTCCTATAGTATCCACTTCTTGTTCAAGACCCTAAAGTACCCACTCCAGCTCTTCCCAGTAGTGCCTTCTTCAAAGTGATTTAGAAAAATCGTCAGAAAAAGGAAAAGATCCGAGATATTTTGTCACTTTTCGGATAAAATTCGAAAAAAAACCTTCATCCAGTGGAGAAGGAGCTCTCGAACGAGTTGGACATCATTCGGCGAGGCTGCCGAATAACGACGTTGTAGGAAGTCTTCGATGACTTGAAGGAGCAGAAAATGTTCCTCCACATTCCTGGAAAGCAAAAATAAATTAATCGCACTATGAAACTATTAATGAAAAAGAGACTTTTTGAATTATCATTTTGAAATTTTTTTGAACTTTTTTTATTTTCTGGGAGAATTATTCGACTTCTGGTTTATTTTTCAGTTCAAGTAAAGTTGAAAAACCGATTCGAAAAACCCTTACTGAGATTTTTTTACCCAAGAATAAAAAAATAATTGAGGTCTCGAAGCGAAAAAATTTTTAAGGTCAAAAATACATCTGCGCCTTTAAATGTCTTAACAAGCTCCAGGAAAACTTTTTCGTCATTTTTTAAAGCTACCATACTCTTCGAATTCCATAAAAAATCAAAAATTGTGACCAGTTTTTTTTTCAAATTGTCAAGAAAAAATGAGAATCCCAAGTGATTTCTTCGTTTTTCTATTCTTCTCTTGCCTTATCTTCCAAAACTGCAAGATCTATCAACCTTATCAAAGAAATTATCAATATCAGAAGCCCTTCAAATGAGTGACGGACGATTAACATTATGCAAACAAGGAGCGGCCCCAACGTTGAACAAACAAAAAAATAGGAGTGAAGAAACACCTGAGCGAATTGCTCACGATGGTGCGCAGGGAATTCCGCCAGCCGTCCTCGTCCTTCTTCAAGTTTTCCAAATAACGGAAAAGCTGAAAAATGAACCATGAAAATCAAAAAAAAAAAGACTTGCAAAAAATTTACTTCGTATATTTCATCATAAACTTAAAAATTCAAACTAGACGCTCACATTCTAAAAAAAACAGATATGAAATGAGAAGAAACTTGAAATGTCTTAATTTTAAATAACTTTCCAAAAGATTTGGGAAAAAGAAAAGACTAAAAATCCCAACCTCGGCATGCTTGGTCGGATCCGTCAAGGAGTTGTCGCTGATCACGTTAGCATTTCCATTGACCACCATTTTTCCTCACAATTCTTCAGGAAACTTTTTTCTCGGCACGCGCTATCGCATGAAAATCCTTTTTGTGCGACTTTTAACTGATCGCAATCTGAATTTCATACATAAAAAAATGCACTTGAGCTACTGAAAGAAGCGAGAAACGATAAATAGGAATTTCGAATGCTTATCTTTCAGAAACGAAACAGATTCACGTGCAAATGAAAACGGTATGCAAGCACGGGGAGACTCGCTCGCGGAAAAATTTCCAAGGTTGGCAAAGAGCCAGCGTGTTCGGGTCTCGCCACGAACAGCCGTTTCTCAGTGAAAAATTTTGCGTTTTCTTTTTCTTTTTCTATTTTTATTTTCTATTTTTGTCTGCTTTCAATTAATTTTTTTTGCTATATAATGTAGAGAGTAAAATGAAAATCCATGGTTGTGGAATAAAATCGTTGGCATATTTTGTTATTCCTAGAATCTATGTTCAAAAAGGATTCAATTTGTTTTTTTTTTTTTTTTGTCTGTTTTCCAAGAAAAACTGTAAAATTTCTGAATATATGAGTTTTACTGTTAGCTTTTATCTAAAAGCTTTTATCTTATTATTATCATTCAAACTCGATTTTTTTTTCAGAAATGGCCAAAAGTTTGCGGTCAAAGTTCAAGCGCAGGGTCAGGGCTGTCGCCAGAGTGAAAAAAGAACCTAAAGCGGCAGCTCTCCTTCAAAAAGCCGTTGACAGACGTCAAGAATACGAAGCGGAAGAAGCTGGTAATTTTTGAAGTTCAGAATATTCTAATTTTCTTCATTTTTAGCGAAAGAGGCCGCTGAGCCGAGCACAGCCGAAAAAGTAGCTGCACCAGAAAAGGTAATCCCACATGGTTTCTCAAGATCAACTATTAATATTTAGATGGATGACGGAACGGAAAAAGCCGGCATCAGCCTTAAAACGCTGAAAAAACCAGATGGCACTTATCCTGCATGGGTTAACTCAAAGTAAGAAATACAAATAAAGCTTCAATTAATTTTTAAACATTAAGGAAGAAGCAGAAGCTGAGTAAAATCAACAAGAACGCCAAGAAGAATAAGCAAAAGAAAAGGGGCCGGTGAGAAAAATATTTCATCATTTTGTTGTTACGTTGTCTGTTATTTCATCACTTTTTGATTCCCTTGTAAATTATTGTTTTCCAATATAAATCCGTTCAGAAAGTTCAAAAAGTTTAATAGAAACAGAAAAACGATTTCGATCGTATGAGCAAACGGCTATTGACTTAAATGACAAAAAAAGGCGAAACGAAACTGAGAAAAAAAGAAAACTGTGCATGGATAGAATGCCAAAAAGTTCGTCAAACACCCGATTGAACGAAAAAAAAACGAAATTATTTTTTTCAGAGAGAGACAGAAAAATTTTGTTTGGTCAACGAATTTGAATAAATACATTGACAAGGGCAATGCAAAGAAAAAGTTTTGAGGGAAACATTATCTTTTGTTTCAACTTCATCACTAGGAGAGAACATATTAGTCGCTCCTTCTTAAGTGATCACTAGAAAGATCTAAGTAGCCACTTAAGTGGAGATTTTCTAAAGTAACCACTTACAGACTTTTGAAGAGCTGTGAAAACTGCCAAAAAAAAATTCTATTTTTTCACATCGACTAATTTTGAAGCGTCATACCTCTACTGAAACACGTCAAATAGCGTTTTCAAGCTCAAATAGAATCCCCAAAACTTGATCTTGCTTTTGCCCTTGTAAGAGAGATATCGATAAAGTACACATGTAGATTAAAGTTCACGGGTCAAGCTCACATCGTTCTCTATAAAAAAATTCATGGGGGAGCTACAGATTTTTGAGAACAAGAAATCCGGCAAGAGCCACCAGAGCGGCGCCGAATGTGATTTTCGAGAGAAGGTTCGAGTCGTGAAGGTAGAAAACGCGTCGGAGGTGCGGGTAGACGGCCATCGTCGCCAATTGCTCAAAGACGCTGCCTGCGCTCACGCCGATCTGGAATTTTAATATTTTGGATGGTTAGATTATGCAAGGTACACTAACAATGAACAAAAGTTAGATCAAATACTATCAAAACAATGCAAAAACCTTTCTGAAGCTCACTTCTTCAATTTTTCAAAAAAAAAAAAGATTTTTTCACAGGCTTTTAATAAGGCTTCAAGATCTTCTAAAACATTGAAATTCCAATAAACACTGCCTTTTAAAGGTTTCGGTCCCTATTGAGAACACAAAAGGTCTTTAGAAGTGTCAGGCGATTTTTATTGCATCTACACCAAAAAAAGTCCTCTCAAAATGGTCAGAACTTCCGTTTTTTTTTCGGCTTTTTTCGCTTTCAAAGTTTTGAAAGCCCCACTTCCCCTTTCTTATTAGAATATTCTCTCAGAAAGCCATTATTCGAACTATTCAAGATGCCAACCTGACTATTGGAAAACTTGATCGGCCGTTGCAGTTCGAACTGCCGACAGAACTCCTCGGGCTGAACCTGCCACCGTTGTTCGATCTCCTCCCGCTCAACTTTGGTGGCGATGATAACGCAAGGAGTTTTCGTTCTGGAAAACTCAAGATCATCTTCTGATCACGAAGATCGGCAAGTACAAAGCTCATTAAGCCCGGGAGAAGGGGTTGGAATAAAAGAATTTTGGAAAAATAGAAAAAAAAATCTCCGGGAGGTAGTTTTGGCCACGATGATACGAGATTCAGCCTCGAGGAGGTAGTTTTTGATTTAATTCAGGAAAAATTGAGAAGAGGGGTCGGTGGCCTTTCAAAAATGGTCTGTAGAACTTTCGATGAAACTTGACTGAAGATAAAATGAACTTGGCCTAAATCCAATCAAACTTGACTGAGTTTACCTCAGGACCTCCTGAAAATAAGATCTACTGTGAGAAATTTTTTCTAGCCTTGGAATCAGGAGGTCCTTGAACGAAATACTAACATAAAAAGGTTCCTAATCACCTTTTTTCTATTCCTCGATGCTCCCAAAACATATACCAACCTGTAGAAATACTTCTGGTACAAAGTGGCGCAAAAAGCGAAGGAATCTGGGTTGGAGACGTCGTAGAGGAAGGCGACGACGTCGGCCGCCGTTTCCGCCGACCCCAGGGCGTCCTGGGGCGACAGGACGTCCACCTTCAATTTTCAGCTTCGAAAAAGATTCTCGAAGCCTTTTGGACTTCTCTCAACAGCAGATACTTGCTCTCCTCCTTGACTTTGACCCGATTAATGACGTAGGGCGAATGTCGGCGGCCGATTGTGGCCACGTCGGCCATTCCTCGTCCTACCAGCGATTGCATGAAAACAGTCTGGAATCAGTGGTTTTTTTTTTGAGGTAGTCAACTTCAGAGCTGGCCACATTGTCAAAAGAGCCGTTTCTCTCAATTTTTCGTTAGTTTCTTCATTTATTTCCTACATTTTCACCGATTTTCAGTTTTTCCAGTCGGATAGCCCCTTCAGCAGCTCTTGTTAACTCGAAACCGAAATCTTGCTGGTTTTCAGGGTTTGAAAGGCTTTTTTAGGGTTTAAAAGGCTCAAGAAAAATTGAAAAAAAAAATGAGAGACAGCAAAAATGGTCCAAACAGGCTGATAAAAAAACGCGAAAAGCAATTTGAAAGTTAACTTTGTCAGGAACTCCTTGAAGGATTCGTATGATTATGCATAGGAAGGTTGTTAAAGGAGCATAGGCAAAATTAACATAGGTCTCAAGACGACAACTCTTTTCCAATGTAAATCCGATTCAAGCACGACTTTTTGGCCCGGAAAACATTTTTGAATCAAAAAATTCATTTTTTACCCCGTCAAACTCTGTCATAAAACTTTTCTAGGCTTTCAACGTTCTAATCATTTCATTGAAAGGTAAACTTTCTCCCTAAATGATAAATTTGAATTTTATTTAGTTTCAAGACCTCAAAGTAACGCTCAAAGCCTAATCTTTCAAAATAACCTTTTTTCGAATTCCGAGACACTTTTCTCAATTTTTCTTTTAGAAAATGATTCGTAAAACGGTAATCAAAGGTTTTTTTTTGATTTTTTTCATTCACCTTTCCCGCATCCTTCGCCCCAACCACCAAACATTGGAATATTTTTCGATCCGTTCCTTTTTCCTCCAAATCCTTTTTCCTCTCTCGCGTCACTCGGATCGCATCGATCGAGTTTCCGGCTCTTCCTGCAAAATTTACCTGATTGAATTATCATCAATTAATTGATTTACCTGGCCCACTTCTTCCGACCGGGAAGCCAAGGTAAGCCAATTGTTCCATCGTTTGCGTGACATTAACAAGAGTTGTCATGCTAAAAAAAAATCCGCTGATTATTAAAAAAAAACCTCTTATCAATGGAGCACACTTTAACATCAATTTAGAGCTTCCTCGATTAAAAAAAAAAGAAAAACCAACTTCCAATAGGCCATGTAGCCGTTGTAAGTGAGCCAACCACGTGGATTCGTCTCAAGGGCCAAAATCGTCTAAAAAAATAAAAAGAAAAATAATCACTTTTTTTCATTTCTAGAACATAAATTTTCATTTAAAATAAATTTCTAAAAAAAATCTTGAAATTTTTCATGGAAGGGAGCTTTTTCCAACTTTGCAACAACAACACAAAAACTTTTTTTTGAGTATTTTATAACTTTTCCAATGAGAATTGTACCTTTTTTTCATGAGTAAAATTGACTTTTTTTCTGAAAAAAATTTTTTTAGCACAATAAAGTTTTAGAATCTTAAAAAATTTGTTTATGACTTAACTACTCATAATCCCTATAATGATCACTATGGGTTGTTAAAATCTAGACGTCTGATCAATACCCAGAGTAGTTTGTTATAGTTCGAGAGGTTTCAAAGCTCCTTTAATTTCTTTATAATACGCATTAAAAGTCTCCAGAACCAATCTAGTATAAAAATTTGAGCATTCTTCGAGTTTCTTTTTGATCTACCGTAAGAATTTGGATGCAAACCCTCTCAAAATCACTAGAAAATCACCCTCACCCCTACAGGGACCACTTAAGCTTGAGGTGCTAAGAGGTCAGACCCTAAACCCCTATAATGACCACTTTTCCTCCCTTTTAGAGGCTTCTTTCCCTCTAAGCCCTATAGGGACCACTCTGGAGTTCCTAAGCTTCAAGCAAGGAATCTTTTTTGTCTCATTAGATCAACACGAACATCTTTGGTGATGACTGGCGAGGGGCAAACGCTGAACAGATTCTGGAGTTCCGACGGAGACAGACATCCGTCCTTGTCCTCGTCGTATTTTTCGAACAAGGCGCAGACGAATTGAGCCCCTTCCGGCGACAGTTCCGTTGAACAGCCGACAGGAACCTAAACTTTTCTTATTTCTTTTGAAAATCAGAAGAAGACTCGAACCTGAAGCCTAGGGTACAAATATTCTTCGGAGAGTTTGAGATTCGTTTCATAGCCAAACTTCCTAAGGACGGCCCAGGTCGTCTCATGGCGGCCACGTTCGATGAACAACAGGTGGAGGTAGAGGAACCCTGGAATATTGAAAAATCAGTCAAATAGGTCAGTCAATAAGGGAGGTAATTTCCCTCAAAACTCTACAAATTTATTAAAATCTGCTAGGATACTGTACTTCTTTTTTTTTGCTACTTGAAACTGCTGTTTTTCTCTGCGCCCTCCTTGTCTCTCGGGACCTTTTTCTCCCTGTAGGACCCACTTCAGCTTTCTTGAAATGACGGGACTTCTCTGCGCCCTCCTCGTCTCTCGGCGACCCTCTCGTTTTGACGTGCTATTTTTATGTTTCCCTGATCTCGCCGGTGAGGGAACAGAGAGACGCAGACACTCGAAAAACCGGCGAACTTGGGACTTAAAGGGGCGTGGCCTGTCTGCGCTCTCTACCGACCAGGCACTGTCTCATTTCTTATCGCGTCAAGACCCTTTCTCCGATAGATCAAGCTAGCCGTGAATCAGCTATATCAGATGTACAATTCACGCCTATCTAGGGACGTGGAGGGGCGTGGCCTGTCTGCGCCCTCCGCCAACCAGACACTGTCTTGTTTTTCATCATTTCAGGACCCTATTTTCGATGATTCAGTTATAAAGTTCTTTAGGGAGAAAAAATGTCTAGTTATTTAGAGAAAAAAAAGGAGGAAACCATCGAAAAGCTATGAAAAATCTCTGTAAAATAAAACTTTGAGCTTAGAAGATCCCTAAAAATAAAAATCCTTCTGATTTTTCAGAGTATAGAAGCAACTATTCCCGCTTAAAAAAGGTTAAGAATTTTTTTTCCATACCAGGAAGCATGAGTGAGTCATCGACGACGCCGTCGGGACATCCGTCGCTGACCGCCCGCTTCACGTCTTCCAACGCCGTCGACGTCAGCGGAATTCCGAAGCAGAGCTTCTGGAAGTCGTTGAGCTCCGTGTCGTTCAGGTAGCCGTCGTTGTCGCGGTCGCAAATCTCAAATCGGAAAAATTTTTGACTCAAAATTTGTTATTTCATGCCATGAAATGACCGTCAGAGAGTAAGAAAGACGACGATAATTTGAAAGAGTCAGAGATCGTTTAGATTTTCGGGAAATAACTTTTTGGAAGCATAGGAAAGTGTTAAAAAAGGAAACGGCTGCAGAAAATTTGCCAAAAGGCTTCTGTTTTTCAAAGTTTGAGAATTGCTAGTATTCCAAAACTTCAAGAAAAAGAGAAAAAGGCAGTAAAAAAGACTGTTTTCAGCCGTTTAGAAGGGATAGGATTTCGGTATAAACTCGACCTTTTTCAGCTAAAATTTGTTTAATTCAAAGTCTCGGATCAATTAATTTGAGAGCGAAATTATTACTTTCAAGCATAAAAATGACCATTTTTCAGCAAAAAAAAAAAAATAATAATGATGAACACCTTGAAGACGGCATGAAATCTGATTTTAAAGTCAAAACAGGTGGAAAAAGGCTCCAAAAATTTTCCTTTTAGGGTGACAAAGGCTCCTTTTTCTTGTGTTTTTGCTTCATTTTCTCAGCCCTTATGCACCATTTTTGCTGCATCTCCCTTTTTTCCACCATTTCTTAAGCCTTAGAATTCTAGAAAAATGGAAGGCTCGATAAAGGGACCCTTTTTGCTGCCATTTTAAGGCCCTTTTTAGCCTCTTCCTTTTTGCGGCCATTATCCACCATTCCTACTTTGCCCGATCAAAGAAATTGAATGAAAAGCCTTCAAATCAATCGAAAGGATCTAAAAAAACACCTTGAATACTCGAATCAAGGCTTTGCGGGCCTTATCGGTGAGCTGCTTCTCGTCGGCGTCGTACAGGGGTCGGGTCGGGTAGACGACCGCCTTCTGGGCGTAGTAGAAGATCTCCGAGACGTTCTTCATCGTCCGCGCCGAGCACTCGACGCACGTCTCCACCTCCGTGTTCGACTCCATTATCGGCAGGATCTGTGACGATATAACTATGTAATCAATAAATATTCCATTCGTGTTATGGTCAAATGTCTCAGAGCTTCACGGTTAAAACCAATCATTGAAGATGCCTAGCCCGGCGCGAGATCTCTGGCGATACATCGAAAACCTCGCTTCCTTGTCGCGACATCGCATTTTTCACGCACAAAAAAAAACTGGCTCTGGTCACGCCAAGAAAAATGCAAGGTCCGGGTGGCATTTTTGCGATGTCGCCATTTTACTAAGTGGCGATACATCGATAATGCCGCAATTTTCTTGGCGCGACATCGCATTTCTCACGCTTTCAAAAAAACTTGCTCTGGTCGCGTCAAGGAAAATGCAAGACACGCGCGGCATTTTGCGATGTCGCTTTTGTACACCTTGGCGGTATATCGAAAACCTCGTAATTTCTCGGCGCGATATCGCATTTCTCAAGCACCCAAAAAAAAAAAATCAAAAAACTCCGATATGCAAGATCGCGCTAACGAGAATGCAAAACCGGCGTGGCACTTTCGCGATGTCGCCAATGTACCGCCAGCGACATCGCTTTATTGCTAATAGTTACTGATTGAAAGTATACGCATTTTTTGAACATTACATTCAAATTTGATCTAAATGAACTGTATGACCAAATTTTGAAATTCGAACATAATCCAAACCTTATCCGTGTGATTGGCCGGACCGTCGGATTTGTTTCCGACAAGGAGAACTGGCACATCGTGACAATCGCCGAAAGCCTGTCGCACCAAGGGCAGCCACCTGGATTAATCTCACGTTTTTTTTTTTGAAAAATATTAACAAAGTTCAAAAAATTTTTGAAATGGATGTAGAGAACTATAAAAAATATAGATTATTCAGGGTCAGCTTATAAGACGCAAAGGGGCGTGGTCTGTCTGCGCTCTCCACCTACCAGGTACTCTCTAAAAAAAACTCTCAGTGCACTCCGCAGTGTAACCCGGGGGCACCCGTTAATTTTTAAATATCTATTAAGGTACTTATTCCGTATAAGAATTCGACATGGTTCATTAGCCAGCATTACCATTTCCCACAGTTTCATCCCAAGTTGTTACGGTAGCTCAGAAAAGACCTTTTTTTCGACCGGTTGCCCCAGGGGTGCACCAAAAACATCAACCAAAAGTTCACTTTTTCGGGGTTCATTGCGGGATACACTCTATCATTGTTAAAGCGCTCTTGATTTTGATCGTGTCAGGACCCTTTTTTCGATAACTGAGGTCCAACCGTGAATCAGCTTGTGCTAATGGAGGCTATTTACTGGTTTTTTTTTCGGATAATTCGTTAATTATTCTTCCAATCAACAGTATTTTCACCTCTTCTCGATCCTATCAATGGTCGCGTCGTCCGTGACAGAATAGACGACGCAAATCACGTTGGCAGCTTTGATCTCAGATATCAACCAGTTTTCATCTGAAACTCATGATGAAGACTGTCGAGCTGGAAGAAAAATGAACCTTCATTTTCCTTCAATGACAGATCGACAATGCTGGTGGTCACGTTCTCCGGCGTCACATCGGCCGGAATCAGAACGCTGGAAATATACTCTTTTATTGGGCTTCTTAATAGTGAGATTCTCTGAGAAAAGACAGCTATAACTTAAATTGCTCCTCTATAAATTCCAAAAAGCTTCAGAAACGCCTTTTTGATGGGGGGTTATTTCTTATTTTAAAAGTGCCTCCCATAGTACTAAGTGAGGAACGATCTCAGAATGCCTTGATAATCTTCAAGGACCCCTGCCTCCCCCAATACCAAAATAATCCAGAACCGCCTCCACATCTTTCTGAACCACCAAAGGAACGAAAATTAAAATAATTTACTGGAAATGACTAATTCAGTTTCCCCGTTGGAAGGCCATTTTGGAATGATTACTGGCTTTTGTAGTTTCCTACAAAATCAGAACTTGTGGATTTCGGAATGCGTGAAGTTTTTCAAGAACATTAAGAAGAAGTACCGATCGAGGCGTTTCGGGACGTGGTCGACGAACTCGTCTTCGAGAAGGCTCATCACCAGGGACGTCTTCCCGCATCCCGAATCCCCGATCAAAACGATCCTCACATCCGCCACCACCTCGTCGTCCGTCATCCTGAATGTTCTAATAAATAAAAAGATTGATGACTCGAAATATCAACCAGGGAACGTTTTTACCTCTGGGATTGAACTTTTGATTTAAAGTTTTTAAAGTGTACTTTAGGGCCTTCTATTCACAAAAAGAGAAAAAATTTCTCGCAATAGGTCTTGTTTTCGATTTATGAAGCATCAAAGTTTGCAAAATTAGCAAATTATGACAAAAAAGCGCTATTTCAAGTTTCAAAGCGTCTTATTTCGAAGAAAATCTGTTTTAAAACAATTAATTCACTTGAAGCCACATTTCAAGGATTTCCAGTTGAAATTGTTACAGTTAGAAGAGCTCTCATTTTTTTCTATACTTTTTGCGAAAAAAATAATTGAAGATTCAAAAATTCTAGAAATAAAGAGTAAAAAAACCCACTATTTCCGATAAAAATCTGTTGTGAAACATATACTCATATTTTTTTTATATTATTCATTTATTAATCTCAACTTATATTCATATATTCAATAGAGCTCTTTAAATTATTAAGTTTCCCATTTTTTTGAAAATTCTTTTTTTACCTTTAATACTTTCCAGATAAATAATGATAAAATCCTCAATTTTAAATAAAAAAAGTGTTTTTAAAAAAATCATCTTTTTATTTCCTATTAAAAAAATATAAATATTGAAGATGCTGCCCTTTTTGAACGCCTCTTTTTCTACACCATTTTTAAAAAAGTTGAAGACTCGTAATTTTAAGAAAAAATAATGATAAAAGTCTCAAGTTCAAAGAAAATCTGTTTTGAGCCGACTTTTGCGGTTTTTTACGGCTTGGTTTCTGTAGCGGTTTCTTCGAAGAACAATAAAAAAATTGAAAACAATCAAGTACACTATTTATCATGCGCTTCATCTAGTATTAACAAAATAGACGAAAAATTAAAATTTAGAAATGGAAAATCAAGAAAATTTTATTCATTTTCCCAACAAAAAAAACTTTTTTCAATCTCTCCTCACTCAAATATCCGCACGGTTTGAACCAAGTACCAAAAAATCCATGAAAAACACTTTATAAACCACTTTATGCAACAGCAATAAACAATTCACAGAAAACGGGAGGAAAATTAACAACGTAACAAGATTAGAGCCTCTGGATGAGCAATAAAGGAACGAAAACCCGTCAAAATACATAGAAATCGAAATTATTAATTGGAATCAAGGCAAGTCAAGCTCGAATTTGTCTCCTATCGAATCTCTGCGCGTTTCTCTCAGCTTCATCCTTCAGCCGCAGATTTCGCTGCTCTTTTTTCATTGTCAGCTCGAAAAGCTCTTCTTCGAAGACTTTCCTGCAAATTTAACAGAAGTTGAGCTTTTTTTTGGGAAAGTTCTCCTGTTTTTTTCTGATAAAATTGAACTTTTTTTAACACCATTAGAAGCCAAAATCAGGGCCAACATCTGCAAAGGCGTCAAGGGAAGATTTTCGAGCTCTAACGGAGTAATTTCTTCGAAAAGCTCTTACAGGAAGCCGAAAAAGTATTGAAAAGAGTGACTAAAAAGCCGGAAAGGCCTTTTTCTGAAAAAAATGATCAGATTTTTGAAATATTTAAAGTTGAATTTCCCTCCCTGTGATTTTCAAAGATGCTATAATGAGACTTGGCTGAATTTTTATCACTTTCTGAGGCCACTAGACCCCCAATCAAATACCTATAAATGGGCAAAAGCTTCGGGATGATAGCCAAGTGATCGAATCGAACTCTCAGCATGTCCATGGCGACGCCGATGCCGATTTCGTCGAGGTATCCGGGTAATACAGGTACCTGAAAGACCTCCAGTGAGCTTTGCTAGACCTTTATCTACTAAAAAACCGTATATACAGACACTCTAGCTTCTCTGGCGTCTCTCCGCCTATTTTTGATATCTCTTTGAGCTTCCTAGACCGTTCAGATTTTGAATGTCAGGTAAAATTACATCGTAGTATTTGGGGCGGAGCTTGGGTCACGCTCGACATTTAAAATCTGATCAGACTATAGCTCATTCCGTGCATATATAATAGATGCTCAATCATCGGTTTCTTCAATTCGGACCTTTGTAATGAAATGGGCACTCCTAATAGCTACTTAAATAGCGTCAGCACTCTCAAGTAACCCCTAAAAGTTCTCAGAAACGTCTGGTTCCCGTTACAGAGGTCAGAAAAAGCTTCCCATATTATTCGAAGCAAAAACCTTTGGATATCTAGCACTAAAATGCGTGAGGATGACGTGTTTGGCCTTCATTTTGCGGGCGACGTAGATGGCCTGGCCCATCGTCGAGTGCTTCTTCCGCAGGGCGTCCGCCTCGTGGCCGTCTTCGAAGGTCGCCTCGTGCACCAGGACGTCCGCGTTCGTTCCTTCGATGGCGAGTAAGTCGCATGGTTTCGTGTCCCCGGAGAAGACGACTCTCTTTCCGCCGACGCCCAGGACGAAGCCGTTGGCCATCCTCGTGTGGTGGACCTTGATAATCAATAATAGTTCTTTCACTGTAATCATTTAAAATTAGAACATATAAAAATACCATGAAACCCTTTAAAATAAAATCTCAATAAGAGGTGATAAATCTTCGGGAAAAACTCTTTTTAAGTTGTAATCAGAATAATTTTTCCAAAAAAATTTAATAACAACCGGTATGGAAAAAAAGACTCGTTTTGTTTATCATTTCAAATAATTTTTCAATAAAAAAATTTCGTTTATAATCAAGATGATTCCAAAAAAATACTCAAAATTTCATCTGAAACGGCTTTTCGACTCTCTCAAAGGTACAGTAGCTTGCCTTACCTTGGAAAAACGCATTTCGCTTCGAGACCTTTTTAAACTTCGACTATGCTCCTTTAAATATTTTTCAAAATGAAGCACACATGATAATTTTCGCCTAATACTTCCTCCCTTCATATTCCTCTTTTTTGACTCGAAAAAAGTTTTTTAAACCGATTCGACCACATTCTCACGAAGAGAGTTGTCATTCAATAGAAAAATAAAAAAAATTACTTCTTTTGAAAAGGAATAAAGATGAAGCCGACTAAAATAAATTCTCCTAGAGCAGTCAAATTCCATTATTTTTCGATGCTTCCACTGAATTTTCCTCCTGAAACCAACCTGTACAGCCTTGATCTCATGGATTCCCCAAGACTTGGCGTCGAAAATCTCCGGCATTTCCGGGAGAATGTCTCGAGTGGGCGGCAAATGAGGCGATGGCAGCATTTTTCGCTTTTTTGGCGGCACACCGATGGGTGGACTGTAAGATTCAACTTTCAAATTTTGAAATTTTCCAAATTATATACGGAAAAATTTTTCGAAAATGGTAAATTTTACAAAAATGGGACGATTTTCGGAAAACATTAATCTCATTACTCCGTTTTACAATCATTTTTCCATTTTTGGGAGTCCGAGAGCGGTCCCTATAGAGGTTAGAAGCCAAAAAAGTGGTCCTTATAGGGGTACAATTAAGGTGATCCCTATAGGGGTTTAGGACCTCCTCCATTAGACCCTAAAGCTCAAGTGGACCCTATAGGGGTCTTTCGATTTCATTCAAAAAACTATTTATTCAGTTTTTCGCATGGAAACGCTCCTTCGCTAGGTGTTCATAAAAGTTATCGACTAGAATGCCCCCTATAGGGGCCATTTTGCAAGCCTTAGTGATTTCTATAGGGTTTTTTTTAAGTGTTCACTAGAGAGTGCCTTCCAAAGGCCCCTATAGGGACCACTCTGGATTTCCTAATCTATTACATCGTTTAGAAGACTTTGAAGCCGCATAAAAACGAATTTGTTGTCCCTAATTTCTCAATTTTCCCTATCTTTCTCATGATTATAACCTCTTCGAAAAATAAAAAATCTGAAAACCTCAATGGAGGCGTCAGAGGATGCCTCGAAATGTCCACGACTTCAATCAAAGATTCCAACTCGATGAAATAAATCGAATAGGTCTTCAAGGGCTTCATGACGTTGCGATTGCAGACCAGAACCAGGGGACGATATGGGATCCCTGGAAAATGGTTATAACCTTAAGGAGCTGACTTTTCCAAAGTACCCAATTTCTGGAAGGCCTCCAGTCGTCTCTCGATAATCGTATAAAGGCCGTTCATGTGGTCTTGATGCGCGTGGGTGATCAAAACGATATTCAATTTGGTCAGAAGCTGAAAATGATTTCTTTGATACTGAATGAATCTATCGAAAGTGGCACTTATTCAATCAAGAAACACTCTACCAATACTTGAACCTTTTTAAATGATGCCACCTTTTCTACTATTCACACAGAAATCCGAGGCTACTTTTAATTTTCGCTTGATTCCAAGATTTCAACACGCAGTAAGAAACCGCTGATTAAAAAAAAACAGGCTAAAAAGGTCTGAAATCAAAAATTTGAGGTCTTTGAATGGAAAGTCGAAAGAACTATCTTTAAATAACCCAGAAAACATCATTTTCGAGTCTCATTTTCTTCTATCAAAAAAATCTCAAAGTTTTACCCGTTCATTCCAAAAATAATAATACAATGAGAGAGCAAGGCTGCCTGAAGAGACCCCAGACAAAGAGAGACATTCTGACTTCTCTGGCGTCTCTTCAGTCGACCTTATTCTCTATTTTCAGCTTATTTCGAGCAATTTGTCTGAAGTTCTCTGCGTCTCTTGGTTCCCTCGCCGGAAAGGAAAGATAAATCGGACCAATTCCAGAAAAAAAATTTCATTTCTTTAAAATTCCAACCTTTTCATATGGTTCTTGTCTCCCTTTAGGAGGGCCTGATACAAGCCCTATAGGGCCCACTAAATCTCAAACTCCCCTAAGGATCCACTTATGCTTTTCACAGTGAAGTATCACAAAAAGCTCTAGAAAAAGAGTTCTAGCCAAGCAAATCCCAAGCATAGATGGGCAATTGCAGAACCATTCAGTCCGGGAGGAAAAGTTGACTTTCAAGATTTTGAAAAATAGGAATAAAACCAAGTTTCAACCTCAGGGAGGTAGTTTTAGCCTTAAGGAGCTCCTCAAATTGAATTTAATATAGGAAAACTTTGGAGGAGGGGTCAGCGGCCTTTAAAATTGGTCTGCGAACGTATGATTTCAAGCCCGGACCTTTTCACACTGCTCATCCCCGAAAAGCACCCGCAACTGTCCGTAGGTTCCCTCGCCAACATCGACAAGCAAGGCGCTGTTCTCATTGGCCTCGACAAGATACCCGGTCACGTTTCTGTACTTCGAGGGGACTGCTGACGAAGTTCCCAAGAAGGAAATCTTGGGATATTCAGCGGTGGGGTCGATTTGAGCTTCAGCTGCAAATTCGAAAGTTGTCAAAGATCAAAAGATGGAAATGCACTTTTGTGGAATTCTTCGATCAACGCCTTCGTCTCAGAATCGAAGCCGAAATCAACGTCTCGCAGGTCGGCCATGATAGGCTCTTCGTTTGTGATGTTTCCTAGAAATATCAAATCATGAAAAATAAGAATTTTCAGAGCAAACTTTCAAATTTCGCTCATTTCCAGGGCAAAAAATATTTGTTCAAAATTTTTGGCGAATAAAAATAAAACATCTCTTCTCACAGACTCTCAAAAAAGTAGATATATTCGAAAAAATTTTCAAGTCAAAATTTTCAATAATAATCGGATGCAGTTAATTAATAAAAAAATCCATGAATTTTTCATAAAAACTGCAATTTCAAGCTGATTCCAAAGAAGGGCAATTCAATTTGGGCCAACAAAAACACGTTTTTATGTCGTGACCACTAGACTCAAATTTATCTCTAACTCTCCAAAATTTAGTTATCTTTTTCACTCTCTGACGGCTATTTTGAACTTCGTGGAATCACTTTGAACACGGCAATATTATAAAAAAGAAAATTTTATCTTTTCATGATGATTTTTTAAATCTTTTCTCAAGGTCATGTGCTAAAACAACTGTATCACCTATTTTCTCAGCTGGTTTTTTTCTTCCAATCTTAAATTTTCCATTTTACCTCACTGTCTCGGAGGCTCTTGGAGTCCTCAATTGCTTTCTAATAATTTATGAAATATTTTTATTCCATTATTTCTTTTTTTCAAAATTTTATACATAATTTGCTCTTGCCTGTGAATAAATATATTATTATTGAAGTTAATATACTCTCAAAAAGATGATCTACGTGCCATTCTTGGTCAACATGATTCCGAAAAACGGACGATCAACTTTTCATATACCCTATTATTCAACATTGTAGAATTTTCTCTATAGACCGAACAAACATGTAAACTTATTGAGGATCATTAATTTCGCGACACAACACCAACCATGACGCATCCAGAACCTCTGCAACGGGGCCACTCTCACGACTTTTCCGTCGCGTCGTTCGAGCTCGTTGTTCTGAGTTACGAGTCCCGTCCAGTCCACCGGATGGAGTTTCAGGAAGAGGGACGGCGCGATGTGGTTCAACAGCTTGGTGTGCCTTTCAAAATTATTCTTAATTTTATTTTTTAATAATTTTTCGCTTTCTCTCTGTAATATTTCTGAAAATTCGCCTCAACCAAACAAAAATCCTTTTTTTTTACTTCGGAACTGCAGGATGGTCTCTATAGGAGCCCTTGGAGAGCCACCTCTGGGGACCACTTTATCAACCCCTATAGGGACCACTAAAGCTTGCAAGAATGGGTCTATAGGGGCATCCTGGTCGACAATTGTTATAAACTCTATGCAAAGACTAAGTAAATGTTGTTTGAATGAAGTTGAAGGACCCCTATAGGGACCCCTTGAGCTTCAGAGGCTAAGGAGTCAGACCCTAAAACCCTATAGGAACCACTTTTTCGGCCCAATAGTTCCACTAACCCCTATAGGGACTACACTGGAATTTCAATAGAGAAAAAAAAGGCCATCGTTTTCTCAATGGAAAATATCACGTAAAACCAACCTTTTCCATTTTTACGTTGATTTGAAAATAATTCTAAGAAACACTTTCCAGTTTCATTCATTTTTTTATCAATATTTCCAACATTATTCAGGAAAAATCCTAAAAAAACAAACTTATAAACGCTCTCCACACAAGGGACCTGCGGAGTTGATTCGTTCACGATAATGTGCTCCGTATTCGGCAAAGAGGCGAAAATCTTGCGATAAACTTCGCTTTGGAGCACGTTTTCCCGGCTCAAATGCACAATGTAGTTAAGGATTTTGGACTTGTCAAAGTACGGCTGAAAATCAGCATTTTTCCTGAATAGATTCAAAAAAAACCTTCAACAGGGAATTTTCCAACAAGGACTGGGCATGTGCTTCGGTAGTACACTCAAGAACAAGGAGGCTCGTTTTTTCCTGAATAACATTTGATGAGTAATTTGAAAATGGAATAAAATATTTGAATATAATAATTGAAAAAGCTGGAAAAGTTTAGCCACCAAAAAAAGATTTAAAAATAGCTCCAAGGGGCGCCAAAACAGGTCAATATCACCGAAAACTTACGATGCTATTTTTCTCGCGGCTCAATTTTTTTGAAAGCTATTCTTGGTAAAGCTCAAACCTCTACGCTTTTTTTCCACGTAGCCAGCTTTCGGGCGAACTTTTTCGTGTATTTCTTGTCCGGAACGGTTTTTTTCGCTATTCATCTTCTTCTGTGGCTATTCAAAACTCAGCTCAATTCTTACGGCAAATTTTGTCTTTGGCTACTTTTCCTGCAGCTATTTTCCTTGAATTTTTCATCCGCAGCTGAATTTTTTTATTTCTACTACTTTTTTTGCGGATCTTTAATCTTCTCAATTTTCACGGTGAATTTTCGCTTTTGGCTACTTTTCCCTCGGCTATTTTCTATGACTTTTTCATCCGCTGCTGTTTTTTGCTGATTTTTAAACTTCTCAATCATCACGGCTCTTTTTTCCATTGGTTACATAGCATTTTTTTTCTAACTTTTTCAGTCCGCAGATCATTTTTTTTTTCTACTGTATGGGTCAACGACTCAATTTTTCTACAAAACTTCTTCACAAGACTTGTTTTCCTCAGCCAAGCTGTTCTCTACCCTTTTTCTCTGATATTATTATTCAAATCTCTATCTCGAAGCTCTTTGATTTTCCAAAAAACCAACCGCCGTCTGGTCTTCCAAGGGAACATAGACATCTTCGGGCCGAATCGTCCTGCCATCGTCCAAAACGACTTCTTCCCCGTTTTTTAGCTTCCCAATCAGAGGTCCTTTTGGGATCTGACAAGAATCATATAATAATTCGTTTAAAAATTCAATTTCTGTCACTTTTCCACGTGTTGAAACGTTATAGAATCTTTTTTTTGACAGTTAAAAGAGTCTACAAGAAAGCTAGAGAGCACTGGTACACAAGAGAACGTGAGGGGGAAAAAAGCGATAATAATTCATTCAAAAATACAAATTCTGCGACTTTTCCTCGTATCGAAACGTCATGGAGCCTATTTACAACAATTTAAAGAGTCTACAGGGAAGCTAGAGAGCACTGGTTAGCAAGAGAGAGTGAGAGAAAAAAAACACTGGCCCTCTCATTTTTAAACGCTCTCTAACTTCCCTTTACGGTTAAGATTTTCAGTTCTCTCTCCATAGTTCTTGTTGACTTTTTCTCGTTCTATGCTACTGGTCGACAAGTCGTTTCTTGTCCGGCGCAAGGAAAACCAACTTTAATGATAGGCGCTACTCTTTCCCTCATTTTTGCAACAATAAGGCGTTTCAACTCGTTAAAAATGTATTTTCAAAAGAAAAACCTTCATTTCCATCAAACGTCTGCCGTCGATCCGTCTTGGCGGCTCTTTCATGTTGAACAGGAAAGCTACGTCGATTTCACAGGCCTTAAAATTCATAGTAAGTTTATTCATCTATACTTCATGTTCATAAAAATCCACCTTTTTCCGAGTCCCATCCCCTGGGCTCTCCCTTCCAGTCGAAGCTGAATACGGGGGGCTCAATGGGATATATTTGACCCGGAAACCGGCATCTTCATAGCCTTCCATCGTGTATGGATATTCGTCGACCTGAAAACAGAAATATTGGGAAAATAAATAAGATAGCAACGAACACCCAAGTTTCGAAAAATCGGGTAAAACTTCAATATAAAACCAAAAAATTAGAAACAAAAATGAAAAGAAAAAAATAATTATTTTCAAAATTCATTCAAAAATTTGCAAGAAGTATCAACCAGATTCAAATTTCTTAAAAAACATGGAAGTTAAAAAAGAAGCCTGTAAACTTTCGAAAAGCAGGAAAAACGAAGTTTAACAACTTTTTGGAAAAATATTCTCAAATCCTTTCAAAAAACGAGCGAAATTCCCTTAAAAAAACTTCTTTTCGTCATTTTTTCTCTCAATTTTTCTACCAGAGTTTACCTGGGAACTTTCATTTTACCTTACATTTTTTCCTTTGAAATGGCGCATTTCCTTTGATTCTTCTTATCAGTGTATACCTGAGACGGATAACAAGACCTTATAATTAAAACTAATTTATCCTTAGAATTTACGGCTTTCGTTTCATTTTCCTACACAATCTTTAAACTGTAAAATATTACTTTCGTTTCAAATTTTGTCTTCCTTTAAATCCACGAATTCTCTTCCTTTTCCAATTTTCCAACCAATCACCAAAACCCCACCTGAGACGGATAATTACAAGACCCATAATCAGAATCCTGGAAAGGTCGGATGCACTCGAGGAAGTTCTTGATGTTCGTGGCGCCGTGGATTCGTGTGGGAAGGGCGCTGCTTTCCTTAGACAAGAGTACCGAGGAAATACCGGCAATATTGTCCCAGGTGGCTGAAAACTCATCTTTCGAGACAAAAAAAATGAAAATTATTAAAAGATCAATCTTTTCGACGGTTAAAAAAATATTTATTTTTGGAAATCTCTTGAATTTCAATCGAGAGCTCCAAAAATGCTCAAAAAAGTGAAAAATCAGGTAGAAAAGAACCATCGTGAAGCAAAATAATCGAATATAAAAACACGTATAAATTTTTTTCAAAAATCATTAATTTACATGCATGGGCTTTCATTTTTAGGAACTCTACAGCGGCAATTTTAAGGGCCTTTGTCCCCTCTAAGGACCACTTTACCAACCCCTATAGGGGTCACTAAGGATTGCAAAAGTGGTCTCTTCAGGGGTTTTAGTTAGTGGCCCCTATAGGGAACATGCATGCTCGATAATTTTCATGAACTCTATTTGAAGAAGCATCTCCATGCGAAAAACTGAATAAATAGTTTTTTGAATGAAGTTGAAAGACCCCTTTAGGGTCCACTTGAGCTTTAGAGGCTAAGCGGTCAGACCCTAAACCCCTATAGGGATCATCCTGATTTTACCCCTATAGGGACCACTTTTTGGCCCATAATGGAGATGTTCTTCCCCCTACCCCTATAGGGATCACTAAAATTCCGAAAAAGTTATTTAAAATTCCCCCTTGAAATCAAGGAAGAACAGAAAAAAAAGATGATTTCTGGCGAATATTTTCAATTTTTCCTGTCCCTTCTTTTTCAAATTCACACCCAAAAAGCTGATTATATCTCACATGGAAAGCGCATTTTTTCTGTTTTCTGACCTTAAAGGCAATATTTTTTCTTGATAAACAAAGAAAAACCAACAACTGGTGACAAAGATATCCATGACGTTTGCCGGTTTCACGCGCAGTTGCTGGAAAAATCGGCAACTTTGTTCGGGGCAATTGAAGACGTAGGTTTTCAGTGGGGTTCTCAGGACCACACAGGGTCTCATCAGCCCGGTTCCATTGCCGAGGATCTGAAAATAGCCCAATGAAAAATGACATAAATTGAGAAAACATAACAATTTCTCAATGAATAATGGTATAAATAAAGAATTTTTCGATGAAAAATATCATAAATCAATAAATCTTCTTAAGTTCTCAATAAAACAAGGTACAAATTAAGGAATTTTCAAGAGCTATCGAGAAAAAAAAAATGAAGTAAAGAAACCTACTAGTTCAAATTGTCTATGAAAATTGACATGAATGAAGAAAAAATCACAAACTTTCAATGAAAAAATGGCATAAAGGGACAACTTTTTCCAAGTTTTTGATCAAAAATGGCATAAATTAAGTGGAATCATCTCAATTTTTCGTTGAAAAATGGCACGAACCAACAAAACGAAACAAGAAAAAAACTAAATATTCACCAGTTCCAATAAAAAAATTGACACAAAGAAACAAATTATTTGAAATTTTTCAAAGCATAAAACAGCAAATTTCTATAATTTTTTTGAAAAATTGGTGTAGATGAAGAAAAATTATCAAATGGCAAATCGATAAATATTCACAATTTTCATGAATAAACACATAAAGAAACAGTTAATTTACAATTTTCAATAAAAAAATGGTCGAAATGAATAAAAAAATTATCACAAGTTTACAATCGTTAATAGCCTAAATGAACGAATTATTACGAGCTTTTAATGAAAAACGATATACAGACAAAATTTACCGGTAAAATCACAAGGAAAACTTGAAATCAAGGGGATTTTTCATTGAATTTCGAGCTTACCTCAATGGAAACTTGGCTGGGAATGTTGCAGATGGAATTGGGCGGCGGTTCGAAGGAAATCTTTTGTTTTTGCTGCACGGAAACCATCGAAGCCTTCAGGTTCGACAGAGAAGCTTTTCGCTTCGCGGGCTCTTTAAGGCAAAACATTGATAGATTAAAAATATGAAAGAAGAAAAAAATTGTCAACCAATTTGATCGAAAAAAACTTCTTGAATTTTTCTTTGAAAGTGCCCAAAAATGACAAATTTGACACTCGGAGAAAAAAAAAAATGGAAAATTATTGTTGGAAGAAGAAAAAAATGGTCAGCTTTTTTTCCAAAAAAATTTTTTTGTATTTTATTCGAAAAATCTCCAAAAAAGGAAAAAAATTTGACATTCGGAAAGGAAGGAACTGTTTCGAAAATGGCGTAAAGAATGAAAAATTTGATAAAAAAATACGTGAAATAAAAAAATTCATGAAACGTCATTTTTAAAGTAGGTTTGCTTAAGTTTCAGTGGTAACTAAAAAAATAAAAAAAGAAAAAAACCTCAAAATTCACTGAACAGCTCTCATTCCAAATCAATCATCTAAAAATTTCATGAATGGAAAAAAAACAGCTTTTCATTCATTTCGGAGCAAATATTCTGAAAAGGCGTATAAACTAAAGCCAGTTCCCTTAGACGCTACTGCTAGAAATTTCATATCTCACAATTAACACTAAGTGATCCCTAAAGTGTTTTTAGCACCTAATTAGTGTATAATAACAGAAGAGACGGGGATATTAGTCTCTAAAACTTGTAAAAATAATAAAAGGCTCAAAATAAGGCTCAAAAATGGAAAATTCGACGCTCGGACAAAAATATAGCACAAAAAATGGAACCTTCTAAAAAACGTTAAATTGAAAAAAAAGCCTTCATTAAATTCTATTGAGTTGGCTGATGATTTGTGCCAAACTATAGAAAAAAAAATGTTTTTTTTAAACATTTTAATATAAGAAATAAACAAAGGAACGTTTCAAAACCATTTTTTTCAGCTTTTAGTAACATAATTCAAAATTTAGGCACTTCTGATTAACCGTTGTGTACAATAGAACTTATTTTTCCATTTTAAAAAGTTCCTGAGAAAATTTAATAACAAGAAATAAGGGCAAATCTTCAATGTATCATAAAATTTCTTCATAATGTGTCAAATGAATATAGTTTTTTTTGGAAAATAATTGAAAATGTACGATCAAACGAGAAACAAAAAAAGAAAAAAACTTATCAGCCAAGCAAAAAATACTAATATTTTTATATTCTCCCTTCAAACTCCCGAGTAATTTTGCGACATGTTGCGAAATCTTTTTTTCCCGCCTATTTTTTCAGAAATCGGTTTTCTTTTTAATTCCGTTTTGAAAGTGATTCCTGCGTTCTCAAAAATGGCGCGTTATTCGCTCGAAATTATTTTGCGAAATTGGAGATTGGTAGCCGAAATTCCTATTTCGCGAAATCATTTCAAACGAATAAAGCTTCATTTTTTGCATTATTTTGAACAATGCATGAAATTTTTCGTGATAACCTTCGAATTTCTCGATAAAAAGTCATTTTTTGAAGTATAAAAGTTAAAATTGGCCAAATCCTTCAAAATTTTCGTGAGAATTTATTTACTAGACCAAGAAAACTCTCATATTTAGGAAAAACGAACTTCAAATGGGAAGACGAGTGTTTCCTCAGGATACTCTCCTGCAATTTGATCCTCTTGTTCAGTTCTTTGTAGAATTCCTCGACGTGATCTTCAGCTTTCAAGGCCTTTTGCGTGAAAATTCGGCGGAATCTTCAAAAATTTCCTGGTTATGTCTTCCAGTTATAGTTCATTCACCACTGGCTTCAATTTTTCAATTATTAAGAAGATAGTGATCAAAAAATGACGCTAAGAGGCCACTTAAGTGATTTCTAAACTTCATATTCAACTGAAAAGCTCCAAAAGTACCTAACAAGTAGATTTTTTCTAGCGCCTTTTTTTTATCAGAAAGGTAATTTTCAACGATACAAAAAGGTGTTAAAAAAAGAAGGTAATGTAACTTTCACAAAATTCAACCGAAAAGACGAAAAAAAGACGCTCTGAAAAACCTTTTTCGCACCATTTTTTGGTTATAGTCTTTTTTTCCTCTGGCAAAAGCCTTGGGAATTTTTTTTTTCGAACTTTGGTCAAAAAATGACGCTAAGAGGTCCTTTAAGTGATTTTTATTTCAAGCCAGCAATGAATGAACTTCAAATTCTTACTGAAAAGCCGATGGTTTGGCCGAAAACGAGGTCAAAACCCGGGACACAACTTGCATTCAAGTTGTGAACCACCTTCAAAAAAATTTCTTATTTTGTTTAGTTTGTTTGAAAATCCTTGCTGAGCTGTTTCAAGGCGCAGAGGTCTCAATGAAAACGGCTCTTCGCCTCAAGACCTTTTGAAAGTGGACATGCTCCTTTAAACACCTGAGCAAAAGTAATTTAGGGAAGACGAATTGCACTTTAGGGACCAAATTTGAACTTTAAACTCATATTTTAACCGAAAAAACGCAAGAGACTAGAAAAAAATCACATTTTTTTAAATTTTAATAAAAAAATTACTCTCTCAAAAATCTCTTTTTCGAGACACCCTAAAGTACAAAAAAAGCCCAATTCCTTCTAAAAACTACAAAGAAAAAAATACAAAAACGCGATTGAGAACACTAGAAAACGACCGAAAAAGGCAATACTCAACTCGTTTATAAAAATCACTTTAAAAGACGATTTAGAAGAAATAAAACGAAACGAAAAGACTCAACAGGCTTGCTAAATGAAAATGACGATCGGAGGAGAAGAAAAACGGGGGTCGGAACAAACTAATTCAAACAAAAGAAGGGCCTAATCTATGAAGAAAATAACAACGAAATGAACAGAAAACAGAGCGAAAACGAAGGAAGAAAGTGGTAAGAGGAGCCCTACAAGGGCAGTTCGACACGGAGAAAAATGGATCTAACCGTTGCTAGGTTCAGAGAAGAATGGGAGGAAACGAGGAAAAACGAGATTTGGAAATGATTAACCGTCTAGGAAAGGTTGGGCAACGCCGAAGGGAGGCCGAAAGGTCTCGAGGAATCGACTCCGGGCTCGGTTTGGCTCTTTGGAGGCGGCAGATTTCGCGGGTCGTCCAGAGCTTCTGGCTGAAAAAACACTTGATTTAGGAGAAAAATTTTCTTTCAAGTTTGAAGTTATGGACATAATATCTGTTCAGATGCTGAAAGTCAAGTTCAATGACGTCACTCGGAGACGCTCTGTAGATGGCTCGCTCTCTGATTAGTTTCTCGCGCCATTAGGGGCGGAGCTTGAGCGACGACTTGAAATTCAAAATTCGAACATAATAAAATTCTACAATCAAACAGCTTTTAAGAAGATTCAAAAATTGTCAAAATATTTCAAATATGCCCTCCAAAATTCCCCTATTCTTGACAAAATAATGTGAAAAAGCGGTTTCTGTACAAAAAACTGGAGCAAATTTGTAAATAAAACGGAAAACTGTTATTTTTTCAACAAAAATATAATTTCTAGAAGAGAATTCGTACCGGCGGCGCAGTGGGATCCATCATAGAGCCCATCCATCGGTTCGTGACAAGACCAACGCCTTCTATCATCGCCAAAATCACGGATCCAAGGACCGCACTACCCGCCATTACCTGGAAAATTGCTCCACTTACTTAGGAGATCCAGAGTGGCCCCTATAGGTGTAAAATCAAAGTGGTCTTTATAGGGGTTTAGGGTCTGATACGTCTCTCATTTTCATTCAAAAAACGCTTAATAATTCAGTTTTTCCCATGAAAATGCTTTTTCACTTACAACTCATAACAATTATCAAAAAGCACGTCCCCTATAGGGGCCACTTTTGCAAGCCTAAGTAGCCCATATAGGGGTTGGTAAAGTGGTCCTTAGAGGGAACCCTTCGAGGGCCTCTAAGGTTGCCCCTATAGAGACCTCGAGTATAAGATTGAAAAAATAGAATGATCTATTAAAAGGGAACATTATGAATTTATATATTTAAAAATTTCTATATAAAACAAAAATTGTGACTATCCAGCGCATTTTCAAAAAACCTCACCTTCGGTCCTGACCGAATAGCTAGCAAAGCACCCGTTAAACCTCCAGAAACGATAGAATTTATCGGATCCTCCTGAAAAAAGAAAGTTATTTTTTTCTTCAAAACAGAAATTTCCACCTTTTTCCTGATGGCAACCATACAACAGTCGATCGTACTGAACATGCCTCCCCAGGCGGCAAATTGAACTCCCGTCAGTGTACTTCTCATCCGAACCTCACGGAACATGCCAACCTAAAATAATTATTTTATATCATTTTTCCCATTTATTTCTGACCAATTTTTGTCCTTTCGCCGCGTTTTTATAACCTCCGAAGGCTTGGAAAATCGAGCCACCCACAAGTCCCATAGCAAACGCGGAGCCGATATCATCGCCGATACGGTAGGGGCTGAAAATTCTCAATAAAATCATCAAAGTTTCGAAAAACTAACCAAGGCTCTCTGGTGTATTCCTCCATTTCGTTATTAGTTTAAAAAAAAAGTTCCTAGATTAAAGGAACGCGGTGACCCTGTAAAAATGCACTTGTGATAGAAATGAGGTAAAGTTCACGGCAATAGAAAGAAACGAAAGCACGAAAAAAAAGTAGTTAAAAAGCAAATTCAAACTTTCCGGAAAAAAGGGTGAGAAAATTAAACTTAAAAACAGGATATCTTTTAACTTCCTTCAAAAAAAAAAGAACAGAGAAAAAGTTTTTCATTAAAAAAAATAGGAAAAAAGAAAATGACGAGATTGGAAAATATCGGAATGCCTACAAAACTCCTATAAACAGATATATGAAGAGAAAAGAATCTTTTTAATTTTTTGAATACAACGAGGTGAGAACTATCAACTGTTGAATGGAAACGAAAACAATAAGAAGCGTCTTCGAAGATCTCAAAAGCTTTCTGAAAAACGGTAATAATACACACAATAATTGAAGAAAAAAGCAGTTTTAATTTCATTTAGGTAAAAAGAAAAAAACTTAGTAGAAATTTTTGAAAAAAAACTTTTAAAAAGGATAGAAAATGACAAATTCTAGAAAGTGTGAAATAGTTTATTTACTTTCGAACTTTCCTGCAACGACTTTGATGAAATTTTTGATTTTCCTATGAAGCCTTTTTCTGTATTTATTTCACAGAGCAAGATAAACTATTTTTTTATTAAAACCCAATTTAATTGAAATAAATTGAAATAAAAAGTATTTGTAACGTCCGAATGCGCGCCCTCACGCAATTTCCAGCTCACGCGGAACGCGCCAAAGCAATGTTGCTGGCGTCTTTTTGAGTGCTCGTCGGAATTTGCAGTTTTTCTGGGAGTTTCAGATAGTTCCGAAGTGATCGAATCACTGAAATGGGAACAAGTTGGTCTATAATTTTTTTAATGAAAAAAAGACTGTTGGAAATGTTCAAATGAAAACCGTTTAAAAAAGCATAAAAAGAGGAGCTCCATTTTTGAAATTTTGAATTTCTTGAACAGAAAAATTTGAAAATCACTCGTTTTCTCAAGGCATCTCCTGTTCAAGAAAAACGACGTATAACGACAAATTTTCTCCATTTTCCGTTTGAAACATGGCCTGCAAGTGAGTCTCACTCTTTAAAGGGAACTACGCAATTTGACACTCACTTAGAGGCCTGAGAATGAAAGGATAATCGAGGTCTGGGCAAATTAGCCAAATGTACTAGTAATGCTTCCTTGGAGCAACATTCTAGGAGTACAACTTTTCGGTACATTTTCTCTCCCTTTTCTATTATAAACGAGGCTAATTCACCGCATAAAATTACTCAAACATCATATACATATTCCTACGTCACACACTGAGCTTTTCCCTCGTCAAAAAAAAAAAGTTGCAAGGCATATTTTTTTGGGCGACGGGGCTTTGAATAAGCCAACACTTCTAGTGGTCCCCCTCATTATTTCCGTTCAACTCCCGTTTTTTCTGCAAATTTTCTTTCCTTTTCAATTTCTATTGCCTGCAAAGCACAAATGAGCTCAGTTTCCGCTCAAAATATTCGATAGTTTATTCATAGCTCGCTTAGGAATTTAAAGGCGCAGACCTTGAAAAAAAAACTCACCTATGCTCCTTTAAAAATCTAAAAATCTTCTCATATTCTGATTTCCACAAAAAAGGCACACTCCATTTGCCACTGAAATAACAGAAAATAATATGAGACTGTCTGAGCCTCTCTTTTTACTCACTGTCTCACCGTGTATCAAGCCAGCGATGAACAAATAAAAAAAATTTTTTTTTAACTTTTTTTCAAAATGGTTGAAGACGCCGTGGTCGCATGTGGAATGGTTCGAAGCGTCGCGGTTGACTTGAAAGCTTTCCGATACCATCGCGCGCAAGTAGCTTCAAGTCGGGAGCATCTTAAAAAAACTTCTTTACAGCCCCTGCGCGTTAAGCCATTCCACGTGCGGTTCAGACATTTTTTTTCAAATAGATCTTTTTTTTGCGGTGTCAAACTTTTGACTTTTTTGGAACCTTTTTTTCGGACTTAAAGAAGCTGTTGAAGTTTTATTAGGCCGGTTTTTGATGCTTAACTGAGAAAAAGTGACCACTTCAGGGCTTTTACGTTCTAGTGGACACTATAACAGTCGCATAGTAGCCACTAAAAAGGACCACTATAGGGTCCACTAAGAGACAACTTCGTGGCTTCTATTGAGATGATTTTAGTGGCCACTCTAGTGTCCTTTCCAAGTAGTCCTTGATGATCCTCTTAAGCGACCCCTAGAGTATCCCCAGTCGAATATTTAAAACTGTCCGCATTTTGAAATTCTCTCAAGTATTTTTATTAATATTCTGTCCTATGAATGAAAAAATAGTTCAAAAATTCTAGTTAGATGCCCTCAAAAGTTGAAAAATTGTTATTCACCATAGAATAGGTAATGCGATTAAGTTTTGTTTTTGAGTGTCTAGTCTCGAATTTTTTCTTTAAACCTTTCAGATTTCTTACACTTCATCAAAAATCAGTATATATTCTAGAAATTTTTCGAGAAAACCATTAAAAAAACTTCTCTTTTTCTCCATTAAATAGTTCACTCAGACCGATCTCAAAAGCGACTCTTGAACTCAATTGCCAAAAACAAGCTTTAAGTTACTGTAAAACTCTCCCTTTGTACACACTATTTCCCTCCTCGTTTCAGGACCCTTTTCTAAAAACTTCCCTGTGCTTTTAAGTCTTTCAACAAGCTGTCTTCACTCTTTTCTTCACAAATTCAGGAAGGCTACCGTAATCCTTTCTTCTTCACTTCCTAGCTCGATCCAGAAAATTAAGGGGCCTGCAAATCTCTGCGGAATTCTACGAAACAAGGCCGCGTTTCTTGAATTATTCATTCCGTCATTCCGGATGTCTTGAATGCCACCCTCCATACTTGATTGTCCACACCTTGCAGGCATTTTTAAAGGAGCATTCAAAAGAGGTCTCAAGGCGGAGACCTTTTTTGACACTTAAGAAAGCTGCTTCGAACTATTTTTTGTTGTTTCTTTGGTTTTTTGGGCTCCTTATAGAGAAATTGCCTTCGTCAAGGGCTTCAACTTTCTGAAAATTCCCTCATAAATGTCAGGAAAAAATGAATAACAAAGATGTTTGCAACAAGCTTTTTTTCTTTGAAATTGTGTTCTGAAGAGTAGATTTCTTATATATATTGGTCCATGAATAGGTTCCAAAATATGTATTATTTGAAAATGTGTATCTCCCATTTATCTTTTCAAACTAAAAAGATTCCCGAATCTTCCGAAAAGTTCGATTTTTCGAGCTTCAAACGTCTCTAGTGACTAACTAACCTTCAAAAAAAAATTCTCATAACACAATATTTTAACTAGAAATCTACAGACATACTCTGATTTTTGGCCCTCTTAAACCTCTGACGACGGCCCTCCCACTAATCTCAGCCTAAAAGCAACATTTAAGACCTTTTTTTGCGCAATTTTGCTCCAGGGGAAAAGTTTTTTTGTTCGGCTTGTTAAGCTTCTGGAGCGTATTCTTCGCTCTTTCCATTCATAAACTGTGGGAATAAGATCGAGGAACGTAAAATTTTTCGAAACTCATTTTTATTTTCATTCCTTTAAACTTCATCGTTTTTTCTTCCTTTTTTTTAGAACCGAATCGCCTCCAAATTTTTGGTTTGAAGTCGATTTTCCTTACTACAACGATTATGAATACTTTTGCTATCATTTTTCTCTCGAATTTTGGTAAAATGAGCAATATTATAGTTTATATAAAGACATAAAGACACCTCATTCCCAATATTCTCGCATTTGAATTTCTGTTTCCTGCCAAAAATGGTCCGCAACTAGATACTATCGTAGTCATCGAATTAGTAGCCAAAAAAAAATTTCATCCTACTTATGAACTCCAGAGTGGTCCCTATAGGGGCAACCTTAGGGAACTAGGGATCACTTTACCAACCTTCATAGGAGCCGCTGAAGCTTGAAAAAGTGGACCCTATAGGGGACATGCAAATCGACAATTTTTATGAACTCTAAGCGAAGAAGCCTTCTTATAGGAAAACTAAATAAATATGCGTTTTTTGAATAAAGTTGAAAAACCCCTATAGGGTCCACTTGAGGGACTAAGGACTCAGACGCTGAAAATCTATAGGGATCACCTTAGTTTCACCCCTATAGGAAGCACTTTTTCGACCCCTATGAGAGTTTTTTTCCTCCCTAACCCCTACAGGGACCGCTCTGGAATTCCTAAGTATAACATGAATTCTTCGTTCCAATCGTTTTTTTTTATATCAAAAATCGAAAAAAGACCCTTTTCATTGCAAAAAAGCTTTCGTTTGGACTCGAGCACTATAAATTTTCCAAAAAAGATCTTTCTTTCCTACAACTACAAAGACCATTTTTTGAAGCTTCACAGTACAATGAAACCCTGTCTCAAGGCACAAAATTTGTCTTTGTCCGCCTTTTCTGCAGTTGTAAATTCGATTGACATGTGTGTGACTTGTTCCTGGAACACTGAAAAAAACAAAAGAAAGCGGATTAGAATCTTTTTTCGCGAGTTTTCTGCAACCTTCTGGGAGTTCTCGTTCACTAATCCTCCACGTGCTCGGTTTCCGACGGATTTCATCACTAATATTACTTAAAAATGCTATTTTTTAAGATTTTTCTGTTGAAAATCCATCAAAATGTGATAATTTTCTCTCTTTTTTTTTGACGTTGAGGTTGACACCCCAGCAGCGGGTCTCCTCATCTTTGTAATATTGCTCTTCGTTTTCTTTCTTTTCTGTTTCATTGGTGTTAAAATGTGGAAAATAGGCTCCATGCTGGAAAAATTTTCAATGACCACTATAGGGTTTTGACGTTTTAGGGGCCACTATAATAATCAAATTAGTGGCCACTCAAGGGGTTAAAAATCAGTGGCTACTATAGAGGTCTAAGTGCTACTACTAGACCCCTTAAAATTTTAGTGGCCACTTTAGGGGTCAATGGATCAACATAACTGGTCCATTCTGTTTTTTTTTTAATTATCAGAGTTACTGGAAAGATTACTTGATGACAAACCACTGAAGTGGCCAATAAAACGGAAAATAGTGGCCACTATAGAGGTGGGATTAGTGGCCACTATAGTGTCCTCTCCAAGTAGTCCTTGGCGAGCCTCTACAGCGGCCACTAAAAATTTTCTCAGTGACATGCTAACCAACATGTGGAAAAGTGACAGATTTGAATTTTCCAATGATTTATTAATATCAGATCCCAAATTTGTGTGATCTTTTGTTGATTTTTTTCTTTCCTATTTTCTATCACTTCAAAATGAATATATCGTGAAGCTTTGCCATAGATATTGTCTAAAAGTTCATCAAAAAAGTTTTTATGAAAAAAAATTGGCTCCTGTCACCACCAAGAGACGTTTCTGATGCATTTTTGAGTCGGGAATTCCTGCACTTCTCCTTAATTTTTTTTTGTGGTTTGTATTTCTCTCAATCATAAGTTTTACTCAAAAAAAATTCCAGTCAAAAAAATCTTTAATTCATAAATTAATCAGAAAAAATGAGGAAAAGTTAAAAAAAATGTTTTTTATGTGGATATCTTGACAAGCTGTAGCTGAAAAAAAAACCGAAAATTTTCTAGAAATCCAGTAAAATTTAGCCAGCTCAATGAGCCATAGTATTAGTTCAAATAACTGAGTTGAAAAAAGTCATGAAAATCCTGAAAACCGAATTTCAAAAAATGATCCTTAACTCAAAAACCCACCAAAAATTGACACAAAACTCCGAAAAATGAAGAAAATTCGAAACTTTTTTTTTCATCTGCATTTTTCATGCTCCAAACACTTTTGAGAACAAAAGGAGGACCCGAAAAACATAAGTTTCGAATTTTCCTTCTTGGTTTCTTCATATCTCTTTTGAAGTTTTCTTCTAATCTTTTTGGACGGAAATGGGTGGGAAGGAAAGAAGAAAAATATTGTAATACAATACCCCAAAAGCCATGTGCAGATTTTTTTTTTCTGCCTGCAATTAGGCTCGGGAAGCCTGCAAAGTAATCTTTCCTCTTTTAAGAGTTTACTTTTTTTCATTTTTTTATCTGAATTCGACTTATTTTCCAGGGAATTTCCTTCAATTATTCATTTTTTTAATCAACTTTCGGTCTGGAAAAATCTCAAAAAAAGATTAAAAAAACGTTTTTTTCATCTCTCAGTTTGTCAATGACTATTTGTGGATGAAATTAAAAAAAATATATATATATCCTTGAAGTTTGACGATTTTTGAAGTAAAGGAAAAGGTCTGCATTTTCTAACCGTGAATATACTTCTCTATTCACGAATCGAACTTCTCTTTGCGCATTTGGAATCGCCCAGAACGTCGTGGTCGCGCTGCGGCTGGATCAATGCCGCGCAAGTCGCTTTAAAGTCGGGCGCAACTTTTTTCAACGCTTTGAGCCATTCCAAATTCGACCAGTAGATTCCAAAGCCTAGCCAATGAAATATATTGCATAGAAATTTTTTTTTTCCTTTTTCCAGTCAAATAACATGACCTTTTTTTTTGAAAGGCGAAAAATACAAAAATTTGTTCGATATGGCGTCAAACATCCCGTGATTTTCTATTGTTTCTAGAAGCCAGACAAAAATTTGTACCCATGAGCGGTCCAGAAGTCTTCCCTTTTACGAGATTGACGACTATAGATCTTGAAAGTCAGTAAGAAATTAATAATTTTCCAGTAAATTACAAAACTTTCATCAGAAGTTATACACTTTTATGTCTTTAAAAACAGCTGTTTTATCCATTTTATCCAAAATTTTGGTCGTCCTCCCTTTTTTTTTCAAATAATTCATCTTCCGATGGTCAAAACTCATCAATAAAATTTAGAAAGAGATGCAAAAAAACCCGTCTGATTCGATTTTAAATTCGCCAATACGTGTCAGTCATGCACATGGTCGTAATTTTTTTATTTTCTTTGAAATTATTTTTTTGAACCCTACTTTTTTTCTACATAACGTACATTGTTTAATATTTCTTCAAAAATGGCTCAACGCGAGGCTCCTTTTTACACACCCGACCAAAAACGACTTGCGCTTCGAGACATCAGGGATCTCAATCTCTTTCTAATTGTCTTGGTTCTCCCACCAAACGCGACGCTTCGAGCCAAATGCGGTCAAGAATTTTCTGTTTAAGGTTGAATCGTGTAGCAACACATTTTCACAATCCCGCTTGCATTAAATAATTGTTTGAAACGTACATTTTCTTGCTGAATATATTCTGTTGAAATGAAAATGGAAAGAACGCTTTTCCCACTCAACAAGCTGTTCACTTGAACTCTTCATGTTCCTAATTAATTAATTATTAATCACAGGTATTAGTTGATGTTTTTCATAATAATATGATATCCTTTTTTGTTTTTAATACAAGCTTGCATCGAAAATTCAGGCCGAAAACTTGAAACTTCTTGCAAAAAAGGTTTTCTTTCAGAGTCTCTAGAAAAAAAGAGTAATCCTAATAAATTTGATTATTCTACATGATCTCCTTCGCAACTTTTTCTGGAAGATCTATTCAATTTCTGCTGCCTTCAAGAGTGAATTTTTCTACTTTTCTACTTTTTTCTATAAAAACTGAAAGAATAAAGCTTTAGAAGCTTGACAATCCCAATAGAACTCTGATTCTCGGTCCTTTTGCCCACACTCCTAGAATCACTAATAAGATAACCTTCTGAATAAATCAGCGTTCTCTTTTCGAAAAGACGGAAGTTTTTTCTTTCAAGTTTCACGCTGAATCTTAATCTTTTCTTTGTTTCAAACTAAAAATCAACGGTCATGAAAATTTTGTCGTAAATCGTTTTATAACTTTATCGAACTCATATGAAATCTGCTATAACCAAGAAAATCCAAGATTTCATTTTCTTATAGATTAAATTATCTCAAAACCAAGCTGAAAATGGTTGAATTAGATAAAATTCCCGTGCTTTCATTCTTGTAAATTCACTTCAAAAAGATCAAAACTAATGATGTATGGAAGAAATAAGAATGCCATTTTAAGCCAACGGTTAGGGTGACCATAAAAACGATTTTTAACAAAAAAAGTACCGTAAATCAAAAATTCCTACCGTAACCCCAGATGGTTACCGAAAAACCGATTTTAAAACATAAAAAATACCAAAACTCGAAAATTCCTACCGTAACCCAAGATGGTCTGTACTGTCAGGGTGACCAAAAACCCGACTTCTCAAACACAAAATTTACCGTAACCTATAACTTTTCTACAGTAACCCAATGTGGTCTGTACTGTCAGTGTGACTGAAAATCCGTTTTTTCAACAAAAAAGTACAGTAACTCAAAATTTCTTACAATAACCTTGGATGCTATGTACTGTAAAAGTTCCCATAATTGGATGATCTATTGATTGATATGTCACTTGCCTGGTGAAAATTCTTCAATGCTTAGATTCGCAGGTGACCACCTCTCTACCGTATCCCGGCTACAGTAAAAGACATACCGTAACCTGACTACAGTAAGAGACTTACCGTAACCCGGTTACAGTGAGAGACCTACCGTAACCCGCCTACAGTAAGAGACCTACCGTAACACGGAAACAGTAAGAGACCTACCGTAACCCGGCTACAGTAAAATGGCTTAAATTGCCCGCAGTTCTAATTATGGGCTATCACACTAGATCGAAAAATGTATTTTTTTTTTGTACTTGTTGCTTTTTGAGATCAACTGCGTGTTGCTGGAACTAGAATTTTGAGCTTCTGAACCGTTTTAAAAAGCCAGAATGTTCATCAAGAACAAGACCTCCAATCTTTGACTCCCCGAAAAATCTTTTTCTGGACTTCCGGGACAATAATATAAACTCGAATTATTCTCGCCTGACCTACTCTGTTCTCTTCGCCATTTGGCTCCGACTTCCGGCCCCTTCTGTGTTAATTTTCTCAGAAAAAGACCATAAATCTTGCAGGAGGACAACGGGAAAGGAATGGCGGCGGTCGGCGGAATGCGCAAAATCAAATCTTCGTCCGGAAATAAACTGCAAATCCCACGCATTGAGGTACGTCGGGGCACTCTTCCAACAACAAAAAAAATGAAGAAAGGAGTAAAATAAATTTATTCCTGTTCCTTATATTTTTCTGTTCTTCATTGCTTTTTTGGTTTCCTACCGTCTTCAGGCTTTTTTTTATTCTTTTCGAAATGAAAGTACCTTAGAAGTTGCGTTTTTTGGATTCTGAAAGTCATAAAAATCCTGATTTCTGGCTCAAACCAATGCTAGAATGCTCGTAAAAAGCGAAAATTGGGAAAAAAAACTTTTCAATTTTTCAAAAAAAATCGGCTTCTAAGAACCTAAAAACCTGATAATCTTTAGAAAATATCCGATTTGAAGGCCCCGAAAAAATAAATAATGACCAAAAAAATCGCAATTTTGATACAAAATGATCATTTTTTTCACTTGTCGACATTACAAAAATTTTTATCTTCTAAAAAAATTATATAATAAACATTTTTTTCTACCACAACATTCCACTGCAGAACCCATGGGAATTTATCAAAATTGGTTCAAGCTTGTCGAAAAAAAACGAATCCAATTTTCCATGTTTTTCTAAGCGTTCCGAGGCTGGGAAAAAAGGCTTTTTGGTCGGATTTTGAAGTTTATGACTGGCTAGAGTTCTATGAATGTTTTTGTGGTCACAGGAAAAAATTTAGAAAATCAGATTAATCGAAAACTTTTGACTTGTCTACCGTAATAACTTTCTGCGGTCGTGACATGGTTTTTGGCGGGAATTCAAATTTGAAATGCGCTGGAAAAATTTTTAGTGGTCACTATAGAGGCTCGCCATGGACTACTTGGAGAGGACACTAAAGTGGTCACTAAAACCACCTCCATAGTGGCCTCTATTTTCCAAGCGAGTGACCACTATAGTCTATAAAGGTTCTTTATTTAGTGGTCACTTCAGTATTTTTTCATCCAGTATTCCTTCCAGTAACTCTGATAATTTTAAAACAAACAGATTGGACCAGTTATGTTGATCCACTGACCCCTAAAGTGGCCACTAAAACTTTAAGTGGTCTAATAATAGCGCTTAGGCCTCTACAGTGGCCACTAATTTTTAACCCCTAAAGTGGCCACTAATTTGACTACTATAGTGGCCACTAGAACGTCGAAACCCTATGGTGTCCACTAAAAATTCCCAATTTTCTCCCGCTCCAGTTTAAATTCATATCTCCCGCCAAAAACCGCAACAACTCTCTACCGTAACCTTTAAAATTTTCCAAAAAAGTCACTAAAACTCATCAGACAGCCTCTCTGATCTCTGCATCATCCTCCCTTACCCATTCTGAGAAGAAATCGGCCAAGAAGCCCCAAAACGGGAGCCAAACCCGATAATTAGCGTCTCTTTTTTTTTGTCTACTCCAACCTCAATACACATTTATACAAATCGGGGGAAAAACAACGTTATGCGCATAATTATCCCATACAAAAGGCGTCAATAATTTCGTTTCTCTCTTTTTTTTTCTCACGATGGGCCCAAAATAAAAATATGAGAAGCGGGTTCTCATTTTTTCTCTCGCTAACGAGTCATTCCTCGCCTTTTTTCGGTTAGAACCTTTCGTGTTTTGTTGATTCAGAGTCCAAAAATAGGAATTTCTTGTAAGTTATAGAAAATTCCAAAACTAAAACGGGAATTCATTTTACTTTGAGGTTCGGAATCTTCTACAAATTTGCTCAAACACTCTCTGAAGGTTTATATGAAGTTCCATCAAAGTTGCAACCCGTGCCAGCTTCTAGTTTTCAAGATAATAAATTTTGAAGGTCGAAAAATTTATACCTAAACTTAACTTTTTGCAACTTTAAAAAAATCCTATCTCAAAAAAACTAGAGATCTGAGCTGGTAGCGTCTATGGGGGATCTGCATCTAGGCATTCAGAAGGTATTCGAAAAAGTTTGCAGGAAAATACAAATCGCCAAGAAGAATGACCTCCCTTTTTAGGCCTAACTTCTTACCTTCAAAATTAATTATCTTAAAAACTAGAAGCTGGAGCAGGTTGCATATTTGTTGAAACTTCATATAAACCTTCAGAAATTTCTTGAGTAAATTTTAAGGAAATTCCAAACTAAAATGATCTCCTTGTGGGGTCAAACTCTGTGTTGAGCGCAACTTTAAAAAAATCATGATAACTAGAAAAAAAAACTAGAAATTTTCGTTGGTAGCGACTCTGAGGAATCTTCAACAAGACTTTGAAAAAGTGTTTGAGAGAATTTGTAGAAAATTCCAAGTTGCAAAGTAAAATGACCTTCCTTGTGAGCATCATTTCTATTTGATAAAAAAAACAAAGAGTTAAACTCCATATTTTTCCGATCAAATTTCTTCTCATTCAAAAAAAAAACTCATTTCTTCTCGCGCCAAAGAACGATTCTCCCGTTCTCAAAACAAAAGAAAGACCTTCTCTCAAATCAAAAAATGATTCAAGCGAAAAAAATAGAAAAGAGCCGGGACGCACGAAATTGCTCCAATCATGAAACAATTTCTGATCGTTTGGTGTTTTTCTGGACGTCATTCTATTTTTTCTCTCGTTTCAAAGAGAATTATGGCAATTTGAAACGTTATAAATGTAGAAAACTGTCAATTTTTTTCAAATAAAAAGTCGAGAAATCTTTTTTTTTCATTATATTTTAGGTTGATTTTCCGAAAAAGCTCTCGTTTCCTATACTTTATAACGATATTGGTGTTTTTTTTTCATTTCCATGAGACTCTGAACTTTTTTATTTATAAATTTGTGTCGCTTAAATCTAATTTACGGCTTTCCTGAGGTCCAAAATAGCACAGAGACGTGACTCTGATTTTTTTTTTTTTCAATTTTCTTTTTTGATCAAAATTTTTCAACATATCTTGAAAGCCAGGTGGAATGGCTTGACGCTTGGAAGTGTTTTTAAAGTGCGCCCGACCCAAAACTACTTTCGCTATGCTGCATCTAAAACCATTAGAGTAAGCTAGAGCCACTCTCAATGCGACCAAGGCATTTCAAGTAGAAAAATAGATTTTTCTGAAGATTCAAATGTTTCTCCAGTGGATCAACTCCCACAGAACTATCGCAGTGTTTTTAAAGTGCGCCCGACCCAAAACTACTTTCGTTATGCTGCATCCAAAACCATTAGAGCAAGGTAGAGCCATCCCCAATTCGACCAAAGGTAGAAAAATGGATTTTTCTGAAGAATCAAATGCTTCTCCGGTGGCTCATTTCTCACAGAACTATTTCAGTGAGTTTAAAGTGCGCCCGACCCAAAACTACTTTCGCTATGCTGCATCCAAAGCCATGAAGCAAACCGGAAAACTTCAAAAACTCGCGCTTCAAGCCATTCTAAATGCGACCAAGGCATTTCAAGTAGGAAAATGGTTTTTTCTGAAGATTTAGATGATTCTCCTGTGGATCAACTTCCCACAAATGACTAGGAAATTCCTCTCCCAACTCAAAAACATGTCTCAAATAATGTCATGTTGCAAACAAATGTGACTCTCAACTCATTATCCAACCTAATATTATTCATATTCCTCGAACTTCCGTTTCCCAGCACTCTCAGGACATCAAACGTCTCGCCACTCAACTTATTCCCTCTTCTAAGCTTTTGATTTTCCCTTTTTGGAATTTTTCATCAAGTGTATCGAATATTTTTGGACAGAAAAAATTAATTTGAACAATTTTCAAGGTCCGACGGTCCTCATCTCTACAAATTGTCCACCCGCCAGGTCCTCCCATCGACGAGAACAAACTTTCTGAGGTTGGGTCCAAATTTCAAGATTCTTATGATCGAAAAGTTGAGAATCCTGGAATCATTTCCTAGCCATAGTCGGAAAAGATGGAAACGGCTTCATAGAAATTTTCATTTTTGGGTGACAAAGGCTCCTTTTTTGCTGCCTTTTTGCGCCATTTCATCGGCTTTTTTGCACCCTTTTTGCTACCTCTCCTTTTCCACCATTTCTTGAGCCTTTAAAATCACAGAAAAACAAATGGAAGGCTCGAAAAATGGACTATTTTTGCTGCCTTCCTACAACCTTTTTGAGACTCTCCCTTTACTCGAGGAACCATTTTTCTTCTTTTTTTAACAGTTCTTTGATAACGTTATACTTTTCATGACTTTGAAAAGATTTAGTTGAACGAAAAATATAAAAACTTAATTTTGCGTTTGACCTCGAGCGCCCTGTCAAAAAGCCGCGTCGCGTACGCAACGCATCGCTCTTGCGAATCTACTCATCTTTTCCTTAATTCGGCAAAAATTGACCAAAAAAAGATTAATCATTCATTAAAAAAATCCTCAAAAGACCGCAAACCCTCATGAGCTTCTTTAAACCCCTAAAGGTCCGACTACAGCTGCCCCCCATAAAATCAGGGCAAACGCAAATTAGTTTTTTATCTTGTTGCTCGAGGGGAATGCGGAAACACTTGAAAGTCATTGAGGAGGAGCGGCAATCAAAGCAAAAACTAAACGATTCGCTCGCAGGTCTCTGCGATCTCGGCCTCCAGCAGCTTCTTCTCGCTCTACTCGGCCGACAACTCGGCGCTAAGCTTTCAGTCCGCCATGGTTAGGTAAGAGAACTATTTCGGCTTCGATAGAAGCAAAAAATCTCAAATTTCGAACTGATTTCTTCTCAGTTTCGCTATTAAATAGTTCTGAAGATCAATTTAGAGTGTTTTCGGCTCGGATTGAAGCAAAGTATGTCTATTTCGAACTGATTTCGTCTTTTTTTCGATTAAAAAGTTCAGGGGATAAGTTTAAAGTGTATTTTGGAGTTTCTTGTAACTTAAATAAGCATTTTATGAAGGAAAATAGTGGCAACCTGTCAAAAATTTCGTTCTAGAAACATGGCTCAAAAAATATTTACATGACACTTTTTATATCTCGCATTTCCAATGTAAACTGACTTGAAATCCATTTTTCGAAACTTTGAAAAACTTCAGAATTTCCGCAGGTAGAAGGTTAACAGGACCTTGATCTAGAAAGTTTTTATCCAAATAAACGGGAAATTATAAGCTTAACGGTTTTATAATGACCTCCCTCGTAAGTTTTCTCAAAAACCATTCTTGAGGAGAAATTTTTATCGGCCCCGGTTGAAGCTTTGTAAAACTTGGATTCCAAAAAAAGAAAAAAAAAACCGTGTTTTCGACTTATTTTCGACTAACAATGTGTACAAAAAAATCAGAAAAAATATTTTTGAACCTTCATAAATCCAAAAAAGACCTTGGGTTCATTAAATTGTACCTATTGATTCCAATATAAATGAAAAATAAACATTGAATAAAGAATGAATTTAAAATAATCAAACTTGAAAATTAAGGTATCGCTGTTGTTTCGGGTCGTGTCGCCTACGCGTTGGCGCCTGTGCTATCGGGGTCGTCGGAATGGGTATTTCAATACTAGGTAATTTATTTAATATTCTTAGCCATCTCAGAAACCTTCCCTCAACGTTTTCTGATCAAAAAAAAATCCTTTTCTTCCTTTTCGTAATCAAAAAAAGGATCAGAGAACTCTGAGAGATTAGCGATTGAAGCAAATTGAAGCATTTAGTGTGATAAATGGGTGAGCGAATAGTCGTTAAACCCTTTTTTTTTCTGGTGCGACAATATTTCCTCACATTTTCGATACGAAAAACCTGCACAACCTGGGAAAATTTTAGTGGCCTCTTTAGGGTTTTGACGTTTTAATGGCCATTATAGTAGTCAAACTAGTGGCCACTTGAGGAGTTAAAAGTTTTTGATCACTATAGAGGTCTAAGTGCTACTACTGGACCACTGAAAATTTTAGTGGCCACTTTAGGGGTCAATGGATCAGCATAACTGGTCCAATCTGTTTTTTTAAAATTATCAGAGTTACTGGAAGGAAAACTGGATGAAAAACTACTGAAGTGACCACTAAAACGTCAAAAAGGGGCCACTATAGAGGTCGGTTTAGTAGCCACTTCAGTGTCCTTAGCGAGCCTCTATAGTGGCCACTAAAAAATTTTCCCAGACTTCCTAGTTTTTGAGAATTTAGAACTCAAAAAGGCCTAGATTTTCGACTTTCTATTGGACTTTTTCAAAAGTTACGCAGGTTGAGGCTTTAAAGATCTGTTTCTGGTAGATCTAGAAGCATTCTGGCCAATTTTCAAGAAATTCCCAACCTCAAAATAAAATGACCTTCCTCGTCAGTACCACCTCCTGAAGTCACAACTTCTTTTTACACGTTTTTTCTCAAAAAAAAAAGGCAAAGGATTTCTTGAGATCTTAACTATATTTCTTGATCTGTCTATAAATCCTCAATAACTCATAAAAAGGACAAACTATTCCAGCCCTATGCACGATGCTGTCTCTTTCGGCTGAAATGTCGGAAGAAATGCAAACCCAACTGACGGCTCCGGTGGTCCTCGCCCTTCTTCAGTTCGCCTCGGCGATGCTTCTTATCATTGGAGTCCTGATCGGCTGTCACTTCCTTCTGGCGCCCTTTATCCTCACCTGTGTAAGACTCATCATTTATACTTATTTAAATCTAAGAAAATTCCCCGGAAGGCACTAAAAAAAGTTCTTGGAGTTGTAAAAAATTTTATATTCTTGTCAAAAAGTTCTAGATGACTGTACAACTCTCTGGCTTCTGCCCACTATACAGGGAAAATTTTTAGCGGCCACCATAGGGTTTTGACGTTTTAGTGCCCACTACAGTAGTCAAATTAGTGGCCACTTAAGGGGTTTAAAGTTAGTGGCCACTATAGAGGTCTAAGTGCTACTACTAGACCACAAAAAAATTTAGTGGCCATTGGATGAAAAACTACTGAAGTGGCCACTAAAACGGAAAATAGTGGCAACTATAGAGGTGGGATTAGTGGCCACTTTAGTGTCCTCTCCAAGTAGTCCTTGGCGAGCCTCTGTAGTAGCCACTAAAATGTTCCCAGTAGTCCCTTCGCCTTAAAAAGATTTTCTGATTTCTCTGCCCTCTCCTATTTACACACCATTTCTTGTTTTCATGGGAAAGGAGACGCAGACAGGTCAGAAAATTCCGAGTAAGATTTTTCAGACGTTAAAAGGTTGGCGTTAGCCAGTCATGTATAACATTTCCATAAAATGACCACTTCAGGGAGCAAGTCTGTTTGCCTGCGTGCTGGCGAGTGCTTGGGCGGTGGTCCGACGGCACTCTCTGCCGCCTTCCGTACTGCCGATGGTCCTGCTCACGGCCACCGGCATCGGACTTCTCTACTTGTGGTTCCTGGCGATCATCACCATGACTTTCGTCTTAATCAGGGATCGGAAACGAATGGGGTCAGTCAACATTTTTTGCTCTCCACATCTTTCTCTCTGCTCTCTACATGATATTTCCATATTTCTATAATCTTATCGGAGAGGGAAAAGAGAGCACAGAGAAATCAGACAGCTTCAAGTCGAATGTGGAACTTGCAATGGTCTCTTTAGTTGTGATTCCCAGAAAATCTGATAAAACCCCCAAAATGATCAGTATGATTTTTAAAACCTCTGAACTCTTGTTAATTTGTATTTAAGAAGTAAGTAGCTTTTTAATACTTAGAAGTGGTAATAAGAGGGGCCTTAAAAGCTGCCAGTAGTCATTAGCTCATTAAGTGAATGAAAAAGTAAAAAATCTCAAAAATCTTCTGAAGTGGCCCCTATAGCGTTTACAATGGTGAGAATAAACTGATCTAACTTTCTTTGCTCCAAAAATATTCAAAAAGTCAGCTAGAGCTATGATTTTTTTTTTTTTGAATTTTTCTCTTAAAAAAACAGTTTTCAGGTATGGCGATGAATCCGACATTGAGAATCGAAACTTTGAACGCGCCAGTAGTTCAATCGTCTGATATAATTTTTTTTTTAATTAAACAATTTCCTTTTATTGCCTTGGTTGCACGTGGAATGGCTTAAAGGGACGCAAATTTAAGACTACAATGCTTTCCGATGCGACAGCGCGCAAACCGTTTCAGGTCGGTCGCAATTCAAAAATTGAGCCATTCCCCATGCGATCATAAAATTCCTATTTTGCATATCTTTCATTATTCTGGTAACCACGGTTTTCTCAAGTCTCTCACGGGTTCAAATCTACATCTTAATAATTTTTTTGCTAAAAATAAAGATGTTCCAAAAAAAGAATTCCAATGTGTCATGTGAGCAAAATATCAAGTTGCGCCAATTCATTGCCCCCCACAGGAAAAAAAGGGAACAAATTGACGCAAAACGTCTACAATTTCACACGCGTTTCAAAAAAAGAAGCTTTTTCTCGTTTTTTGAATTCATTCATCTGAATTTAATAGATATTTTCATCTTTCCTATGCAAGTTACTGATGGAAAAACTTTGATAGCTTGGTTTTCATTTTTAAAAGGTTTGAAAAATCAAGCGGCAACTCAAAGAAGAAACCAAGTAAGTGTTCACTCAAGGGGTAACTTCCTAAATTGCTACATTTTTGATTATCGATCTCATAACTTTTTTGGCGACTCTCCAAAAGAAAAGAGCTCATTTCGAAAAAAACCCCCTAAAGTTGTCTCTTCAACTAGCTTCCCTTGAGTAATTTTCTACGTTTCCTGATATCTATTAGAGACTTCAAGTGTAGATCCTTTGCAAATAAGTCATTTTAGTGACCACTTGAGTTGCCTCTTCAGGGACCACTTAAGGCTCCTTTCTAAGTTTTTCCTCAAGCTTGGATAGCTTGTAAAGAAGCCCTCTTTCTGCGGCATGAACTGTCTTTAAGGGACCACTTGAGTGACTTCTTACAGATTTCATTTAAATGACAACTTGCAGCTCTCTTTTTCCAACTTTTTTTTTGAAGCTCTGCAAAATTTTCTGCACCTCCCACTCTCCTCGTGATACTAAGTAATGATTCATTAAAATCCCATCTCAAGCAGAATATCCCGCTCTTTTTTGTCGTCTAATTACTCCACTCAGTTGTCACATGATTCATTTCGCAATGACGCAAATCGGGGCGAAAAAATCGTCTCATGGGCTTTTTTGAGGCGTTTCGAAACGTACTGAAACTCCCATCGTCAAATACTTGGGCAAACACGTTTGCTTCAATATATCCCAGTTCAAATAAGGCCCCGGGCGGTTTGAAAAGTCTCATTCCAACTGAAAAAAACGGGCTTCGTCGTCGTCATGTTCGTGGAAGCGGTGAGGATTTTTTCAATTTTTGAGGCATCTTACTGAGGAATTCCAGAGTGGTCCCTATAGAGATAAGGGAGAAAACAACGGATTTAGGGACCGGAAAAGTGGAGGGAACCCTTCAAGGGGCCCTAAGATTGCCTCTACTGGGACCACTCTGGAGTTGCCAAGAAAGAAACTTTTCAGAATTTGGAGCTTCTAGTTGTTCCTGAAAATGTTAATAGTGATTCCTCCAGTGCTCTTGAGCCGAGTGACTGCTATAGGAGTAGAATCAGAAGAGCCGAAGTGGTCACTTAAATGAAGCTTCCCGGCAAAGTTATTCTTCTTGAAAGAATCTAGGAATCAAAAGGGGACAGAAATAAGAAACTCCGATTTTTAAGAAATTTTCTTGTTAGTAATGAATACCTAAAGTGATTACTAGGATGTTTGGAATGAGCATAAGAATTTTAGAGTGGTCCCTAGAGGGCTTAGGAGGTAAACAACCACTACAGGGGCCGGAAAAAGGGTCCCTTTAGGGATAAAATCAAGGTGGTCCTTATAGGGATTTAGGGTCTGACCCCTTAGTCTCTAAAGCTTAAGTGGTCTCTATAGGGGTCTTTCAATTTTATTCAAAAAACGCTTATTTATTTAGTCTTTCGCATGGAAATGCTTGATCGACTAGCATGTCCCCTATAGGGATCTTTTTTAGAAGCTTCAGTGGCCCCTATAGGGGTTGGTAAAGTGGTCCCTAGATCCCTGAGGTTACCTCTATAGGGAACAATCTGGATATCCTAAGTTCAAAAACTTTTAAGTTATAGGATTATTTTGAAGCTAAAACCCATTTCACTCCAATCTGATTTTTCTTTTCCAAAAACGAAGCTCCTGAAAGTGGTGACCACTATAAGGACCACTTCACCACATTTTTATTCTATTTCAAGACTTTCAGAACGAAAAACGCTACGACACCCTGCGGCCTTCGACCTCAAGCTTTGAAGCTTCACAAACCGATCTAGAATGCCAGGTTGTTTTATTGATTTTTTTTTCAATCATCTTGAATCAAAAATACAGGCGCAAAAGATCGAGGAGATCAGAGGCCGAAAATTCTGTTGCAAATCGGCTTCGCCGAAATTCGTGGCCAACATGATCGTGGTACTGATGCTTCATGAAATCGTTATCGGTGGGCTTCTTATTTAATTATTTTACTGTGAAAATGCTACTAGTTCTAGAACACCTTTTCATTGACTATTTGCTCTGCAAGGCTTGAATTAAAATTAAAAAAGAAAGTTAAAAAAAAAATACAGAAAGAATTGGCAAACTGCGGTCAAAATTAAAGGCGCTTGGGTCACGCTCCAAGTTAGACATTACCACGTAACGTTTTTTTTTTGGCGACGGCCCGGCCATATTTTTTCCGTAAAGTTTAGCGTGTCGTGTGCATACACTGCGGCGCTCTGGCACACGCCGCGCTCCTTTTAATTTTTTTAGTTTAAAATCATATCTGAATTTATAAAATTTAGTTATATTTTTAATTTCTCGAGGCTATTTTATAATTTCGCGGAACTACTTTCGACACGGAATGTGTTCAAAAAAAAAAAAAAATCGCGTTTTTTTCGAAATGAGAAATAGATTCGTCTCGGGACCCATTGAATGCGCCTTTAATATTTCCTGTTTTTACGCGTTTTTCCCATGACGTCACATGGGAACGGCGAAGGTTTTGACCACGCCCCCTTAATTTTCGGTTTTGCATTTTCTCCCACTGATAAAAATGCCGTGGTGAATCGTCCAAGGTAGTTATGGAAAAAAAGCTTAAAAATTGATTTTACAAGTGCGCTCCATTGAGAAACGTCTATAATTGGCTGGCCACGCCTCTTTTGAAATCAATTTTCATTTTTTTTTTGTTGGATTTGGCTATAACGACTTTTTCAAAGAAAACTAAATAAATCCAACATAGTCTCTAAAAAGCCTGGCTAAAAGTGAAGTTATTAAAAATTCAAAGGCAATCGAACCTCATTTCTCTTACATCTTCGAACTTATAAATCCCCAGAAACACAAAAGGATGAAATTACCTAAGAGGAAGGAACGCGCGGGCAAAAGTTCTCAGTTTCTTCCACATAATTCAAAAGTTCTATTGTCTGAGGCTCCTTCTAGGTATTGTCTAAGGTCAAAAAGTTCCTTTTCAACTGCATTATTCAGCTTTTTGCATACGTAGGCTGAATTTTTGATGGATGCGCTCCTCAGAGAAGATGGAAATTATTGATGTAAATTTCAAATAAACCAAAAACCTTTTAGTAGGAAATCGAAGGTTCAAAAATGAATTTTAACGACAAAATATCGAAATTTGGAATTTTTTCGCCGATCGTGAAAGAATTTTTCTTGAATACCGGCCGATTCGACAGCATTAAAAAAGGAAGCAGCTTCAAAAAAAGCCGCTGAAAGAGTTCCGTTGCGTCATTTACCAAGCCTCTCAATTTTTTTTTAGGATGCAACAAAAAGAGTCAACATCGGGTGATATAAGGGCGCAAAAAGGATCACAAAAGGTTGATAGAAGGGCGCAAAAAGGGTCACAACAGGTTGATAAAAGGACGCAAAAAGGGTCACAACAGGTTGATAAAAGGGCGCGAAAATGGTCACACTAGGTTGATAAAAGGGCGCAAAAAGGGTCACAATAGGTTGATATAAGGGCGCAAAAAGGGTCGCACTAGATTGATATAAGGGGCGCAAAAAGGGTCGGAAAAGGTCGATGAAAGGGCGCAAAAAGGGCCACTATATGGTGACAAAAAGTGCGCAAAAAGGGTCATAATAGGTTGATAAAAGGGCGCAAAAAGGGTCGCACTAGATTGATATAAGGGGCGCAAAAAGGGTCGGAAAAGGTCGATAAAAGGGCGCAAAAAGGGTCGGAAAAGGTCGATAAAAGGGCGCAAAAAGAATCGGAAAAGGTCGATAAAAGGGCGCAAAAAGGGTCACAAAAAGTTGATAAAAGGACGCTAAAAGGCCGCAAAATGGAGCCCTTTTCCACCTTATTAGGAACAGTTCTTGGACACCACAGGTGCTGATGAGACTGTTCATTGTTTTTTACTTGTTTCTACAATTTAATCGGATCGGGTCAGCCCGGTGCAACTGATACAAACCACGGGACTACCCGGGGCTTGGGCAGTTTTGACAGGAACCTTAGTGTAGTGTCCGACTTTGTCAAAAAAAATTTTAGACTAGAAACGGGCGTTCTGTTATTATTCTCATTGTTAAGGTTCCACAGTTCCTAACCTAATTTATTGGCTTTTTCTTGAGTTGGATCGTAGCGCAGCAGGTTGTGTGTCTGCCTACGGTTCGAAGGGTCACAAGTTCGATCCCCGCCGCGACCCAACAAAGGGTTCAAGAAATGTTATTAACTTTATTGATTGGATTTTTTGAGTTAGATCGTAGCGCAGCAGGTTGTGTGTCTGCCTACGGTTCAAAGGGTCTCAAGTTCGATCCCCGCCGCGACCCAACCAAGGGTTCAAGAAATTTTGTTATGGCAAGGACGGGAATTTCACTAGAGCCAGTTCATTGATCAACACTGATATCAGAAAATGACCTTTCTTTATGCGGTTAAAAGAAGAATAACAGAGAATTGGTTCATTTTTTCTTCAATTTCAAACACCAACCTTTGCAGGCCTGGTCGTGGCCACCCAGTCCGACGACGAATGGTGGAGAAGCGCCCCATGGACGGTCATCCTCGTCTGTCGGCTGCTGCAGCTCCCGGCGGCGGCTTTCGCCCTTTTCGGGGTCTATCGGAACAGCGCTTCCTACTTGATTCCCTTCATGTTGTCCCAGGTTCCTGAACTTCTTTTCTCAATTTTTTTTTCTATGTACAGGTATTTTCATGAATTTTTGCAGGTAAAGCCCTTTTGAAAGTACCTAAAACCCTTAACCCAAAAGATGAAAAACCTTGTCGAAAAAATCAAAAGTTTGAAAGTAATTTTTTTTGGATTTGGAGCCAAATGGAACTCCCTTACCAGAGAATGGTCTCCGGTCGCAGTGGGACCCCTGAATGAGACCAAGTCTTAGATGTAGTTTTTCACGCTGATTCCAAATCTAGGCTCAAAAAATGCCGAGGAGTGCTGTGAAAAAAGTTCTATGCTACAGAAGAACGAAATCTACAGTAACGAGAATGGGTGAGGCAAAAAACGGTTTTTCAACGATAACTCCGCTGAAATTTCGCAGGAATGTATTAATCAGAGTGACCAACAATATTGCAAAAAATAATCATCCTACTCGGAGTCAAGGCTGAGACCCCCCGAAACGCCTTTGACGAACTCATCGACTCCATGCCACGTCGATGTCAGGCGGTTCTTGATGCAAATGGTCATGCAACAAAATATTAACTCTATTTTTCAGATTTTTTTAATAAAATGTACTCATCATATATTTTTCCTTCGCTTGTTTATTGTTGCACAGCAATTTTTCGTATTTCATGAATTTTTTTGAAAAAATTTTTTCTCCGCCTTGACTCCGAGTAGGATGATTATTTTTTTTGCAATATTGTTGGTCACTCTGATTAAAACATTCCTGCGAAATTTCAGCTCAAACCAATCAATTTCAGCGGGAGTTATCGTTAAAAAACCGTTTTTTGCCTCACCCATTCTCGTTACTGTATATACCCCCTGAAAATAAGCTCCGGAGACACTGGAATTTTCGACATTTGAGGGTCCGTAACTTTTTTCGCAGATCTCCTCGGCAATTTTCAAGACCAGTTTTGGAATCAGCGTGAAAAACTAGATCTTGGTCTCATTGAGCGACCAGAGACCATTCCCTGGTTAATAGAAATTCCATCATTCCACTCAAGAAATCACTCAGAAAACCCCCTTAAGATCTCACTCGGGAGCTACGCGGACCTTCACTCCTACATGCACGTCGTCTCACGTCATCGCGCCACGAAACCATCCAATATTTTCTTCTCTTCGCCTCTTCTTTTCCTTGTTTTACCCATTTTAATCTACGCTTTGGCTCTGATCGCTTTTATTTACGCCATGTATCAGGCGATCCGATTTATCAACATTAAAAGGATGGGAAACGATGTGAAAGTGGTGGTCGATGAGGTGAACGACGAGTTTTTGTTGTAACTATACGTCTTCAGAATTTTCTGAAAATTGGCTGGAAACTCTCAAAGTACTCAGAAACGGCAGAGTGGTCCCTAGAGGGATTAGGGGAGAGACAGCCTTTGTCAGGTTGAAATAGTGCTCCCTGTAGGGGCAAATATAGAAAGTCTGATACCTGAGCCTCAAAAGTCCAAGTGGCCCCTCAGGGGTCTTTTTCTTTTTTGTCCAGATTTGAAAATTAATAAGACGTGATCAACTTTTTCAAAAATGCTAATTTATTGAATTTTTTCGCATAGAAACTATTTTTCTCATAGAGTTCATAACAATAAACGACTAGAAATTTTCCCTAGAGTGCACTTGTTTTAAACTTTGTAAGCTTAAGTGTCCCCTACAGGGGTAGGTGCACCTAAAATTGCCCCTCTAGGGGTCACTGTAGAGTTCTTAACAACTAGAAAATTATCCTGGAAATCTCATATTGCCATTTTTTTAAAAAAATACTCTCTAAAGTCTGTTTTTTTCTTGAAAAATTTAGTGACCGATTTTTTTAAAAAACGTCCGTTCTTGAAAAATTAAGGATTTATGTAGATTGGAACTTTCTGAGTATCTATCCAGCTCATCTAAAAAAATTTGAAACATTTTTCAGAAAATTCTAGAAAAAAACTCAATCTTCTGTGAGGCGATTACATTGAAAAATCTTTCCGTTTTCAAAAAAATCACCTCTTTCGACCACCTTTTGTAAGATTTATTAATAATAAAGTAGTATTTCGATTCATTTACAATTTCAAAAAAACTTCTACAATATCCATTTCTCTTTCAAAAATAAACTTCATTCCCTGAACCTTTCCAAAAACTTTTTTTTTCGAACTTTTTTCAAAAATAAAGCTTTTAAATTACATGTTGACGTGCTCTCAACGCATTCAAACCATTGCCATAAATAAAAAAAAAAGCGAAAAATTTTGCTCATTGATGTATAATTTTCAATTTCCTATCCCCTTCTCATCATGGGTTCATATAAAGGTTCATTTGAAGGACCATAGTTCGTATTTATTTATTATGAACACTGCAAACATCTTTTTTTCTGGTTGGATTGAGGTAATTAGGGGCTTGAAAACTCTGCAAAAAGGCAAAAAAAAAAACTCAGAAAACTGTTTTTTTTTCAAAGTAACTTTTGATTTCAACTGGAAAGTTTCACAAAAATCTCAAAATTCGAAAAATAATTTATACAAACAAAATAAAACTCGTTCAGCAGGAAAAAAAAAACACGGTTTTAAAAATGATAAAAATCACAGTTCAGCAAATGATATGAATTGGGGCAAAATGTTCGAGGATTTCTAGATAGGAGGAGTGATCAACGGCGGCCTGAAGAGACGTCAGAGAAGCTAGATTTTCTTTATTTCTTTGGAATCTCTTCAGATTGCCTGTACAATCTCGCTTTAAAAGCTCAAAACGAATGAAAGCAAGGAAACATCGAGGATATGGAGAGAGAGAGCAGAGATTTCTCTCTTACTATAGCCCCTCTTCGTATCGCACACTCTCTCGCTTTACAAACTCAACAAAATTGAAAGCGGGGAACAGCAGTATGGAGAGACACTAGAGAAAAAGAAAAACTCTGGTTTCTCTGCCGTCTCTCCCATCGACCATACTCTCTGGCTTTACAAGTTTAAAACAATTGAAAGCGAGGGAACAGCGGGGATATGAAGAGACACTAGAGAAAGACCGAAAATCTGAATTCTCTGGCGTCTCTTCAGGCGGCCGTTGATCTTTTCTAACAAAAAGTCCGACGTAGAGTTTCATAAGATCAATGAAAAAGTTCAAACTTCTAGAAAAGTCATATGCCCGTAAATCAAAAGAGGGGGAAGATATCGATTCAATGATTACAGGAGCTGATCACCAGCTTGATAGTCGTCCAAGGTGTCGCTTGAGGGGTTTTGGGCGGGGCTTGGGGAGTTTTGGTTGAGAACGAGTGTAGAATTAGTACCTGTCTGGAAGGGCCGCGTTTTTTCTTGCGTCAGTGGGGCGATCTGAAAAAAATGATACTTATTTTTAACCTGATTTTCGCTATGTTTTCTTCAGAGAATCTCAATTTTTCTTGTGAAGGCTAAAGTTTTTCGACCAATTATTTGAAAAAATCGAAAAGTTTCGTAGAAGAAGTAAGAAAAATGACGGATTTTCAAGAAAAATTTCAATTTTTAAGGTCGATTTTCTATCAGAATGGGAATCTATGTGTAATTTATCTTCACAGCTGTCGCTTTTTGACCCGCTATTTATTTTGAAAAGCTGCAAAAAAGCCAAATTCATGTCCCCAAGTGCGCTCTAACGCGAAAAAAACCTCAAAATGTGAAATCTTTTTTTGGATCTTCCCAATATTTTTTTCATTGTATTACTGAAAAAAATTTTTTTAAATCGCAGTTGATCAAAAAAATTATTTATCCCTCCAAGTTCCTTTTTCAATACCCCTTCTCCACATTTGAAACATTTTTTTACATTAGAATTACCCAGGCAATTTCCGCATCACATTTACCCTTTCCCCTTTTGATAATTATGCAATTTCCTCTTTCAATTACCTCGGTGAAGTTGGAAGGGTAGGCGACCATTTTGTTCTTGTTGGTCGACAGAGTTCGGCTGAACAACGCCGTGATGGAGGTGCGGAACTGCGGATTGAACCACGAATAAATGATCGGATTCAGAACGGCAGAGCACATGGCGCAAACGTGTGCCAGGCCAAAAACCTGCAAAAATAAGGCTCGATTGGAATATGAGGCCATTTTTTGAATTTTTCAAAGTTTGGGAAGGGTTTTTCGATGTGTTAACGGTTGAAGCTTGACAATTCTCTTGATTTTTCATAGGTTTGACTGAAAAATTCCTTCAGAAGGATCCGAAAATGGGAAAATGCTTTTTGCACTATTTCCCCAGCCTCGGAAGATCCTTTTTGAATCCCCCCTTTCCCAAAAATCTCGAAAGAGAGAACTAATTAAAATCCGAAAATCACAACAATTTTTCGATGCGATGAAAAAATTTTTTTTTATAGTGCATTTCATGAAATATCTCAGTTCGCACACCTAAAAAAACTTTTTTTTTTGTCAAGTCCCCCTCCCAGTTTGCGGCCGAACCGAGGTTATTCCAAGTATGTTACAATCTTGTAGTAAAAAAAAGTCATGTAAAAAGGAAATATCATACATCTACAGATCGCAGGTCTCAAAGCGAAGCACGAAAAAAAGCTCTGTATACTGTAATTCATCTCATTTTTAATCTAGAACGTGACAAGCTCGCGTGGAACACTAACAGCACCTTGATAAAATTGATGAGAGAGAATTCTTCTTTTTTTAAACCCATTCTGGAAACGTATTCATTCCTTTTGACGCTCTTTTTGGGTCATTGGGCTATTGATTCGGGAAAAGTAATAAACTGACACACGGCTTGAAAGAATTTCATCCATGAGTTCTGAGATGATAATGCCATATTGTAGAGTTTTCCACTACGTTCTAAAAATACTCAAAAGTTTACGAAAATTCCTACTTTTGGAGAAAACAGTTGAGATACGTTCCTTCTTCTTTTGCAGCAAACTTGCTCTATGGACAAAAATTTTTGTCCTTTTGAGTCGGATAAAATTCTCTTTCATACGGGCTTCTGACTAGGATAAAACTGTAAGATTTTGGGAGCTTGTTGGAACTAAGATTACGGTGAGGGACTTTGTGTAAACCGGTCACGAGGTGTCTAGGTACAAAGTTGTATAATTTACCTTAAATTAAGATTTTTGGATATTGTCAAGTGGAATTGCTAACTTTTAGGCTTTTTAAAAAGATCTGAAATATAAAAATTTATGTTTCAGGATTCAGTTCTATGCCTTCGAAAATGAGCTCAGGACCATATTTTTCAGAAAAGGGGACATTTTTTTTTTCATTTTCTTTTCTCAAAAACTCACCGACCAGTCTTCTCAAACATTTTCAGGCTTGATTTAGAATACTTAACTTTTCTTTCATCTTCCATTTCGAAACTTCTTTATTTTCCTTCAAAAACACTACTAGGCTTTCTGAATAACTATGCTATCGACAGAACTTCGATGATTCTCTACTAAAGTGCTATTTTTTGTCTTTCTCTGAAAAAAACTCACCGTCGAGTACCACTGAGTCTGCGTAAAATTGGTCAGGTCCCGATAAAGATTGATCGCGTTCAAAGGCATCCAGGCCACGATAAATCCCAGGACCATGACGATCATCATCCGGTTGGCCCGAGTTTTTCGGCTCACCAACTTTTCCTCGGACTCTGGCCGAAGTTTGTGGCCTCGCCGTCGTTCCAACTGGTTCGACATCACCTGAAATCTCTCAATATTAAATTCTAAATTAAGTTATAAGGTAAACCCTGCTGATCATGTAATAACAAATGGAGGAGATAACAGCCGGGATGCCAAACTGGAGAAGAAGTACAGAGAGACCGTAAAACCGGCGAATGTCCGATTTTCCCAGCTCTTCCGAGTAGTCTGGCCTGCAAAAAGTTTGGCTAAGCTTCATTCTACTAAAAAAAAAATACACGTAGACAATAAAAAGAAGCTTGAAATTACATTCTTTTTTTTGAAAGGACAGCGAAACCGTTCAATTTAACACCCAAGTGTTCTCAAATCAAGGCTAGAATTTCGAAGTTCGATTCAGGAATTTATCAATATTTAAAAATTCAAGAAAAGGTCCTCTAAAAGAATAATTTTCTGGAATTTTGGCTTTTTTTTCAGAAAAGCTTTCAATTAATTCTATCAGTCTTTACATACCGTATTTTGCCTCTACCACAGAAATTATCAATAAATTGATCAATAAATGGTTTTCTAACTGAAAATTCTTTTTCAGAGCAATAATGAATTTCTTAATTTCTTCAGTACAAAAGTAAGCCCATTTTTTTTTGACTGTAAAAGTGAAATTTATGTATTTTTCTTTTTCAAGTGATATAATTCTACTGTCAGCGGGTGAAAAGAGATGATTGGACTGTAAACCATTGAAAAAATAAATTCAAAGTACATCTTTGAAAAAACATGCTGAAAAACGCGGAAAAATACTTTTTTGCGGAGCATGGAAATCCAAAAATGCGCGGAACTTGGCCCATCTTGCAGACCCCTTGAAAAATTATCTCACCACTGTTCCTCACAGAACGACCCGCAGATGCCGTCGTAGCTGACGATGCCGCTGTAGATGCCCACGGGCAGGGCCAACGAGTATCCTAGAACCCAAATTGCCACCACCGCCGACGTTGCTCTTTGAAAGTTAACTACCTGAAAATTATAGCCTTTATCGAATTTTCAGCTCGAACAGTCGGTTTAAAAAATGTGGCAAAGCTTCGGTGGACTTTAATTATAAATATTTTTGAGGTAAAATGCTCCCTTTCTGCTCGAAATTTGAAAAAAGGTCAAAAAACTTCTCATAAAAAAGCTAAATAATTTCTTTTTTCTATTTCGATTCCAAGATTTCCTATAGTTCAAAAATTTGCACGTAGAAGACTTAAAAAAACGTCATTTTCGATAATTTTGAGCTCCAGAAGACTAATGAATCTAATTTTTTTTAAGTTTTTGATTTCAAGGCTTCCTAAAGTTAAAAAACCTGCATGGAAGGCAAAAAAACTGAAACTTCTTGATAATTTTGAGTTTCGAAAGACTAATAAATTAAAAAAAATTTTTTTTTTTCAAATCGTATAGCTTCATAGTACCCAGATTTCTCCGGATTATGAAATTTTCCGTAATTTTATTTGTCTATTTTCAAAGTTTCACAGCTCAAGTTCCACTCAAACTTTTAGAAATGTTCTTTTTTTTTTTCAAAACAATCACCATTGATTACCTCTCGATTAGGTTTCAGAATCAAGATGCAACGATCCAAGGCGATGACCGTCAAGGTGAAGGAGGACACGAAAATGCTTCCGCCCTGAAAGATTCTCCGTCTAAATTTCTATTTTTTCGTGTCAATTTTTCTCAATTTTTTCATTCTCCAGGCTGATTTTGTTCGGGAATCCAATTTTTTTTCTTTTTGACCCAAGGATCCTTCACATTTTGAATTTCCCGGATCCTCCGTTCCTTTTTTCATATCATCTTCTAGCCACCCATATCTCAAGAATATTTTTCTCCTGATTAAATATTTTACATCGCATGTTCGTTAATAAACCATTAAAAACATAAAATATAATAATTTATCCCCCGTTCCAGCTACCTCTAAAGAAAAAAATCAACTGGTTGTTCCGCTTGAGCTATTTTTTCTACATGAGAGGTTTGGATTTCGTTTTTTTGCTTTTCAGAAAGTGATATTTAGAAAGAAATTAGATACCTGACAAGGTTGACACCTGGAAAATGCAACGGAAAGCTGGGAAAATTCGGAAAAACCTCACTTTTCACGTTATCATGTTAGGACTGCAGGAACCAAAGAAAATAAAACCAAAATTTTGAAAAGTGATTTTTTCATTTTTTTTTTATCAGTTAACTAGGCTCAAAGCAGACATCAAACTCATAAAAATTCGGAAAAAAAAATCCTCCTTTTTTCGTTTTTTCTCCACCCCCATGACAACTTTTTGACCTGAACTGAACAAAAATATGAAGCGAAAATAATAATGAAGGCAAAAGCAACACGATGCTCTCTTCATCTCATGTTTCGCCACATGACGAGTCGGCCCAAAATTCCCATCGCGATTTTAATTAACTTTTTGGTTTCTTGATGACACCCGAGAAACGCAGAATATTATGTAGTTATGGGATAGAAAAAAAGTCTTCCTATAAAAATAATGGTTGGTTTTGAAACGGTTCAACGAAGTTTCACATGAAAAATTTATGTTTTTTTATTTTTTTATTATGAAAAGGTACTCTTCTAGACTTCAAAATTTTTCAGATTCCAAACCCAAAGAATGGACTGAACCATAATAAATGAAAAAAACGTTCTGGAAAAAAAAAATCATTAAAGACGCGAGAAGCTTCTTCCAAGGTACTATTCTCGAAAAGGAAGATACTTTATCGTTCAATTTTTTTTTTGGACTTTCTTGGTCATTTTTTTAAACATTTGCTACTCTCTTGAGAGGTGTTTTCCAAAAAAAAAAAAAGTGCTAAAAACGGTTACGAAAGTCTTTTTTCTTAAGAACCTTTGAAACTTCCTTCCAAGCTAATATTTACGAAAAAAATGGCTCTTTCTCGAAATTCATTTTATTTTTTTTTGAATCACTGACTTTTTCCGGCAACTTTTCTTCGATTTTTCTGACCTCCATCTTCAAAAAATCATTCAGAAAAGACCTTTTTTTCCGAGATTTTTTTCGTTTCGGACCATCTCAGCCAGAGAGAAAGAATGCAAAAATCTTCTTCCAAGCTTTTTTTTTTCTTCTAATTTGAAAACACCATTTTTGGCTTAATTCCTTGAATTTTTCTGCCCGCTTTTTGAAAGAACCTTTTTTGGAGAATTCTGGGAAAAAAATTTTTTTCAGTTGTAAAATGTTTTATTTTTTTTCTTTCAGAAGCTCCTTGTAGACCAACTCAGCCAAAAAGATACAAGAAAGGAAGCGAATTTCTCTCTCTTACTCATCCCAGAAAACTTCCTTCTTGCCCAGCAAAAAAAGGGCTAATACTGTTTGTCGCAGAGAAAGAGTGCAAAAAGTTGAGGGATTGGGGAGGAACCTGAAAGACGCCGATGAGCTTGCAGAATATCGGCGGGAAGATCCATATTCGGGCAAAAATGGACACGGCGGTGACGGGCAACGAGAAGAAACACATGAGGAGGTCCGAGGCGGCCAGGCATCCCACGAAAACCGTTCGCACCGAGAGGGAGACCTACAGAAAAAAGAAGATGATTTTAGTGTCACTTTTTTTCTATAAGTATGTTGAAAAAAACTACAGTATACTGAGCTTTTTTTGGAGGCTTCGTTTCGAGACCCGCACATTTGCGCCTTCGCTTCAAGACCTTTTTATCAGAAAGTGTACGATATTTTTGGTCGAAAAACCGAAAAATAGTATATAAATATATTTCTGGAGAAAAAAATGATTACTAGATGAAAATCTACGGCAAAAAAATCGACCAAAAAGTGCTAAAATAATGGAAATTTTTTTGCTGGTTTCCTTATTTTTTTCATTTCTCAGATGAAGAATTATTGTTTTTTTAAAAATTTCAATGGCATTTTTCTTGTTTTATAAAAAAATTCGAGCCAAAAAAAGTTTTTAAAAAAATATAAATTTCAAAAAAACTTGCTCGGTGAGTCTCAAAATCTAAATTTTTGAACGACTGAGGTCAGGTGGAGCATGAAAAGCTAGATTAAAATTTTTTCAAATTTTTTTTTTCGTCTGAGTTTTCCCTTTTCAAAACGCATTTTCACCCCTTCCAAATGCCAAAACTTTATTTTTTTTTCACCTTCCCGAAATCACCAGACAACAAAATTCGGTCGATAATCACTTTCGAAGCGGAAAAAAAAACCGCGTGGGAGGAAAATGGAAAATTTTTCAGCTGCAATGGACTAATTAAAAAGTTGTTGTTGAGATGATAAATAAGAGAAGTTCACAGATATACGATGGAAAAATTGAAGATCAACTAGGAAAGTTCTTCGATACTTCAAGAGAGGTTCATAGTTCACACGCACTTGAAGGAAAAACTCTTTCTTTGAGAAGCTTTTTTCGGAATTTTGTGACTGAAGTTTGTAGTTAGGAGTCAATTGCTATAGTTCATTTTTATAAAAACATTTTAGCCTCTGTCTTCTTTTCTTCAAATTTCTACACTTTTTCAATTCAGAAACGGAATTATTTAGCATTGGCTCAAGTAAAAAAATGTTTTTAAAAAGGCTTTTAATATAATTAAATGAATGTTTCAGATGTATCTTTGGTATTTCTTGGCCTAAGTTAATAGTGAAATTCATCACTCGCTTCTCAAAGAAAAGGAATATTTTTTTCCTGACTATCATTTAAAAATTGCGCGTGAGCGTGCGCATTGGCCGTAAGCCGATCTCAAGTATATGATTTTTTAAACTTTGGGAATAGGTTTCTCAGCAACCGAGGGGTTTTCTGAGACTTTATTCAGATAATTATCTAATCAAGCCATATTTGAAAATTTCGTCTGTAATGCGATTTTTCTGGTTTTTTCTTCATACTTTGAAAAATGCGCGTGGGCGTGCGCATTGGCCGTAAGCCGATCTCAAGTATATGATTTTTTAAACTTTGGGAATAGGTTTCTCAGCAACCGAGGGGTTTTCTGAGACTTTATTCAGATAATTATCTAATCAAGCCATATTTGAAAATTTCGTCTGTAATGCGATTTTTCTGGTTTTTTCTTCATACTTTGAAAAATGCGCGTGGGCGTGCGCATTGGCCGTAAACCGATCCAGAGTGTACACTGTTTTCAACAACTTTATAGGAAAGTGAAATATTTTATGAAACTTTGAACCACATCTATTCAAAAAAGTTCCAAAAATGCACTATTATTCTTTCAAGCGTTTTAAAAATTGCGCGTGAGGGTGCGCATTGGCCGCAATGCCTACCAAAAGTGTATGAATTTTTTTTTTGGGAACTCAGAGCTTCTGCGGAGCTTCAAGCAGTTCAAGCTCACTTAAAATTTTGCCAAAAACGTGGATTTTTCAACTGTCCAAATTTTCAGTTGACCCATGTTTTATATCTTGTATTACATTGAGGACGCTGGAAAAATCCTATACCTGATTAAAAGTGAGGACGTAGAGGACCAAGGTGTTGCCGACGACGCCGGCGATCCAGACCAGGCAGTAGAGACAGGAGAAGACGGCACGGACCGAGAAAAGGTCGACAGACTCTGGCGCGTAAGTCTGCACCGTCGAGCAGTTGTCCATCACTTCAGGGGCCTTCCGTGTCTCTGAAAAGGCTAGTTCATTAAATTTTAAATTTTAAGGAGGCTTCTGAAGGTGCAGAAAAAGCGGATAATACCAAAAAAGGGTTTTTGACTAAAGTGTACTCATTGAGCGCTTCAAGGAGGTTTCAGAAGGTTCATAAACAAAACAAAAAAGGGGTATATCACTTCAGGACCTTCCGTGCCTTTTAAAAAGCTGATTGGGTATATTTTTATCATCTAAAAATTCAAGGGAGTTTCCGAAAGTGTAGAACAACAGAAAAAAAAACCAGAAAAGTCGAAACAGTTTAAAGAATGTCTCTTAGCAATAGAAAATACAGTGATTTCGAAATTTTCGGCAGAAAAGGAATTTATAGTAGTTCCCAACACCTTAATTAGTACAGAGAAGCCAAGTGGTCCGAAAAAATCATCGTTGTTCAAAAGTTCACGCTCCGAAATTGAGGTTTCGAAAATTGAGCTTCTCCTGTCTACTTTACGGCTCAAAATGCTTTAAGAAATCTTGAAACTTGGGGTCTGCCTTTGGCTGGCAACAAAACAACCGTCCTTCACCTAGGTAGAAACAATCCTGAGAACATTTATCTAGTAAATGGAAACCCTATAAGATCTGAAAGTGTGGTTAGAGACCTTGGTCTTTTGATTGATAAAGGACTCACCTTCGATTCTCATATTAATCATGTTGTCAACATTGCTATGTTGAAATCTCGTCAACTTCTTAAGGCTTTTTCACATGTCGGCTTACCGCAATATAAGCTTCTCTTCAATCTTTATGTACGTCCTTACCTCGAATACGCCTGTGAAGTCTTTTAACCCACCCCTAACCAGTGCCCTCTCCTCCCAACTTGAAAAAAACCTCTCCGTTTCTTCACCAGAGAGGTGTTTATTAGAAGAAATGTTCGTTTTAATTCATATTCTGACCGTCTAAGTGTACTCGGCTCTGTTCATGCTTTCCGAAGGAGAATAATCATTTCTCTACTAACTCTCCAAAAAAATTAGTCCTGGGCTCCTACCACTTTCCAAGTGCAGAAAAATTTCTTCAGAAGAACTGATTCACCTCGTTTTTCCAATGAGACTCATACAGACAGGTCCTCGTTTTAACAGTTTCTTCAGTACAGTCATTCCTATTTGGAACAGACTGTGCTCAAGATTCGACATGAACACTTCAGCCTCCCGCTTCAGGAATTTTTCTCGACTCTCTCGACAACAATGAACTACTCGCAAGTGTGCCCAACAGACTGCTCTAAAAAAAAATAAAATCCGAAACTTCTGTTCTCAATCTTCAATACGTGTATCCCATCCCGGTAAATCGCTCGTTGGGGCGTTTGTATATCGGGTTTCGCTTCACTCAAATACTTTCTATTCTGTATCTGTATTTTTTTGTGTTTGAGTGAAATAAATAAATAAATAAATAAATAAACTTCGATTTTTCATCGTTTTCCGAAATATTCATACTTAAATTTCCGAGTTCACATTTTTTTTTCCTCTCGAAACAGTCTAACGCGCCTGCGCTCTCTCCTCCCTCGCGTACACTCTCGTTTTATGTGCTAAACTGCTTCAAGGTATACCAATTTTTCCACAAAAACATCTTCCTGATGATCTTTGGAATAAAATAAACTCCCAGCCATTTCCTACAAACCCTATGTTCATTAGGAAAGTGCTGAAGAGGGTTCAAGGATGAAAGGTTGTTTTTGGAGAAGTTGCAGAGAACTTTGGTGTGCAAGGAGAGGGGCGAAAAGTTAATCAAGGAAGAAAACCTCGGATATTCATGGCGGAGAGCCGTCCTGAACCCCGTATTAGTACTAAGATCTACCGGAATTCATCTAGAAGGTGTCAGAAATTATTGATATTCATATTTCCAGGTTGCCTAGAGTAAAAATAATAATAAAAGTCTTCACTTTCGAATTTCAAAGCTTGCATGCAAAAGGCTGTATCGAAATTAATTCACAATTTATTTTTTGCCCATGGAGCGCATTTTCCCGATTACTGTGGTCAAGCTCAATTTTTAAATTTTTTTATAACTTTTTGAAGGCCTGATTTTGGATAGAATTGATCGACAAAATCGTTGGGAAAGCTTGAAAATTGGGCAAAAAGATTACCTGAAGAAAAAACCTGATAAGTGAGATTACCGCTGAAGTTTGACTGATCTATATATTCTAATTAGGGAATTAATAAAAACTTGCACTTTATTGAACTCAGTTTGCTTCTGACTCATCTGTACTCTACTAATCTTAATCAAGGGCAAACAAAAGTAGAAGCTCGGCAGAAAAATAAACAAGATGGCCTTTTTCTAGCTCCTTGTGCGCTCCAATGCTAAAGTTACAACTTTTACTTTTCAATAGTTGATTCAGCGAAATCTAAAGTGTAAAGAACTTCTGGAAAAGCATAAAAAATGAACAAATTTTTATCTCTTTGTGCGCCCCAATGCTAAAACTACAAATTCTAGTTCTCAATAGTCAATTCAGCTCAATTTAAAATTCCAAAGTCTAAGGAACTTTTGAAAGAAAGCAAAAAAAGTGCAGAACAAAGTGTTTTAGTTTTTGCTTTTGGTTTTGAAACGGGAGACGTTGTCCAAGGCGTGTCTGGTGCTGAATAAGTCAACACGAAAAAAAAGCCGAAGAACAAGGAAATGAGGAGTGGCACAGGAAGGGGAGCTGGAGCTACTCGAAGACTTCTGAAGCGACTTTTAGGCGGAGGCCGAGAAATTTGAACATACTTGATTCTACTGAAGCAAAAACTTGGCGAAAAAATTCACAGAATCAGCGGATTTTTGAGAAAAATGGTACTGGCAGGAATAGAAAAAACAATTTTCCATCAATTTTTTCGTGAGTTTGTGGACCAACTTTTTACTCCATCAGTTCTAAAAATCCATGAAAAACCGAATTTTCACCAAGCCAAATAATCTTACCACCTTAACTGGAGTCCTTGAAAATCTAAGAAGATGCCTTTATTTAGATATAGTAAATACAGTGAAGTCACAAAGATTCCCATTCAGAAAAATCCTACCGTAACCCAAAAATGGTGCCGAGACGATTCTGCAATTAATTATCGTTGTTATGATTTCTAAGGCGCATTCTTCGAAATCAAGCTCCTAGAACAAAAAAAAGAGCTTTGAACTTTTTCGAGGGCCTTTTTCTCGTAATTAAGCGCAAATAAATCTCGAAATTACTAGAGAAAAGCCAATTCTTCCACTTCAAACTGGAAAAAAAAACCTCAAAGCAAGACAATTAGTGAGAATTAAGAAGAGAAGTCGTACTTTAGGAAAAATTGTAGCCGAGGACTCCAAAATTGATAAGAAATCGGGGACATGTCTCGTTTTTCCAAGTCTTTATTAAAGGATTGAACTGGAAAAACGGTAATTTTCCGAAATTTTGCGAAAAAAAATTGCTAAGAATCCTAAAAATAAAAGTTCGAATCAGAACAAAAGCAGCTGGTTTTTTTCCTCATACCAGGAAAATTGAAATGGCAGTGTTTTCAACAGAATAAATTACAGAAACGCCAAGAAATAGCCCGTTTTTTTCAGAATAATAAAGTCAGATTACGTGTCAAAGCGAGAAAAGTTATGAAAAAATCATTTCGAGGGGCGGCTTCATGAAGCTAATAAGTGAGGGGATATGAGCTCACTAAAAACATGAGAAAAAGGGCCAAAAAATATGATTTTTCGAAAAAAATAGAAGGAATTTTATCAATTGAAAACAACGTCACTGAACGAGAAAAGATAAATCCATTAAATTTAATTATTATTTCATTTACGTTTTGAAAATCGTTTGAAAAAGTCTTCAAAGAGAAGGAAGTTGAATCAAGATCTGTAAAAAAATATGAAAAATATGAAAAATATGCAAAATTGTTAAAAATTAACATGAACTTGAAGCTCAAAAAAACGGCTCAAAAATTGAAATTTTTTTGATCAAAAAAATGTTTCTAAACCGTTCAATAATTCAATCTTAAACCTATTTTACTCAATTTCGAAGCAAAAATCTCTACAATGACGATTTAAAAGTTAATTGGATCAAAATAAAACACATAGATCTCTCTTGATAGAATAAGGCTATCAAGTACCCCTTAGTATTCACTTAAGCAGTGTTATCACCTCTTAAGTGTGTCCTTGAGTTTATCAAAAAATAAAAAATAAAAAAAATAGAAGAGCCAGAGGTCCAACTGTCAGACTTATGGACGGCCGTCGACCGAGAAGAGACAAACCAAAAAAAAGTGGGCGTGGCCTGTTTCATTCGCGGCGGATGTCTCTGTTATTTCGACTTGACCGCGCCGCCTGCTTGCACAATTTTTTTTTTGCTTTATTGGCTACGCCCACTTGTTGGGTGTTCTAACATGAGCAACACAAATTTTAAAACCGTCAAAAAAAGTTCGGAAGTTTCAAACTCATTCATAAATTTAATAATTTCATTCTATTATCACTTTTTTTCGAATTGGAATTCAAGTGAGATGTGAATTTTTCCATACAGGAAGTTTTTTTATTTAAAGGAGCATCAAAAGGAAATCGGAGAAAGCCTCAAAAAAAGTAAATTTTTTTCCGAGCTTTTTTTATTGAATAAGATTACAATGCGCAAAATTTCATCAACTTTAAGCTTGAAAAAACTTTTATTCTAGACTATTTTCAAAAAAAAAGGAATGAAAATTTTTTTTCAGCTCCTGTTCATGTCTACTAATCATAAAAACAAACGACAATAATCGGATCAAGTGAAAGATACAAATAAATGATAAAAACATTGAAATTCATACATTCCTCAAATAAAACAGACACTATTTTCGAAATAAAACCAAGAAAAATCGAATCAAAAAGCGCCAAGTTTCCTAGACACAAAAAAAAGTAGCCAGGGTGGGAGGAAAACTGAATTAGTTTGTTACGGAGGAGTTGCAGTGCACTCAAAGTTTGGCGTTAACTGAATTTTTTGGTTTGAAAAAAATTATTTCGAGTTGCAAAGTTGACTTTTTTGGAGTCGGGTCCATACTAACATCAAAGAGTAGCTT